CGCCAACACACAATCCTTTATGTACAACATCAACATTGCAGCTCTTTGATTATTTGATATACGATTAAGGTTTTTAAATCTTTCTTTTTAAATTTATTTATTCAAATAACATTGGTGTTTATTAATTTTGATAATGGGCTTAATGATAGCATAACAATCTCTGAGATACAAAGAGCAATAGATAAACTTAAGAATGGCAAGGCGGCTGGTCTGGATCAAGTTACTAACGAATATATTAAGGGAAGCAGTACTTTACTTATACCACTTTATCACAAATTGTTTAACTGTATTCTTAACACTGGTTTTTTGCCAGATTCTTGGTTGACAGGATGTATTGTACCAATCTATAAAAATAAAGGTAGTATTGAAATGCCTGAAAACTATAGACCTATTACATTGCTTAGTTGTATAGGGAAATTATTTACAAGTATACTAAATGAAAGATTGACAAAATATTTAGAAAGTTATAATTTATTAAATTCAAACCAAGCTGGATTTAGGAAGCATCATTCAACTGTTGATAATATTTTTATTCTCCACATGTTAACAGATTACCTTAAACATAAGAAAACAAAACTTTTTTGTGCTTTTATTGACTTTCAAAAAGCCTTTGACTCTGTATGGAGAGCAGGCGTTTGGTGTAAACTTGTCAAATACAATATTTCTGGAAATTTTTTTAATGTAATAAAGAATATGTACAGTGAAATCAAGTCATGTGTATCTGTAAATGGCAAATTTTCAAATTTTTTTGGTTGTTATAGGGGCTTAAGACAAGGAGAAAATTTGTCACCGGTAATTTTTTCTCTGTACCTTAATGACTTAGAAAATTACATGTTATGTAATAACAATGTTTCAGTTATACTTGAAGATAATAACATCGAAATATTTTGAAACTTGTTGTTTTGTTATATGCTGACGATACCATTCTTTTTGCTAAAACAGAACAAGATCTTATATCTGTGTTGAACACCTTTTCTAACTATTGTCATATCTGGAAATTAAATATAAACTTTGATAAAACAAAAGTAATGGTATTTGGTGATAAAAGAAATAGAAACAGGAATATTACGGTAGATAATCAAGTTTTAGAGATCGTAGACACGTTTAAATATCTTGGTGTAGTTTTTTCTAAGAACAGACAATTTGCGGTTGCAAAGAAACATATTGTTGATCAAGCAAGACGGGCAATGTTTGGTTTATATAAGAAAATAAGAAATCTAGATTTACCTATTGATTGTCAGTTAAAGTTATTCGATCATACAATTGTACCAATTTTAACTTATGGGTGTGAAGTGTGGGGTTATGGTGACTTGTCGCTTATAGAAAAAGTGCATACAGATTTTCTTAAATATGTATTACGTGTTAAGAAAAGTACACCGCATGTTATGGTTTATGGCGAACTTGGGCGATTTCCATTATCAATTATTATTAAGAAACGAATTGCTGGTTATTGGTATGATTTAGTTAACAGTAATTCACTACAAAAATTATTGTCAAATATTTATAAGCTTGTATATGAAGATTTTGTAAGAAATGGTAAGGAGTACAAATGGTTATTGAATGTTAAGAGTATTTTTGACGAAACAGGTATGAGTTATATTTGGTTAAATCAGAAGTTTAGTGGTTCTAAATGCTTATTGTTAAAAACCATTGATATATCAATGAGTAACCAATATGTACAAAAATGGCGTAGTGATGTCGACTCAATGCCAAAATGTTTAAATTATAGAATGTACAAAACTGATCATTGCTTTGAACCGTACCTTTGTTTACTGTCAGACAAATATTTAAAAACATTTGTTAATTTTCGATTGTGTAACAATCTCCTCCCTATAGAAAGAGGAAGGTGGTTAGGTATTGTTAGAAATGAAAGAAAATGTAGTCTTTGTAACTCAAATGATATAGGTGATGAATTCCATTACATTTTTTTCATGTAGTTATTTTGAAAATAAACGAAAACGACTTTTACCACAAATTAATCAACAAAACAAAAATATGTTTACGTTTAGAAAATTAATGAGTGAAACAGATCCAAAAAATTAAGTTACTTAGTTAAATATGTTTATGTTATACTTGAATACTTTAAGAACCCACCTGGCTAGTCACATTGTTTTTTGTTTTTTTTTGTTTTTTTTTAAATCTATAAATATTTTCTATTTTGCAAAATATAGCATGTACAACAATGACATAGTTACATTGTATGTTATGAAATATTGTAGTTATAAATACCTTTTTAAAACTACTGTAGTTCATTTAATTTGTATACACAACCTGATTACACATTTATTAATTTTGTTTATATATTATTGTACACCTTTTATCATATGTAAATATGCTGAGTGTATCAATAAAACTTGAAAAAAACTTGAAACTTAATTTCATATAATAGTGCAATAGTACAAACGTTGTGCCGATTTTCCCAAATTATCTCCGTTGCGCCATGAAATTTCCATTTCGCCAGGCATATTATAATCCTTCAGTGTATACATATAGAATTTATGAAACATTTGAAATCATACTTACTTTATAGTGCTAAACAATCATTTTAGATGCACAAATACAGCATATTGACTTTAAAAAAAGGGGTTGTGTCGGTTTTTCTGAAAAAAATATCTCCATTGCGCCATGAAATTTCCATTTCGCCAGGCATATGACCCTTCAGTGCAATTAAACGTATACAATTTATGAAATATTTTAAAACTTACTTACTAATTAGTTATAAACAATCATTTTAGATTCTTAAATAGCACATTGACTTTAAAAAAGGCGTTGTGCCGGTTTTTCTAAAAAAATATCTCCGTTGCGCCCGTTGCGTCCGTTGCGCCAAAAAATCTCCGTTGCGTATTTTAGTGGTACCCCTAAATAATGCATATTCAAACATACCTCTCCTGCCCTCCTAAAAAACTGTTTCACCACATTGGGTCTTGAAGGCTGCAATTCTTCTTCCATACTTGGATTTTAGGCTGAAATACAACAACAACAAATTAAAACTTATTTAAAACTCCATTGAAAGCTTCTGCAATATTACAATAGTGGATTTATCATACTATATTTTCCCCTTCACAGGTGAAAGTACAGCAAAGTTATAGGTATAAAAGTTTGCTGATTGAGACTAAAACATGGATTGGAGCACCATACTCAGTATATACCGATCAAGACGCTTGAATGATTAAATGGTAAAATCTCGCCTCTTCAAATGTCTAATCTAGGAGGGGGGAAGGGAGGATTCACTCATATTTTTGAGAATTGCCACCTATTTTTTTAGTACTAAAATGAATGAAAAATTTTGTAATCGACGAAAAACACGTTATTTGTCTATTTTTTGATCATGATTTCTGCAAGCATCTAGAGGTTCTGCTCCAACACTGTACTGAGTTAAATCCAAGTTTGCCTGCTCTTCATCAGAGGTTATTTTGGTTCCCTTTCCTATTACTTTTGGAGCACGCAAGCAATCAGTACCAGCAGGTAACCTGCACTTTTATTTATCGAAGCAAGCAAGCAAGGATCAGTTTTTCCGGTTTCCTGTCTCATTACGTTTCTTATATAACTTGACATAACATGATAAAGAAACCCTTGCCTATTACATTCAGTCAGTACTTTGACAAATTGCAATGATAAACAGCAGGGTACTCCGAAAATAGACCAATCACACTTTTTACACTCACAAGATAACGATAAAAGCTGAGGAATTCTGATTGAAAACAGATGTGTAGACTGGTCCCCTGTGCCCTTCTATGGGAAATTTAATAGGACAGGGAACCAGAATAAACGAAAGCAGTGCAAAAAATACTGAATGGTACTTTTAAAATGGAAAATGTTAAATAAAAATGAATAACTATCTTAACAAACTTCCCCGTTCATAGGTTTTGCCTAATTTCATATCATAAAATAATTAAAAAATATGAATGTAAAATTACATAAAGTTTGTGATTCAATTAATGATAAATTACTGGCAAATATTTTTTTAAACTTTTTTACACAACTTATTAAAAATTATAGAATGACAAGATAATATATCAATTTCCGATAGGTTCCTGTTTCACTAGTCCAACTAATTAGACTTGTCAAAGAGACACAGAGATAATTTTGGACGGGCGCTGTCTTTTAACGGTTTGACAGTAAGAAAAAAAAGTCTGTAAAATGGGTCAAACCGCTCACGCCCAATTAACTAGGCTACTGTTTCACAATAATATTTACCCGACATGAAATTATCCGATTATTAATCCAGAAATTTGATTTTTGTGAATTTATGTTGTCTGATATTATATTATACAAAACATAGATGGCCATACTTGCAAACCAAAAAAATAGTTTGTAGAGGCACACCTTTAAATAAAGCAAGTTGGTGAATATTCGAACAAAAGTGTACTGATGTAAACATTGTGCTGTCAACGTTGGATTTAATAAACACATAACTTTGAGGCTTTATTATATTTGAAATGTCAGTTATAAGCGTGAGAGAAAGTAAACCCAACAATGAGCATTATAAGAAGAGTGAAAGATTTCTATAGAAGGAAAAAAGAAATTGAAGATTTTGAAACTGTTAGAATATTTATTACCAAGTCCAAGACTAAGCAGTTAAATAACATTTCAGCTGTAAACAGAATTATCAAAGCATAATTAGGCAGTGAGCAATTTACTCTCACTGTATAATTTTCAAAATAAAATAAAAATATATTTATAAAAATACAAAATTTTACCCCACCCACATAAATCATACAGTGAATGTTTTAAAAGAAGAATACCTGTTCAATTTTATCAATTAAAATGACTTCAAAAGATGCCTTTAAGTGGATTTATCTACAAAATATAACTTTTGTCATCTATTCATACTTATTTTTAACTATTTTTTAACAAATATTTAATTTACACGTCGTTCGCCACCGGTACTTCCGGTTAGATATTTTAGACTGTCTCTTCATATGAAAATATATTTCATAACAATAGAAGCAATTAACCGTTCACCATTCTGCAGCGAAATATGATTATTTCGGACGAAATACGGATGAGCATATCATCCAAAGCGTTCCGAAATATAGAAATCGGCTATTTTTAGTAACTTGATAAATACTGGGGTTTTCCAAAGTCGTGTTAAAGAAAATTGAAGGTAAGGTAAGTTTCATGATAATCTTCAATTCATTGATTCACGGGTTTAATTACAGCCGTAATTGTTTTTACTAATCAAATGCTAAACATGATAAACATTCCAAATGATGATGTAGTGTAGAGAGCTAAATCTACTTTCAATTTGAAAAAAAAACCTGACAATTTTCTGTCAGACTTTTTAGAAAATGTTACAAAATTTATCACCAAAAGCCTTGATAATTCTAGTGGAGGATATGTTAATTCTATTGAATACAGTTGCAGTTGAATTTTTAACCTCAATAAGGTTGTCAGCCATTTTACAAAATATTCCTGAAGAGAAAAATGTATAATTATAATATACAGATTAGTTTATATCAATAGGGATACAATGTATGCTTGTTAATCAAAAAAAAAAATTAAATGTTTTGTTTTGTGTATAGATCTACCATATTTCCAAGGTAGGCTATTGTAGGCATAAACAGTCTAAAGTGACTCCGTCAAAATAATAGCATCATATAAACTTATGGAAGCCAGAACTAGAACCTGCCTGAGTAGTTTAACTTTTACTATTTTATTGTATATTTTTATTGAAATGTTATACAGTATATTCGACAGAAAAAAATAATATTATTTTATTCAGATTAAGAGCAAAGTAATTTATTTTACCATTTCACTTTAGTTTTCATACCTTTTTTGAAAATCTTCTTTTCTGTAGAGATATTTGATAAATGCCAAAGAGAAAATCCCCACTTTCAGACGAGCCTAGGTATAGGTGTACTAAAAATAAAGATTAATTATTGGTTTTGCTTTTGAAACTGTTAAAATGTAATTGCCTTGGAAATATGAGAACACAACTTTACTCAATAGGCAGCAGATGGGTGTTAATTACAATGTTGTATTACACAATTGCTTACATGCAAACATTAAATGGAATAAACTATGATGCAATGTCTATCCTACAATATTCAATGCGTTTTTCAGAATTTTATCCATTTAACTTTTGTCGTCTGTGTTAAACAGCCGCAAAAATCCCTGCCCTGGTAGGGAGAATTTTGTAGGCGTGTTTATCAGATAAATCATGCAAAGGACGCTGTACCTGTGCTAAATTTAGCTGATGTAAACAAACACTATAGCAGATGATAACATTTGTTATTACTGATCAGCTCCCTTCCTAGAGTAATATTTCAAGTTTCTACTGGAAAGTTAACACTGCCACGTGTATTTGTTTACAGCCTGCAGTTCATGACCCCATTTACTCCGCCCCGGGATTTTCAAATTTTTGACAGTTAACTGATTTTTTTTTCACAAAGTACATTTAAGTGAATCTTTTGTGATATTTTCTCTGCCATTTTATTTCAAATGTTGCAAAGAAGTTATACAAAAAGTTTGTAGGCAAAATACTTCTTGGTTATTTAACTATTTCAAAAAAGGACTGTTAGATGTTAAGCATGTCAAAAATACCATGAAAATCTGCCCCAGCGCCATCTAGTGGCTTAAATAGTCAAGTTGCAGGTTTAAGTACCATGGAAATATGAGGCACCAATATTTATAAAATGTTGTTGAAAGTGCTCCAATTGAGCTCGAGGCAGCTCGTACCATACAGGCGTGCTTAGTCCAACTACATGTAGTTCAATCAGTCTAATATATCAGATGTTACAGGCACGTTATAGATATGTGAATGTTGGTCAAGCCCGGAAGCAAAAATATCTCAAAGCCACGTCATATTTATAAGACTATTAATTCAATCTAAGACTTGTCAAGGGTATGACTAAATACCAAATATGAATATGAAGAAAAAAATTTCGGTGTAAAGTCAAAAATTGACATGAGAATTAAGTCAATTAACATATATCATGGTGAATATTTGCTACGTGAAAAGTGAAAAAAACAAATATTTGATAAGTGTTGTTTGTAAATAATCGCAACAAAATGAAATTCCTAAACAAAAATCCTGACGCATTTTTATTTAGGAATTTTGAAAATGGTAAAATTGACTGTCAGACATTCATGATCATAAATGAGAAATAAATTCAATTTAAGTGTAAATACAGGACACAGTATGCCTACATGTATATATAATGGATGAAATACTGCCGCAAATATATATGCAACCCGAATATGGAAGAGGATGCCCAATATGTATATCATTAATTTATAATAAATGTATGGCCTATAAATTCCAAAAACAATAAATTTTCACATAGTATGATTTAAATTAGTTTAAGTTATTTTCACTTTAAGCAAAATATAAACCATAACATATAAATAAGTAATAGTGTCTATTTTTCACTTTTGTGAGATGTTTTATATAATTATAAATAATATTCATATTCGTTATTCTCGTTCATATTCAGGTATCTTTCTGCTCATAATAATTAAAATCAAATAAATTCAGAAATTCATTTTCATTCATGCAAAGACATATGATACAAGTAAATGATACATAATGTGGTCTCTGTTGACCAAAAAATTCCCAAAAGAGCTGATTTTTTAAGAAAATAATATTCATATTCAGTACTCTCGTTCATATTAAATTTTGGGTATATCAAGACATCAAGATATTTTTTACACCACAATCATTACAGTGTGACTTCCAGTGTCAGAGATTTAATGGAAGCCCTGCATGCATGATAACTTATCAGGACTTTTTTTCCTTCTATAACAGGGACTGATATATAAGGCCCCTTCACAATTCAAAATTTCACTTTTTTTTCACAAAGCGGCAGAAAAAAATTCACAACTTCAAAAGAGATTTCACAAAATATTGGGACTTACGTATTACGCCAATTGCAATAACACTGAAATAGTTTCAATTAAGTTAATTGGTTTTTGTGCATGTTAACCGGGTTAATTACCTACTTGAAGCAGATTTTACACAGGTCAGCAATTTATTATAATCAACTATGGCACCAAGCTTAATGTTTGTCTTTTTTCTCCTTGGATTAGGGAAGCTAACATATTGAGGCTACACACAACAAAACTTCAGTGATTGGGGACACACACAACCAAAGTATAGATTTTTAGACCAATCAGTCAAAATGGAGGCTGCTCAAAGGCAAGCTATTAGAAAGTGCCGTGTACGTCTTGTCAATGACATACAGATTGAATATATGTTTGACTCCATCGAAAGTCATGGTCTATTTACACCAATCATGTTGGAATGTATAAAGGTAATATATCATTTCTTTTATTTAATCTTGAAGTATATATTCTATATTCTATTTTATTTTCTAGATTGATGGGTTTTCCTAGCAAAACACTGTCTTTCTTTATACATGTATAGATATTGTCCAAAATTATGCTCTAATATACATTACATTATTGGAATGAGAGAAAAGTGTGCTGTCATTGCATTTATAATTTGAATATTTTACAATAGTTGAATTACATAAATAATGCTGAGGAATAGGGGTGTGGATCGTCGGATAAGTGACGATCCGATCCGAACCACGATTCAGCACTTACGATTCACAAATCGAACCACAGATCTATTGTTATCAAGACACCCATAAAAACATGTACATTAGTTATAAAAACATGTTTATTTAAAAAAAAACAAAAAACAATTCTAAACATTAAACATATTAAATATAAACTATGACTGTTTATGTTTTTATTCTTTGGATAAGTAGTTTTGTTTTGTCTTTTGAAACCAATTACTTCCCTAAGCTCAGCATCATGGTACATGGTCTTTAACCGGCAAATTATATTAAGGTAAACTTCATATAATTTATACTCATATCGTATTTTTCTCGATTTTAAGAGTGTGAGAAACAGTGAATGTATATAAAAAAATTAGATCGCAATTCAACGATATCTGTGATTACGAATATTCAAAATCGATTTTTTACTTTGATTCGTGATTATCCGAGTACTCGGATACTCGCCCCAGCCCTAGTGAGGAAGGTACTGAAGGTACAAGTAACATGGTTGTTACTCCTTAGAAAAAAATGAAAATTAAGTTACAAGTTGAGCACCCATTACCCTTAATCTGCTGGAAACAGCTATGTCTAGCCTTTGCCATCATTATCAATATATGGCCAGGCCACTTTCATGTCATCTTTAAATATTGGTAACTTATCTTTATGCCCCGAGGCATATAGTAATAGAACCATCCGTCTGTACATCCATCCGTACTAGGTCAACCTTAAACGGCAAATTGGATTTATCTTAAATTCTACTTGAACCAATGGCTTCATAATTATTTACACACATTACTAATCAATACAAAGTGTATAAGATCTGGGCAAGTTACATAACTATGGCTTCCATTTGTTTCAAATTATTGCCCTTTTTCAGCACTTTGAAAATGGATATTGTTAAACTAAACCAGCAAGTTGGATATACAATGTATATGAAGTTCTACCTGTACTGGTGTTGAATAACCTTTAAACTTTGAATGGACTGTTCCAGATTCAAAGCAGGGCACTTCCATTACATAAAATAAGCGGGTTAAGGGTTGAATTTAAAAAAAACATGATGTTGTTATGACAAAAATGTTAAGAGTTTTTAAATAATCCTTTTAGTTTAGAGAAAATTAATTGATTACATATGTATATTTGTAAATAAGAACCAAATGATTTACTCATTATGTAAAAATAACAATTTTAGGCAAAAGAATCACGCCCGGAGAAGGTTCGTACCTTCTTGGATTATCTTCAGCGTAGAGGACCAGGTGCCTTTGACCAGTTTATTCAATGTTGTAGAGAGTCTGAACAAGCTGATGTAGCCAGCTATGTCTTGCAGGTTTGTGTTGACTAGTGAGGCAGTTGTTATTACCGTTCTTACAAAATGTAAAAAAAAAATAAAAAATACTTAGTTCTCTATTAAGTAGTTTTGTCCAACCCTATATATAATCAAAGGGCTGCAAGCTATGTGGTATTTTGAACTATTTTCTGATCTTTGCAATCTAAATCTTACTGTATATCTGTATGTGTTTTCCTGTATAAGTTTATTTTTAAATACTATTATTCATCTTGCAGGGCACCGAGATGCAGCGACTGCGTTTAGATTTTTTACTATAACAGTTTGAGTTTGATACATACAGAATTTTGCATGACTAGATGACTAGAGTTGCATCAAAAAATCATTTATGTTCATCTTTTTATGACAGCCACACTTTATCCTTGCATATCGTGGCTACTTCCTTAAAAAAGACTCTTTAAAAAAAAAAAAATAGTTGCCTCGACTGGGATTTGAACCCCAGACCTCTCACACCCTAAACGAAGGTGTTACCCCTGCACCACAGGGAAGTCATGCGAAAAATGCCTAAATAAAATCAAATAATTCTAAATTTAGAATTTCCATTCCGTATTATTTTCAAGGTATTTTGTTCACGATAAACCTGTTGTTTTTAACACTGATGTAAATAGTTTAGCGAAAATCTTCTCGCCTAAACAGTCCGACATGTATTTATTCCACTACTTGACAGTCAGATTTATTTGTATAATACGCTCTGAAGTATTCGGTAATGGACATCACTAAAAATAGCATTTTGTTTACGTGGATTAAATAATCGGGTGTAGAAATTGATTATCGATCGTCGACTGCCCTAAATTCGTCCCTGTCCTAGAGTCAACATAACATCCTTACTTTATTTTTCAGAAATTCTAAATACCAAATGTTCAGTCTGATCACAATAATCCAAAGCTTTACAGAAATAGCCGAGCGATTTTCATTGATTAAAATGATATTCATCCACGAAATTTGTGATTGTGCATTTATTGACAATTCTATAAGCCAACGCTACTTTGAAACTTTAAATGCGTTGTAATTTGTTGGATACTTGTAACAAAATAAAAATATTTCTTTAACATCGCTAGTTTTAAGCTTTATTGGGAACTTCTTGTTGTTAGGTTTGTCGTGAAGCGCTGTTTCAGAGATTGAATGTCAGCAATATATATCCTGATCTGTGATCAGAAAATACAAAAACATATTCAAAGCTGCATGCCTTCAGATGAGCCAAAATATTTGAACAAAAGTCAGCTGTGAGAAAAATATACTAAGAATTTATGAATGACTGATATTGCAGTATTTATCACCATATTTCTACTGTGTGATTAACGCAGTAAAGCCAATTTTTGCATATTTTGACCTATTTTTTTTTTTGTTATTTTGTGTGCATCTGCATGCATCTGGAGCCATGCTGCGTTTATATGCAACTTTGTTAAAAAAAAATTTAAAAGTAAGAGATATCTATGTAGCTAAAAAATTGGAACATTTACTTTCATCTTAATATGAATTCATTTTTCTTTTATTTATTTTTTTTCATTTTAAGGAATACCAGACTATTAAAGATAATACAGCACAGAACAGTTCAAACAATTCAAAAGGGGTTTCAATGGCGAATAACATTTATTTAACTCAAGAGACACAAAGGTCGTCTCAAGGTCAAATGGAAACCCAAGGATCATCTGAAATGTCAGTGATGGAGACTCAGGGGTCTTCTCAAATATCAACTTCAGTCATGGAGACCCAGGGCCCATCTCAATGTGTACCCTCAAGTTCAGCTTCTGTGCCACAGGGAATAAATGAGGTGGATAGAAGAGAGGAAGAAATGCAGGAGGATAATGAGGGAGGTTTGTAGGATGATTTATGTTGAATTCCATTTACCCACCTTTATTTAAAGTAGTGTTACTGCAATGCTTTCATGCAAAATTATTTCTAACTTCGGCCAATATAGTTATTAATCGGTCATCTGGAATGTCATCCGGAACATAACTTTTCACAGTCTTCAGTTTTCAAAAGTTTTAAGCCACTTATCATTGGAATTTAGTACATAGCGATATACGATGGGTGATTGTAAATAATCTTATGCCCAATATTTTGAAAAAGTAACATTACAGTAAGATTACCTTAATATGAAACATGTCGGATGATCTTAGAGTATAAAATTAAAGAGGTATTTATGCCAGAATTTATTCTGTAAATACCATCCTGCTTCACCTTTAACATACACAAAAAATATTAGGCAATCTCAGCATGTTTTATTTATGAAATACATGTATATACCGCCTCCGTGGTCGAGGGGTTAGAGTTAATGACTTCTAATCCAGTTACCTCTCTGGCGTGGGTTCGATCCTTGGGAGATGCTTTGGTGGTTTAGCATGGCAGAAAGTAGTCTTGTACTGGTGTAACTTTTCCAGGAACGATGGTTAGGAAACTACCCGCCTATATGACTGAAATATTGTTGGGAAAAGGCATAAAATGAAACAAACAAACAAAACAATCTATGAAATAGATTTGATTGTTTCAATCTCTGAAATTCATTTGAAATTAAGCTTGTAATTTATTTCTTATTTGTATAATTATGTAAAGGAATGAAATCATTCTGTAGATGCAGTCATGGATGAACAGCCAAGTTATCAAGGTAGTGAATCAAGAATTCCTGGTTCAACATCTAGAGGAACATGTTCTGCAAGCTCTATACCACAACCAAGTCTCTCTGTTGGACATTTATCATCTTCAGTAGGAACTGTTGGTTACACAGGCAATCTTACAGAGGTTTGTACTTAAAACATTCATAGCTATACATAATAATCCCAGGATTAAAATTGTCTTTTGGGTGTCTTTGGCCAAGTGGTTAAAGTCATTGACTACAAACCACCTATCCAGGTAGGTTACATAACATTTCTGATTCTACTCAGGTGCCCGTTCATGCCTGAAATAATGCAAGGAAGAGCACCTAAGGTCTTTCTCCACCAGTAAAATATATGATCGCCACTGTGTTGGTGCCTTTCAAAACCTAACCAACCAAATAAAGATGTTTTATGAGTAACAGCCGCTGGGAACTTGTTTTTATGCTCCTAAAATTGTATTCACTAGATTCAACATTATTATTGCATGTTTGTACCAGAGTCATTCATAATCATATAAATATGTATTATACATTGCAGGAGTATAAAATGGACACAGATCCAAGAGGGTTTTTATTGATTATTAACAATCGAGACTTTCAGCGAGGTCTCTCTACTCGGGATGGAACCGATATTGACTGCGGAAAATTGAGGAAACTTTTCTTGTCGTTGGGCTTTGGGGTTGATGTTAGACAAAACCTGACTGCACTTGTAAGATATTTTTGTTTATGTCATTTGATTACTAAAATTGTAATTGAATGTTCAGTAGTTCCTATGTCGGGCTGTGGTTTTGGTTGTTGACTTCAAATAATTTGACCCTTACCATTAAGGATTCTAAATACACCAAAAGGTTTGAATAATTTCTAATGAGAAATCAAGTCAGCTACCTTATAGGTAGTAAGTGGATTTTATTTATCATATATGAGGGATTTTGCAATTTTTCATCATCGCTCATGTAAAGACTCAATCAAACAAAGTCTGCAATTTTCATGTAATTTTGCTGTTTATAATGCTTCCATCATTTTAATTTTACAGTGAATTTCTAATGCCTGAAGGGTTAAAATTTAAGTCCTGTTTTGTAGCATTTTTTTTGTGTTGATTTATTGACTAGTGAGCTGTTGAATATGATGTGATATTCACTGACAGAATAACATATTGACCGGAGCAATTTATGAGTTATAATTTGCTGTCAACTACAGTTTAGACCATTGAGATTGAAGATATTTTTGAATCATATAATTAATTTAAGATATACTATGCTCATCTTTGAGTAGTATAATTTTATTGCAAAAATTTATTGAAATCTATGAAATTCTTACTGAACGTCTTATTTGAATATAAGAATGTACATACTATTCCCTATTACAGGTGAAGTAAAGTTAATCCTTTTTTTCAAATTAATGACACTAGAATTATTTTCATATTGTGACTACCTAGAGTGTGTAGAGTTTAAAGCATAACATCTCTGCTTTGTGTGAAGTCAAAACTTGTTGATTCATTATTTACAAAAATACAGTGAAGCGATTTTCAATATTTTTTATACATCAATTTTAGCAATGTATATCATTAAAGGAATAAGAATGGAAGGATTGATGTCTGTCTAATATAAATATTCATCATTTAAAAAGAGGTACCATGACAGTTTTTCTGTTGACATCAACCCTATAAGTGAGAAATTCGTGTTTTAAGACACTCTTTTTTTACTTGAGAAATAAGTTCATGGGCGCCGCCATTTTGGCGTTCTGTCACTCTCGCGAGACAGACGAGACCGAGATTGTGACGTGTTACACCCACTTCCGGTATACATATGTAGGTGTACACGCTGGTACAACTGAAATACATCTTGATGAAGAACTTATTAATCTTATTTCCCACACTATATATAATAATTATGAAAACATCATATGGAACTGAATTGCTTTAAATAATCAATTGAAGACGCCGCGACATAAATAATCATTTGTCCGATGTTCAAACTTGCAGATGATCCCACCACATGATTTAACCAATGACTGCTTAATTTTCAAAGATAAACCATCAATTTAATTTGGGTACTATGAGAAACTTCTTCAAATTGACGATATATCCTTTTAGTTTGTACTTAATTTTCGCTAGATAAGCTGTCCGAATAGGGTACATCGCCGGTCTCAGCGTAAAATATCAACTTAATCCAATATGCAGAGATCTGCTGAGGACGCGATTTTCCGCCATTGACGCTCAAAATGAGAATGGCGCAGGAAAATCGGCAGCCAGACTAATAACGTATGAAAACAAAACTGTCCGTTAGGTTATTTAGGCACCCAGTCAAAACTGGTACCCACTGCAACAGGTTGCCCATTCCCCTGTAATTACGCATATTCTCGGCTTTATCCAGTTCCATTATAGCTATTTTCCACGTTATCTACTTACCCAATCCCTTTCCCACACAGATACGCATTTCTACTACCGTTAATTTAATCCATTAAAACAAAACATCATAAATCTACTTAATATTTAAAATGATTATTGGTAACTGAAAAAAAAACGTGTTGCTATTTTATGAAAGGCTGTAATTTACAGTATAACTTGACGGGTGCGGAACTTAATTTCCCCTAAGGTTATTCAGTTCACTGATGAAGCGTAAAAAAATAGATGTCTATTTCGTCACAAGGGTGATTAACCAATCAGGGCAACATTGTGCATGATCAGAAGGTCTGTCGGCACAGAGGCATACAAGGAGCAATAAAAATCGTCAGTACACAGTGTGACAGGGAACATTTGGTGCAAATTAGGAACAATTAAAATGGATAATGCACAGTATTAGACATAAGTAGTAAGAACCAGCAATTGTGTGAATAAATTATGCAAATTCGATTTTTGAGCAGCCAATTAAAATGTTTTGCCTGCAGTTAATATTAGGCTACGATTAAGATGTAAATAAATACCACTCATTTGAAAGTCAGAATCAAACTGCAAAAATTTAATTACATGTACTATTAAGAACACGTTTTGGTAGGATTTTTATAATAATGATAATTATCGCCGTTCAATAATTGTAAGCCAATTATTCGTTGGTGCATTTGTTTATTTAATTGCATTATTTGATTGTGAAACCTTGTTAAATAATAACATGTGTATTTATTAAATCTGTGAAATATTGTTTAATTACATTAAGATGAGACTTTAATGAACATAGCATTGTTTGGAGTAACGGGCATCACTGGCCTGAAGTGATGCGACCGGTACACGTTGAATTTTTATTTGTTTCTTTATTTTTATATTTTTTTTTTTTTTGGATATTGTTACGTATTTTGAAACAAAAAAATCCCCTCTACACCTCCTGTAAAAAATTAATTTGTCTGGTCAATACTTTATTATATTAATATTTCGCTACGATTCTACTAGATTTGTCATAAATCTAAAGATGTGGGGAATTGACATCACGCGCACCTGTTTTTAAACGGCCAATACACAAACATGGCCCCGCCTACTGATTTGTAGAATTTGGTGATTTAGAGATTTAAAATTTGTTATCATTCGTTTAATATTATTATTTGGCGGCAGAAAATTTGCAGATTTATTATTTATAGTATTCTTTTTCTGAAATCAAGTTTTTATTCTAACCTTGTCTTTCCCTTTAATATATAATTGTGTTAGTGTTATATTGTAGGAGATGAAACAAACATTACATATGTTATCCCAGCACAGTCAGTTAGATCAAGTTGATAGCTTAGCTATTGCACTATTGACACACGGGACTGAGGATGTTTTATATGGAGTGGATGCACAGCATATTACTGTAAGTAATTATTGTATCATCTGATAAAGTAAAGTTTAGGCAATTTTTGCAATTTTATCATTAAATTAGATTAGGCTTTTGTTACCTTCCTGTCTGTCTGTCTGTCTTTTTATCCCTTGAGTACAGTAATAAGTGAACTAAAATTCTAGGGATGTCATCCGGAATCTGTATATCTGGATATCTGAACGTTCAAATCACGATTTGGTATTTGGAGTTGATTTTTTGATCCGGGTATTGTAATAAAATATTTCAGAATATTAAGATGAAAGACTTGCTAAAAAATGTGGCAAATACATGCATTGAGATAACCTATGTAGACATGGTGTTGACACCTCTTTATTGTACCTTAGTATGACAATCATGGAAAATGGTTTCGTCATATAAGCCAAGTAAGAATAAAACAATGATCTGATGTATTAGGATGCCTGTTCCTGTTATCTGTGTGGCTGTTTCAGCTCCAAATGACATTCCTATAAAATTCCTGTAATAATACAGTAGAAGTAAAATAAAATAATCTGTTACTTCACTAAGGTGATAGTTTGTCTGTCTGTCTGTTACTGCCTTTGTTGTGACTTCTTAATTCAATAAGCTAAAGGTTTCATATACATGTTAATTCTTAAAGGATCTCCATTGAGGTCCAAAATTTGTTATCCTCAGTAAACTGTACATTTATTTTAAAACAGTTAACTACATGACCAAGCAATTCTTATTGATGACTACTTAAGTATTTTAACACTTACACTGCTAAATATCCTAAATGGACTTGTCCATCTTTCAGTGTGGACTAGACCATTCTTAATATTTAGGGTGTGTTTCAAAAAAATGTACTGACTGAACAGTGCAGATCATGATATGCACAGGCTGCACAGGTAAGATCTGAGACACCTAAAGGTTTAATTAATCCCTTTAATAAGCAATGGGCAGTTCCAGAATCAGTGCAGGGCCAGTTAATTACAGAAATTAAGGGGTGTTAGAGTTAATATTTTGATATAATGTTTTCAGGTCCATGAAGCTTTCATGCCATTTACTGCTGAAAAATGTCCAGCTTTACACCACAAGCCAAAGCTTTTTATTATCAATGCTTGCAGGGGAGGTAAGTGAGTTTATGTTGAATATCCTTTTGTTATCAAAAAGTAAGATTTGTCTACTTTGGAATACTTTGTGCATTATATGAGTTATGTAAAAGTAGATAATTATAATTATGTTTTTTACATAATGACATTTTTCACTTGACTTATTGAATTGAATTGAGAGGCCCCTCTCTACAGCAAGAACCTTTCTACAATGACTTACATGGAAATAAGGCTTTACAATAAATTTGTCCTCTCCACAGCAACACCTGTCCAGCACAACAATAAAGTTTAAACCAGATGAAGAAATATTGATGAAATATTAATGATAAGATAATTGATTAAGTTCAATTAAGGTTATTGATTTTAACTCATTTAAGACAGAGGTATAAAGTTCAGTGAAGACAGATGAATAAAGTTCGATTAAGTTAATGGAATAAAATACAGTTAAGACAGTAAAGTTTAAGACAGTTGAATAAAGTTCAATTAAGGCAATTGAATAAAGTTTAATTAAGATAATTGAATAAAGTTTAGTTAAGACAGCTGAATAAAGTTTAATTAAGATAGTTTAATAAAGTACAAATGAAAATCTTAGATATATGATTTTTTTATGATTTTAGATGCAGAGGACAAGGGAAGTTTGACCTTCAGACATGTTGACACAACCAGTACAAGTCAAGATATAAGTGCCGTACCATCACAATCATTGGCCTGTAACTTTGAGGACCAATATGGGACCAATACTGTGTCATATGATGTACAGTCTATTCCCCCCGTACCAAGAAACGCAGGCCGTATTCCTAACATGAAAGATTTTCTTGTTGCCTTCTCCACCATTCCAGGTACGTCTTGATTATAGACTTTGACAGAATGATAGATTTGATCCTTTTCCGTTAACAAACTTAATTGAATTTGTAACACAATAATAATGTTGCTCTGTTTGACATGAAACTGCAAGATATTAAATACATATATATCTTCTTGTTGTCTTCATGTATACTGTATAAGTGGTTAAGTAAGCAACTTGAAAATATTGGCATTACATCTTGCTTAAATATCAACCACCCAGTCGTTAAATTCTACCCTTGCACGCTTCGCTAATTTTTCCTCATATGAAATGTCTTGAATTTTAAATTCGCTAACTTTTTGACATGTGGAAATATCCACTTCTACAGTAGAATATTTCCATATATATATATACAATTAATTAGTCTCCTACCGGTTTAATTAGTCCCCTACCGGTTCAACGGGAGGGGACTTTAGGTTTCCGTCCGTCTGTCCGTCAGTCTGTCCGTCCACAAAACTGGATCCCGCGATAACTTTAAAAGTACTGAAAATATTTTTATGAAACTTAAAATATGGGTAGATGGCAGTCTGGAGATTATGCACATCTTTTTCTTTTCTTCCTATGTTGAAAATTCTGGTTGCTATGGCAACAAATAGCCTGAATTTCAAGAATTCTGATTTAAAATTTTCAGCTTTTTCACTATAAGTTCTTTATTTCTTAAGGTGTTTACTTCAAACTTTAAATATAAGTTTCTGGTCATCAACCACATCATATGTGACAAGGTTTACAACTCTAGCACAAAAATTATCAGTATTACCTCCCTTGAACTTAGAATTTTTATGAAAAAAAATGTTGTCTTTTTTAAATAACTTCTTTATTTCCTAATGTATCTGCTTCAAACTTCATATATATGTTTCTTATTATCACTCAACATTTTTGAGAAGGTTAAATACTTTAGCAAGACTATTTCCAGAATTATGTCCCCCTTGAACTTAAATTCGAGAAATTGGTATTTTTCACTCCTACTTCTTCATTCCTAATATCGGATTTACTTTAAAATCCCACAACGTAATAATATGACAAGGTTGTATAAACATAATTTCCTTATTAGGCAGGGAAACTTAACACATTACTGTGATAAAGACAAACTTAGAACTCAAAAGATTTAAGTTCATTCATGTCATTCATTCACTGGTAAAATTGAATGGCCAATGGCCCATCAGAATGTTGCTGGGGTTCTAACCGGTAGGGAACTTATGGATTGCTTGCAATACTATGATAATTGCTTGTTCTTGCTGTTTTATAGGTCATGTTAGTTGGAGACATTTAAATGATGGGAGTTTCTTTATCCAAGGATTTGTAAAGGTGTTTGAAGAGTATGCTCACAAGTCAGATGTCATGAGCATGCTGGTCAAAGTAAGTTGAATCATTGTACCTGGCGAAATCTGTATATAATGCCTTGATTGTCCATTGCAAATTTAAGATGTCCAAGCCCCATTTGGCGCAGGGGTTGCCTTTATGGCTTGAGGTATCAGAATTGCACCTCTGCTTAACCGTGTGTGATTGTAAGAGGTCTTTAAATGGATTTGGATTAGTGGAGTCTATGCATCTTTTAGCTCCAGCCGGGCAGGTGATTTTTACCGCTTATGTAAGATTGAAACACCCGAGGTTAGCCAAAATCATCTTTCCTGATTGGCGTCATATGATCTAAACTGTGTCAGTGTCCCATAAAAGCAAACAAAATTAAGATGATACATGTACTAAAATTGAGGTGCAGATGGTAAAGATTCTAATTTGACAGCTGGTATGTGACTGAGTAGGTTATATATCCCTGTTTGAAAGAATGATTGAGACTTTTTTATATCTGTTGATTTAAATCCCATCAGGGTCATTATGCAGATTATACCTTAAAACGATATATATTTACTTCTTCATAAAGGGCAATATGGTTTTGGTCATGAATAAATAATGTTTTTTTGAGCATGATTATATTTCTTTACCATATTAAAATTTTGTTTGTAATGTACACATATTTTGTGTAATTCTTATTATCACTGAACACTTTTATAAAAAAAAAACTGTTTGTTTCTTTCAGGTAAATAATGAGGTATCTAAAAATATCAACCATCAGGGTGTACAGATCCCCGCCCCACAAGTCATGCTGACAAAGGTGTGGCACCTCAACCCAAAGACGAAAGATTTTATTTAGGAGATGGGAAGCTCAAATATTTCTAACAAGACACTGTATATGTAAGGCTGGACCTCTATACATATATGAAAATCCTTTGAACAAAAAGCGTACTCATATGATAAAAATCCTTTTAATCAAACCTTAGGATAAGAATGTTTCATGGATGAACATTTACAAACATTAACTTTTATTTCGGCATAAAATATTTTGCTATTTCTAAATGATGTGATGTTCTACTATGCTGTAGTAAGATATATAGACATTTTAAAGGTGGATTGACATTATGTAAAATCAGTACTGGTACTGGTCACTGGTAAGGTTTTAAACTTTTGACTGTTCATTGGAATGGTGGTGTAGAGCCAGATCCGCCATAACTGTGTAGTTTTGACCAGAATTTGTACAGTTGGATGCTTTATTTAAGAAATAGATATCAATTTTGAGTGTGTTTGCTGTAGAATAATGCACGGTTCAAGATCATATATGCAGTGTTATAAATTATGATGAATTTGATAGTGTAAACTCAGATATCAGACATATGATTGGTCAGGAATTTAGGTATTTGATTGGTCAGGATCTTTTGCGCAGAATGTGAACTGACCAATAGAAATTCTGAGATTTGAGACAGAACTTGGAGTTGTAGTTTTGAAAATGTGATTATGAAATTATTACTGACAATTTTGCATCACATTATTACACATGTACATACATTTTGTATTTTTAGCTCACCTTGCACAAAGTGCAGGTGAGCTTTTAGGATGGCCAACCAAATGGCGTCCGTCGTCCGTCCACATTTTAAATATTCTAAGGACATCTTCTATGATACCGCAAGGCCAATGTTAATGAAACTTGGCAGGAATACTCTTTTTTTGAAGCTCTATCAAGATTGTTCAAAGAATTCCATTTCATGCAGAACTCTGGTTGCCATGGCAACCGAAAGAAAAATCTTTAAATATCTTCTTTTAAAGAACCGTAAGAGCTAGAGCTTAGATATTTGGCATGAAACATCTTCTAGTGAGTGTCTACCAAGTTTGTTCAAATAAAAGCCCTGGGGTCAAAATTGGCCCCGCCCCGGGGGGTCATTGATTTTCCCTATATGCATATAGTAAAAACTTAAAAAATCTTCTTTTAAAGAACCGTAAGAGCTAGAGCTTAGATATTTGGCATGAAACATCTTCTACTGAATGTCTACCAAGTTTGTTCAAATGAAAGCCCTGGGTCAAAATTGGCCCCGTCCCAGGGGGTCATAGATTTTCCCAATATGCATATAGTAAAAACTTAAAAAATCTTCTTTTAAAGAACCCAAAGAGCTAGAGCTAAGATATTTAGCATGAAACATCTTCTAATGAGTGTCTACCAAGTTTGTTCAAATAAAAGCCCTGGGGTCAAAATTGGCCCCGCCCCAGGGGGTCATTGATTTTCCCTATATGCATATAGTAAAAACTTAAAAAATCTTCTTTTAAAGAACTCAAAGAGCTAGAGCTAGATATTTAGCATGAAACATGTTCTAATGGGTGTCTACGAAGTATGTTCAAATAAAAGCCCTGGGGTCAAAACTGGCCCCGCCCCGGGGGTCATTGATTTTCCTTATATGTGTATAGCAAAAACTTAAAAATCTTCTTTGAAAAAACCCAAATAGCTTGAGTTTAGATATTATACATGAAACATCTTTAAGTACATATCTACAAAGTTTGTTCAAATAAAAGCCCTGGGGTCAAAACTGGCCCTGCCCCAGGGGTGTCATTGTTTTTAACTATATGTGTATAGTAAAAACTTAAAAAATCTTCTTTTAAAAAACCCAATGAGCTAGAACTTAGATGTTTAGCATGAAACATCTTCTTATGGGTGTCTACCAAGTCTGTTCAAATAAAAGCCCTTGGGTAAAAATTGGCCAGGGGGGTGGCTATATACAGGTGAGCGACCTCAGGGCCATCATGGCCCTCTTGTTTATGTTATAGATAATGATTTTTTTTCTTTCTTTTAGCTCTTGCAAAATACATTTAACAATTTTGTGTTAAAATTTTTTAATGTTTTTTTTTAATGTTGTAAATATTATTTGTTTTTCTCCTCTGTTAGAGACACAAAATCTGTTGCCATGTTATTGTTTAATTTTTTAAAATCTTCTAAGTTGTATGAAAAAGTATATTTTCTCAAGGGTGAGGGTAAAGAAGTTGAAGCTTATAGCCTCAGCTTCTTAACCTACAACAGATTGATTCTCTAGACAATTATTGTAAAATTATCTCAATAACAGTTGTGTGGGGAGTGTTTGGATGGTCATTTTGTCAGTTATTCATTTCATTCTGTAATGTTGGTATGAAAATATTCTGCACAAGACCTGACAAGTATTGTAAATGTTAAAACAAGATTATGCAGTTGAGTTAATTCAAATCACAGCACATATATATTTATATTCATTTTTGTTTCCATTACATCACAAGTTGTATGATCTTACTTAAATACTACTTCTGTTTCATAAACAATACATACAGTGAATTCTGAGGAACTGGACATTGCCATAATGTCCTTGCCTGTGTTGTGTGACTTAACAACAACAAAATCCAACAGTTTTATTTTCTTCACCATATCTGATTGCAAGTTTAAACTAAGATAGGTTGCCTTTGAAAACTTGTTTTCATTTTTTAACAATAATTCATTGACAAGAATAATTTAGTGTCTTTTCAACATTTGTTTTGCCTGTGTGGCTGTGATATACTTGTGTTTATAAAGAAAGCTTCTTTTCAGTTTCAACTGAATGAAAAGCAACCGAACGTTTGTGTAAATACAGTAAAGTTGTTTAGATTTTTTTTAATGTACATATATTATTGAGTCATTGCTTCATATTTGTTTGAATGTTAAAACTTTAATAATGTTGATTCTGTAACTTAAATATGCATCATGTCTAACATGGAAAAATAAATTCAAGTTATATCTTTAATATTTCTTCATTTTATTAGCTCCATTTTTTCAAAGAAAAAATGTTGGGACATTGCTACAGTCATGATGTCCTTCCTGATGCCCATTGCAAACGTTAACATTGGTCATAACTTTTATGATTCCTAATGGATTGTTCTCATATTTTGACACAACAACCCTTTGGATAGGAAGATCTTCAAGTAGACCAGACTGAACTTGACCTTGACTCGCAGTGGCTGAAACTCATAAATGGCCTTTACCTTAAAGTTCAAATTATTGATTTCTGCTGTGATATGCTATAACTTTGTTGTTTTTGAATGTATTGTCTTCATAGTTAAACACAGTTTCAATTAGGAAAAGTTTTCTAAGAATTTTTACCTTGACCTCAAATATTGTAACTTGCACTTGTTGTTTTTGCTTTAATTGGCTTTAACCCGTAAGCAATGAACGAATTACATTTGTAGTCTTCATACTTGACCAAAAATCCTTGGGACAAAACATTTTAGAATATTTTAATGACAGTAGCTTTGACCTTTATTTGACCTTGAAATTCAAGGTCAGTTTACTGAATTCCCTATCTATACCACTGACACATACAATGACACATCACCAGTTTAGAATCATATGACTCAGGTCCAAGACACATGGTCGTCAGGCGGCCCTCGTGGCGGTTTCATAAGCTGGTATTCCTGATATAGGAGTTTGCAACGATTACTTTTCAAAAACGTTGTCATCAAAGCCTCCGTAAAACGGCATTATCATGTACATTCATCATCATTTTGGAAAATATTCTTCAGAAACATTTAATATAATAAAGGATAGTCCACATCATCATATTTCGATGACTCTCTGCATCTATAAACTTCTTCTTTAAATAATTCATGTTTTATTGGTCTTTGAACATTTGCACTGGCAAATTTTACATTGTTTACCATTTTTTCTTCCTCGCAATTATTCATTTTTGATGCCTTGAGACAATTTACAATAATTATATGAACTATATTGTTAAGAAAACAGGGAAACTAAGACTGTTCCTGTTTTGTAAGATGTTTTTTATCGTCTTACTCGTCAGTTGGCGATTTGCTTGATAAGAATAATGGAAATAAAAAAGTGATGAAGGACAATAAGCGTCAAAAATTTATGTTAATTTATTGTTGTAGAAAAGACAAACATGCTTTTTATAATGTTATGATACAATGTAATGGATTAAGGACATGAAAGATGCTCATCGCCTGAAGTATAAAATAACGCTAAATGTGAAATAATTTGTGATAAAGGTAATAAAATATAAACAAAATATAAACAAAATAGTAATTTAATTAAATTCCATACAAAATATTTAATCATCTGCATTCTGCCAATTACATAAGTAGAGTACAGGATTTTTTTTGATTTTTTTTTGTGTTTTTATTTTTTTTGTTTTTTTTGTTTGTTTGTTTTGTTTTGTTTTGTTTTTTTATTGTTGTTGTTTTGTTTTTTTTTTGCTTAATTTTTTACGATGACTCGTGTTGGTGCTACGTACGTAAAATCCAACGAAGAAATGTAATTGTCAAAATGCAAAAGACACAAAAGAAGGGTCAGCTATACATATGGAAAATGAGTAACGTTTTGAAAACTTTAAAAGACCCACCCTTAAAATAAATGCCAATGAAAAATAAACAAGTATTCTATGGCTTAATAGGCTTTTAAGGAAGCGCATATCGTTTCTTTTTTTTTTACATGAATTTAGATTTATGTATTAGATTCATGTGAAGAATGTATTCTTCAGCATAACGGTAAATGATCGAAAATAACTATCGGTTTAACAAAAGATAGCTTGCGTGTACTTGTAAATTATTTAAAAAAAAACTACGGTCTGTTTGTTGTAACATAGTCTATAACCTATTGTCCAATCACTGGGGATTCTATAGTGTAATTTTGAAGTCGTTTTCTCCTGATTTTAATATATTTTCAGTGGGTTAAGTGACGGAAAATCTCCGTAAAATGGTTGTTTTTTTTTGTTCAAAATATATATAGTTTGAAATAAATGAACGAAATGCATGTCAGTCACATATACATATTTCCCTACGGATCAGGAGACCCAAGTGTTCACGCCGTGAGTCTTCATTTGAAAACAATTATATGCGCCCAAACTGTGCCGGTCGTTGGCACAAATGTTTTTCGAGCTGCTGATGATGACAGAAACGCTCAGAAAATGGCTAAAATTCTGACAAACAGTCAAGATTACTCTTATTATTCTATTCTTCGGCTTCTTTTGTGCTGAATTAAGACGTTAAACTATCATTTTTAACATTTTCTCAAGATACCCTACCTATAATAATCGATAGATTTTACATCTGTCGTCATTGTAGCAACCCCCATAACTGGCGACGTTGATAAAAAGATTATTATTATTCATAGACGTTATTTGGCTTTTAACCCCAAATCAGTGTAAAGGGATGGCAAACTTCGTGATAATTTTTTTCATTTGGAAGGATAATTTTGAGAATAAGTAAACATTTCTATTTGAATATGCTCATGCTGTGGCCTGTATAAATTCTCCATTACCGGTTACTTAAACATTATTTGTAGCTTTCGAAACAAAATATTTTTGAATAACTTAATTTAGGCTTAATTTAAGTCTACAAAGAAGCTTTGCTTTCTTGTCAAAAGTATCCGTCCAAATGGAAAAAAATATCACAAAATCCGCCCTTTTTGCACCAGCAATTTCTTTGCCACACTTAAACCACACCCGAAATCACTATATGATCTCCCCCTGCAGAACTATCCATGGCCAGTTTAAGATGACAGTAATGAGCGACCTCGGTCAAACCGAAATCTAATCTGGAATAGGTGCATTGTTATAGCATATTGTACTCAAACGCTTGTATCAAAAGGACTAGACGAAAAATACATATGCACAGTTTACCACCTGACATGTCTGTATCAATTAAATCCTATATCAATTAATATATGTCACAGCAATAACATAGGATAAGAGATAAATTAACTGGTCACTGTTACTTATGAAACCATCACCAATGTACAGTAACTATTATTGTCTTTGGAATTTGTTTAATTTGTTTGTTGTTGTTTTGTTTTTTCAGATGTTTTGCAAACTCCTTATTGTTTGGCTTTTCTTTGCATCCAGCGGAGGTAAGTAAATAAAATCACAAAAATACTCAAAAAGTTTCTTTTTAACCCTTACCCTCTTGGAACCCAAAATGATAAGCCACAGCCAGATGTTCATCAGTGCAATCTGATAAGGCTCTTTTAAAATTTAGTTTCCATTTCCGTATCCTAAAAATTAAAACTTTTCCCTATATTCCACCAGGCATTGAAACTCACGTCATAAATGAATGGAGCTTTTGACCTGTCTCTTCTAAAAGATACATTAAAATTAAATATTTATTATAAACTTTTGTATATCATACAAAATTCAGTTATATAAAAGAAGTTCTTTGACATACCTTTTGATAATTATACACTTTTTATTTCATATAAATAAATTAGGTTTGAATTGTACGCATTATTTCTTTGTATAATCCAGTATCAATAACAAAATCCCCTCTGTATATATACTATAAATCTAAACGCGTTTGTTGTATGCAATATGGACAATTATAATTATAATCGCATATAGTGCTTTATAATTTCAGCATCAATGCTCTGTCCGCCAGGTTGTAAATGCAGTATCTTTAATATGTGTTCTGATTGTGAAGAGAATTACTATCGCCTAGACAACAGTTGCCAGAGATGTTCAGAAAATTGTCTGTCTTGCTATTCTAACAAACGTTGCGATGAATGTGACAGAGGCTACTACTTGCATACATCTACTGGCAACCAGATCCTTTGTCGCCAATGCTCACCAGGATGTCAAATTTGTTCGTCTGAGGAAGAATGTTTGCGATGCGATACGGGATATTCTAAACAAAATAATTCATGTGTAAAATGTAAGCCAGAATGTAAGGAATGCCTGTCGGAAAGCACTTGTGTTGGATGCAATGATGGTTTTCATTTTAATGGCGACTCGTGCCAAAAATGTCCAAGCGGATTTTTTAAGTCTGTTTCATCGTGTTTACCTTGTCCGATGAATTGTGAATCCTGTTCAATTTTTAATGAATGCACAAAATGCAAATCGGGGTACTATGGAATAACCTGCACACAGATGTGTTCATCCGGGTGTACAAATAATGAATGTGACTCGTGGACAGGAAACTGTGATTGCAAAAATGATTATTTTGGACCCAAATGCGACGCTTGCGTTCCGAATAAGTTTGGGGCATATTGCAGAAATGACTGCCGTAGGGGTTGTTTAAATGGTATATGTAACGATGACTCAGGGTCATGTAACGAATGTAAACCTTCTTTTAAATGGCCTTGTAAAGAATGTGAAGACGGAAGATGGGGTGATGATTGTTTAAGCGTATGTCCTAGTACTTGCAAATCATGTCTGTCCGATACGAAATGTCTCAGTTGTAAAGATGGCTATTATGGCGTGAGTTGCAACGCAAGATGTTCATATGGGTGCTCATCCGATGTTTGTGAATATGAAACAGGTGTCTGTTCGAAGAGTTGTAAAGCAAACTTCGAAGGTCCGTATTGCGACCGGTGCATAGCAGGAAGGTACGATAATTACTGCAGTAAACCATGTCCGGCAAATTGTCAAGATCATGTATGTGATGTGAATGATGGCACCTGTTTAAAAGGTTGCATACCGGGATTTCATGGGCAACACTGCAACCTGCCGTGTCCGTCGAACTGTACTATTTGTAGCGAGGTAACAAAATGTCAGGCTTGTGTTGATGGATTTTGGGGTAATATCTGTACGAACAAGTGTTCAAACAGTTGCTTAAACAGAGAATGTCATTTAAATGGAACTTGTATTTCGTGTATACCCGGATTCTATGGCAATCATTGTGACCTGCATTGTCCGGAAAACTGTATGGGCTCTGTCTGTACACTGGATGGTTTTTGCTTCAACTGTAAGTCAGGATATTCTGGTAAACTTTGCTCAGAGCCATGTTCGAGACGCTGTTCATCAGAAAAATGCAAATTTGATGGAACTTGTTATGAATGTGTTCCCAAATTCTATGGAGACAGATGTGACAAGAATTGTCCTAAACATTGCCTGTCATGTACGAATAGTACATGGTGTACAACTTGTGACAATGGTTACTTTGGACCTTCCTGTAGTGATCGGTGTAGTTACTGTAAACTCAACACTACCTGTAACAAAGAAACAGGACATTGTAAACAGTGTGACGACGGTTTCTATGGGCCTGTTTGTAACTTGAAATGTAATGAGAATTGTAGAACATGTAATAGTTCAAGTAAGAATGCCGGTGGCAGTTGTTTATCTTGCAAAACGGGATGGTATGGAGGGTATAATAGTGGTACTTATTATCACTGCAACCAAAGCTGTTCCACTAATTGCTTAAAATCATCCTGTAACGTATACAGTGGAACGTGTGAACACGGATGTCAGGTCGGTTATTGGGGAAGTTTTTGCTCGAAACTATGTCCTGCAAATTGCAAACACAGTGGATGCCACAGTAATAACGGAACATGTATACATGGTTGCCTTCATGGTTACTATGGCAATAAATGTGACTGTCCAGAGAATTGTTTTTGTATAAAGCCTGGTATCTGCTCTGAATGTAAGGCTGACTTTGAAAATGTTGACCGAAACTGTACATGTACTGTAAAGGCTTGCCAAAACCCTACACAATGCACGTCATGCCTTGATTCTACATACTATATGTCTAACTCTTCTTGTTGCAAATGCAATAAAAATTGTGACCAAAATAAATGTACGTCAGAGTTTCAATGTAAAACAGGATGTAAACCTGGGTATTACGGATCCGCGTGTCTGACCACGTGCAATGCACGTGCTGCGTTCTGTACGGAATGCACGATAGATAAAGACGGGGAGTACGATGACTGTTTGTCGTGTGGTGACGGTTATTTTCTCCAATTTAACTACACTATGCATAAATCACAGTGTGAACAATGTAAAAAGTCGTGTATCGATGGAAAATGTGATGCAAATGAAGGTTATTGCCTTCTAGGCTGTTTAAATGGAACTTGGGGAGAACAGTGTGAAAAACAATGCTTCAGAAACTGTTTCCATTGCGATCGTCAAACAGGAATTTGCACCAGTTGCGTTGGTGACGCATTTTATGGTCTATTCTGTGAACAGAAATGTAACGAAAACTGCGTTGATAAAGTGTGTAATAAATCAACAGGGAACTGTGTTCACGGCTGCAAAGTCGGGTTTTATGATGGAAATTGTCAAATTCCATGCAGTAAAGACTGCATCAACGGGACATGTGATAGAGACACAGGATACTGTGTTGTCATAAAAGGTAAGATTTTCTCGAATAGCTTATAGCATGCATAAACAAGTTGAAACTTTTCATTTTCATTAACGAAAAGGTATTGTAGGATAACAAGTTTGTGGATGATTACAAAAAGGTCACGGTCATTCCAGTTGTACTTTTGGTACTTTTCTATATTCAGGTGAAAGTGGAAGGGATGATTTATTCTTACAGCCTGTCGGCATCTCGATTATGCTGATATGTGTAGTTGTGTCCATGATTTGTTCGAGTATAGCCATTATCTGTGTCGTCAAAAAGCGGTATGTAGTGTTATTATTTTTCTATTATATATAATAATTATTTCATATTTTAATAAAGGAAGAATATTTTTGTCAAGACAGAATGGATTGGGTGAGGTAGTGAGTAAGTTAGTGCGCGCACGCGAGTTGTGTGTGGGTAGGCTTTGTGTAGCCTTCAGCCGGTCGGCTCAGTGAGTAACTGTGGGAAGGAGCCAGGGAGGAAGTGTTACAGATTATTTGTTTACATTGTTCAGACTCTAAGTTATCGTTACTTTATCATAGGTAATATTTTTGTCTGGTATCACAAATTAACAAACCATTGTGTCGTTTGAAGGCTGTGTTGTCATTAAGACATTATTAAGCTGCATTGAAACATTTACACTGTTAGTTTTTATTTTGGAAGAGCATAGTGGTAAGGATGACCTCCCAACACAGGGTTCATGGGTTCGAGCCCTTCTGGGGTCAGAGCAATGCCCCGGGTAATTCGTAGAAAAAGAATCGAGTGTATCATATAAATATATTTGGTAAAAAATTACATATTGGTAAAACTTTCATTTCATTAGAATGTGATTGTGTGATATAAATATATTATTATTATTTATGATATTGAAGTCATTATATCATTTTGTTTAACATTTTAGTCGAAATGGGAGACGCCAAAATATAGACTTACACTCGAGCGTTAACTTTGATGGCATGGGTGATTTGGGTAATTATTATAATTTTTATTTGAAGGCGAACGCTACAGTTTTAATACAATGAAAACTGCATACTACAGTACCAGTAATACGTAATTTTATTTAAACCTTGCCAAATCTTAGACAAGAGCTGTCGGTAGGACAGCAACGCTCGACTATTCTTAGTGCTTGATTGTAAAAAAAAATGCTTGATACAGTTACCTACTCCTGTTTACAGATTGGGGTAATGATGGTGAACAAGTGTGCAAAGTTTCAAAGCCATATGTCAATGGACTTTGAAAATATTTGAGGTATTACAAAAACTTTAACGCAAATTCTATGCCCAAAAAGGGGAATAATTCTGTCAAAATGCTTGATACAGTTACCTCCTCCTGTTTACAGGTTGGGGTAATGATGGTGAACAAGTGTGCAAAGTTTCAAAGCCATATGTCAATGGACTTTGAAAATATTTGAGGTATTACAAAAACTTTAACATAAATTCTAAGTCGAAAAAAGGGGCATAATTATGTCAAAATGCTTGATACAGTTACCTCCTCCTGTTTACAGGTTGGAGTAATGATGGTGAACAAGTGTGCAAAGTTTCAAAGCCATATGTCAATGGACTTTGAAAATATTTGAACTACAAATGTATTACAAAAACTTTAACGTAAATTCTAAGTCGAAAAAGGGGCATAATTCTGTCAAAATGCTTGATACAGTTACCTCCTCCTGTTTACAGGTTGGGGTAATGATGGTGAACAAGTATGCAAAGTTTCAAAGCCATATGTCAATGGACTTTGAAAATATTTGAACTATTACAAAAACTTTAACGTAAATTCTAAGTCGAAAAAGGGGCATAATTCTGTCAAAATGCTTGATACAGTTACCTCCTCCTGTTTACAGATTGGGGTAATAATGGTGAACAAGTGTGCAAAGTTTCAAAGCCATATGTCAATGGACTTTGAAAATATTTAAACTATTACAAAAACTTTAACATAAGTGGTTACGCCGACGCGGACGCCGACGCTCGGGGTACTACAATAGCTCTACTTATTCTTATCGAATAGTCGAGCTAAAAATGATAACCGATATATATTTTGAGCAGTAGAATTGGAGATCACCCATCTCGGGTGTATCAACTACATGTGTATGCCCCTGAAAAAATCCCCATTTTGGGGGAGGGAGAGGTGATTTTTGTTTTCAGGACAGACTGCATGGACATAAGTGTAACAAACATACTTATTATTTTGGTTCATGTTTTTCATTCTATCCTTGGTCATCTACATGAAACCCCTTCTCACCTTGATTGTGAATTATCTGCCCTTGAATTAAGCAAAAAAATCAAATTCAAGGGCAAATAATAGGTGACCTTTAAATGCTGCTGAAAATATTACTGTCATTGTATTTTAAAATTAAGCAAAGGTGAAACAGAATCTTTTACTAGTATATGTTTAAGTGAATACTGTAGCGTCCGCCTTTGATCATTATTTACAATTATCAAACGAGTCGAAAGAAGGTAACAAAGTAGATCGTTCCAATACAGTAAATGTGAAAAATATTCACACCGCTTTGATTCAGCGATGCTACAAACTAATTAAAGTTTTTTATATTGGATCAATTAAAGTAAACAGAGTCTCCATCTATGTCTTGAATAATGGTAATTTTGTAGGGGGAGGGGCGTTACTTAATTATTTATATATTTTTACATTTACAGACCACGTGTATATGAAGCCATCCGGATCTTCAACTCACGATGCTCCACTAGTTAATTTATATAGTACAAGCTGTAGGGCAAGCGAAATTGATACAGATACGTACATACATCCTATCCTTACTGACAACATACCGTCACCTGACTACGAGGAGATCATGTGATATGTTATCACGCGATATGCAGTTATAAAACATGTCACGTGACAGATTTGCTTGAATTACAGACAATGCTTAGACACCTCGCCTTGACATACTAACTTCAGTTACAGTCCATCCTTTTTACATTGGGAAAATATAACATGGCAGCAGATAAAAATTGGGAAATTTAACAAAAATATATATTAATAATAATCATATGTGAATTTTCATAAAAAAAGCCAGTTAGGCCTAAAATTGAGCTGGTCGTATCCACAGACATTTGGGGTTTGGAGCTCAAAACGCCTTTAAAATCCAAATAAAATGCATATTTGTCAATCCCAGCACATGTACTGATCATATATATAAAAAAAAACTTAATATAAGCCGTTTTGAAAAAAATTCATATTTCAACATCTATAATAATACTATAGTTGTTGAAATGTGATTTTTTTTCAAAACGGCATATATTAAGATTTTTTGATATATATGATCAGTACATGTGCTGGGATTGACAAATATGCATTTTATTTGGATTTTAAAGGCGTTTTGAGCTCCAAACCCCAAGTGTCTGTGGTCGTATCTTCAGTACCTCTATTCTATGTAAAGGCTGGATTATTTCACACACAAAAAGAAATATATATTTATCACCGGCAGTGTGTATTAAAGCAGCAAGCCTTCAGATTTGTTTTTAAATTTTATGAAAACCTTAAAAACTGCATTGATGAGTAAATGTGTTGTTAAGTGTAATGTAAATCTTCGGCGATTTAGCATAGACCAAGGCACTATCCATATAATCCGTGGAGAAAAAGTAAATGTTTGGTAACAATACAAATGTACTAGGTGTTATTCAGTCATATTTTGCGTTAGTCATTCATTTTAAAATATAATGTCGCTGACATTGTGTTGATGTTATACATTCAGTACTTTATAATCATAATCACATTTTAAACAAAAACAAAGGTTGCTAGAAACCCATACAGATTTAATAAATCACAGGATGTCGTCTGCGATTGTCTCTAAACTTCCCTCTTTTCTTCCTTAATATTTCTCATTCAGGATGAAAAATAAAGATATTGTTTTTATATTCTATGGAAGTTAAAAGATATCCGTACATTAAAAGTGTCATTTTTTTCGTTTATTGTACAAATGTATTTATGTCTTTCTAAAGTCACACATATGGCAACTTTCCAGATGATGCTGTCAATGATACCTAATAAGACTTTCTGTATAGACATGCGCTGTTTCAGATTTTTTATAATTTATTATTGGATTTAACGTCGCACCAAAACAGTATAGGTCATATGGCGACTGTCCAGCTTTACAGGTGAAGGAAGACCTCAGGTGCCCCTCTGTATATTATTTCAGACACAAGCGGGCACCCGAGTAGAACCACCGACGTTCTGTAAGCTAGATGGATAGCTTCCTCACATGAAAGAATCCAAACTCCCTGTCAGAATATGAACTCACAGTGGTAGTTTGATAGCTTTCTCGCATGAAGAATCAGAAGACGCTAGTGCCTCTGTCTCAAACACATGTGCAAGCTTCCTTGTAACACACTGCAACAAATAATTTGTCTCTTCCAAATCACTTCTAACATTATACAGCAAAGTTCTTTCTAAATTTTAAAACCCTAGGCTAAAGTTATTCATTTGTATGGTTTTTAACACGAGTTCAATCTATTTTTATGGTTTTCTAATTTTAAATTATATTGGTAAAAGCATCATACGTGTATTATTTCTGGCAAAAGCAGGTATTGAAAACTGGCAGAATTTACAGTAATGTTTAATGACGCACGCCAAATCAAAATCCAATCAAAAATGCTACATCTTAAAGGCCTTCATTTCACATAGAGAACCATTTATATTTAACTATTTAAATCTCTTAAAGGTCCATTAAAAGCGAAAAATGCTACATGTACATCATTTTTATTTCACAAAAATCTTTTTCTCGATTGTGATTTACATTTTTCCAAGACAGTTAAGGTCACATGGTGACTTTATAGCTTAACTGGTAGAGGAAGTCCCCAGGTGCTCCTCCGTGCTTTCAGGCACCTGCGTAGAACTACCAATTCTGTAAATTAGCTGGATAGCTTCCTCACATGAAAGAATCCAAAGTCCTTTGACGGGATTCGAACCCACAGCGTTTACAGGAAAGTGGTTTGAACTCAACGACCTTTACAACTTAGCAACAGACACCCTAAATCCATCCCTCGACATGTCTTACACAGTGGCAATAAAACTTTCTTGTTAAAAAAAACAACGGCTAGGTCCTGAAAGAATTTCAATCAACACATCTCATATATATTAAAGTGATTACAATATTCACTGGATTAAAGGATTAAAAAACATTATAGCATTTTCACAGTATTTTTATTAGTCATTTTAGGATCAAGAAAGAAAAGGTTAAAGAAAAAAATCTTTGGAACAGTACAGTCATACATAACTTTAAAAATATATAATTTTTCTTAAGGTTTTAGTTCTAAAAGGTGAATATTTATTATTACATTATGATCAATGTCCGTCAGTAAAAAACAACGAACAAAAAAATGAGGAAAACATGAAAAACAATAAAAGAAAGTGTCAGCATTTTATAAAGCAGATACAAGTGTATGTGAAAGTTAAGCCAAAGCAAAATTGTTGCTTTATATAAAGAAAAAACTTTTTCAAAATTTTCCCAAATTTCAACTCTGACATTTCATTTTTAAAATGCCAGAAAAACCACCTTCTTAAGAAAAACCGGGGTAACCCAGACTAACTAGAATTTTTGTTTGTTTCATTTTAGCCCTTTTCCAAACATCATTTCAGTCAAACAGGCGAGAACTTTTGTAATGTATGACCAATTTAATGTCTGACAGAGAATCTTATTTTTTTGATATATTAAAATGTAAAGCAGATACCAGAGTAGAATCATTGACCCTTAAATGTGACATTATGCGCATTTTTTTTTCTATTGTGAAGTTGAGCTGAATATGTATATGTATTTCAAAAGATGGATTATTAAAATGATGATTGACCAATAATTGATAACGACAAATGATTAGGATATGCCAAAGCAAATGCCCAAGTTATACCCATTTTTTTATCAAGTAAATATTTTGATAAATAATGAAGAATATCCACAAAAATTTCCATTGGTTATCTGTCTCAAAGGTTATTTATTGTTATATGCAAAATATAAAATGGAAATTAATTATGGTAAAATGGCAAGCTATTATCACTTTTACCAGTACACTCACCATTTACACATGAATGGGGGCATAATGTCACTTTAAGTAGTCAAACTAGCGTAAAACAGTAACTAACGAGATTCAAACTACAGATTTAAATTGAAACATAATAACTTTTTTTCAGATAACCCCCCTCATCCTAACGAGATTCAAACCATATTTTTTTGTAGAATTTTTACAGTGAAGGTCATTCCCACTCGGTTGTGCCTGGCGGTTTGGAGGAGAGATCGTACATCACACGAGATATTCCTGGAACAGTTTCTATGGCCTTTACCATATCTTCAATCACCTGGAAAATATTATCATAATTTTATCTCCCTACAAATTAAGAAATGAACTATTTCATAGAGCTACAGAACACTTTGTATTCTATCAAAACTGCAAACTGCATATTGAGAGCTATTTTTTATGCAAATTAAAAAAAAAAATCATTTTTTGGGATTTGTTTTTTTTTTTTAATTTTATTTTCCCAAAGGGTTTAGTTTATACAAGCAACCACATTTGGGGGGAGAAAAGCAGTAATCCAAATAACCTGGTTAGTTAAATCCCCAACTAAATAACCTTCTCAATGAAAGAAACTGCCCCTTCAAAAATAGTAAAGTGGAGAGGTGAAATTTCAAAATTTTGTTCAAACATTTGGAAAAGGGCAACTTACATATAAAAAAAAATTTAACTTTTTGGAATTACCTTGGGGCTAAAATTTTCCCCCTAATTTTTTTTAAATGGAACCGTTTTTTTCTTAAAAACATGTTTTTTTGAACAGGCAAGTGTTTGTCCGGTTGAGCAGCAATACCCGTCATAAAGTCGTGGGTGAGGAATGTTCTAATCACGACTGACCTTTGACACGACGGCTGATGTTGTGATAGATCTCGATCAAAGTGTAATGGCACAATAACAATAGGCATTTGACTAAGTTTATGTGTACATTTAGAGTCATGTAATACTTTAGTTGCGACATAGTCTGTTTGTCTTAACGTACTTAAAACACCCTCTGTGAGATACGTGGGAGTGATATCTTCCACCGGAAACTTTATAGGATCTCCAAATATATACACAACTCTGAAATAAGAATATACAGAAAAAATATTTAATAGTAAGACATTTTCATTGGAAATTTGTCTCGAACTCAAAGGGTCAAACAAAACATCAGATGCCATTACAAATTAATCCATGCAATATGAAACCAATACCAAAGAGACAATTTCTAAAATGATATCAATAACAACAGGTGAAATGCTGAAAAAGGAAGGTGTACTTCACTGTACCAATTATCTAATAAATCAGCGGATATATTGAGGGTGGAACGCAAATCAGTTGTAAGCCCTTTTTTACTTAACATACAATACTGCAGTTTTGAGGTCAACTGTCAATATGTAAATGTAGAGGTTATGAATAATGTAGGAAACCATTAATGCCAGTAATACAATAATACATGTATTTTATTTTTTCCCTGTATTTTCTGGGAGCATAATAAAGGAAGTTTCCACTATTTCAAATATTAACACTATGTTTTTAGACTTTTGCTAATTCTTTCCCATCAGGACAAAACATTTTTTTATTAATGATACAGTTCATTTTTCAAGCTTTTATGGTTGAGTTTCTCGGTACATAAAAACTGTTAGAATCATATGCCAACCTACAACCTTTACCGGTAGAGAAAGACCTTCAGTCAATATATATGTTGTATATGTTAAAAAAATCAGTCTACCATAAAAGACTGGGTCAACTGTTTTTGAGTGAGACCAAAAAATTGTTGGAGCACCACCCTAATACTGTATTTCAGTATACAGGGCGCTTGAATGATAAAATGACAAAATCTCGCCTTTTCACCCAATGCGCTTAAGGATGTCTAATTTATTTCTTCACACTTATTTATGTATAATTATGTACGTAAAATGTACAAATCAGCAAAAAAACCTGATATTTTCTACTTTGTGATCATGATTTCTGCAAGCGTCTAGACTAACTGCTCAAACACTGTTGCAAGTTAAATCCAACTGTTTAACACGACAGAATTCAACACCCTGGTGTGATTTTAACCCATATCAAAGAGATTTTTGCTCGGTGACATTACCATGGAGACGCCTAAAGATAAAACTATTACCTGTTAATATTATGACAAATTCTAGGTATAAGTTTCGCCAATGTCATTATTTTGTTCCAATCTACATCAGCAGGTTTGGTTTTAGATGAAAGACCAGCCACATAGCTATAAGTTCTACAGTCACCCTACAAAATAAACACAGTTATTACACAATTTTAAGAATCATCAATGTTAAGAATCGTTTCATTGTTTGCCTGGTTTCAGTGATTTTCCTGCTTATATAACAGACTCCGATAAAGGGCCTCTTCCCAATTGAAATTTTCTTTAAAATCATGCAGTTTTCCCAAAAATCTGAACTTAAACCTGCTTTTTTTATTCCCAAATAAGCCAGTGGAGTGTTAAAAGTATAAGTCTAGTCACAGACACTATAAAAATCATATAGCAATGCTTCTTTATTGTTTGAAGAAGATTATTTCAGACACAAACTCTGGGAAAAGCTATCAAACTAAAGTAACCTAACGAGAAAGATTTCTAAAATATAAGTTTTCTAGTATATATATATAGAAATTACTGGTGATTATTTAATTGAATACATTGTTACTTACCTGTACTCCTACTGTTTTTATTGGCAGTAAAGTTGCTATGAAAGTATTCTCTTTACTAAACTGTTCCAAGAATTCTTGCTCCTCTTTTGATGTACACTTTAATATTTTACTGAGTAAATTATGCGGCTGGAAGGAAAATAGAACAATGACAGTAGCAATATTTCTCAAATGGTCATTTTGCTTGCTCATTCAATTTTTATGTTAAAAGATACGGCAAATGTTCAACACTATTTCACATTGAGGTAGAGGTCACGTATCTCATTTTACAATTCAGAATTTACTTTAAATATTTTTTACCTGCACAGCAACTTTTCATTATAGCTAAGAGTCATCATGAATAACAAAATTTTAATCTTTTCTTTTAATTAAAGTACATAAAGCTATATATCTATTGACCGAGGATAGTAAAATTATTGCTTATATTGCCATTAAAATTACAAAATTAAAACCGAGTGGGGCATGCATGAAACTATTGCCATACCTAAAAAAAAATAGCATAGGAAAATTTTGTTTTGAAAATTTTTATTCTGTTAATACAATATTGTGTAGATAAGCTAGCAGCTGGATAGCTTTCTAATATGAAAAAAATCAAAATCCCTTACAGGATTTGAACAGGCAAGTGGTTTAATCACAGAAACCCCTATCTTGTATTAAACAAATAACTTACAGTTTTGGATGCCTGTGCAAAATCTACGATGAATTTTAAGATAACAGCAGTCTCTGGAAAGTCTTTACAAATATAAGGTTCTTCAGCACAAATTACACGTATAGCTAGACCTGGACCTGTAAAAGTACAATACTAACATGTAATTATGACAGTCTCCGTAACTTTCATCATCTAACTTCCATTTTCAATAAAAAAGCCATATATTATAAGAAGATATTTTCTGCTGTTGGCCATACACAACAAGTTCTTGCAACTTATATTAATCACGTTCAAGTACACTTCCTGGAACTAACCAGTACTTGTGTAATATGGAGAAACATGGTTGTGACCCAAAAGTTAAACAGAGCTTGAACCCATAACCCTTAATCCCTGGGTTTAGAGGCACACACCTTAACCACCAGGCCACCGTACCCCTTCAACAACATTAATTTTGTAAATAAAAATACATGATTTAAACAAAGCAGTTATTACAATTTTAGTTGTCCATATTTTACATTTTAAGTAAATTTTAAGATAATATGAATAATGTAGGGAGGGAAATATCTAACTTTTAAAAAAAATCTTGTTTTTAAATCACATTGACAATGTTGAGGTCATATAAGGATATATTGCCGCTATCAAACTTTTTCTGGAGAATAGAGACTTCAAAAGCCTATCTGTTCATCGTATCAGTCACAAGCTGGGGTTTTCTTGGCTTTGTTTATTGTTTTGGTTTTTTTGTTTGTTAGGTTTTAGGTTTTATGTCCCATCAACACAGTATAGGTCATATGGCGACTGTTCCGCTTTACTGGTGGAGGAATACCTCAGGTGCCCTTCATGCACTATAGGCACATAAGTAGAATAAAACCACTGATGTTCCTTAAGCTAACTGAATAGCTTCATTCAAAGAAAGAATCCAGAGTCCCTGTCGTGATCTGAGCCCACAGAGGTGAGGGCAAGTAGTTTGACATCAACAACCGAGAAAAGCAAACAAATCATATGTTAGAGACCTCATTTACAAAGACGATAATTGAGAGAGCGAAAAAAATTACTCTGAGGTTAATATTTGTCACCTAGACCAATACTTGGAATGTAATTTACCTGGAAAAGGGTGCCTACTGACCATTTCACTCGGTAAACCCAAATCTCGTCCTATTGCCCGTACTTCATCTTTGTGAAAATCTTTCAATGGTTCAACTACTCTACCCTGTATGAAACATAATAACATTATTTTACTAAGAGTATTGTAATCATTGTTTGTTTATCTATTTTTTACATCAATTTTTTTTTATAATTTCTTGGCAGTCAGTCTACCTAACCGACTTTCCTTGATAACTTACTGGAAATTATCAATTTCAGTCAGTAACTGACTTGATTACCACGTGATTTCTGCATCACACATTAGAGACAAATGACCATTAGAATCCATGTCCTAAAATCAATTGTCAAGGAGAAAAATAAATCTTGTCCTAAGATCAAACTAATAACCCCTGGTCCTGTGGTTACAAATCCCAAGCTCTCCCTATTAAGCTTGGCAGAAAGCAATGATAAGATTAAATACAGATATTAAACATAGAACATATGCATGATGTTTGTTTGTTTGTTTGATTGGGTTTAACATCACACCATCACAGCACAGGTCATATGACGACATTCAAGCTTTACTGCGGTTGAGAAGCACCTCAGGTGCCATTCTGTGCATTTTTTCAGGCATGAACGGGAACCTATGTAGAACGACAGATGTTCATCATTTGCATGAAATAATAGATTAAAATTATTGTAATCTAAATATTTTTTCAATATTAAAAAAAACTTGAATGAATGCATCTCACTTAATCATGGTACTTAGTTAAAAGCTACAATTTTTTATATATCTGTTGACAAATCTAACGGTCAGAACAAACAACTTATGTAGGACTTGATAACGAAACATTTCTGTCATGTTTTAATTCGATAAGACAGGTTAAGTAGTGAACACTTTCAATAATATTCCAGGGAAATAACAGAGCACCTTATTTTGCCTTTTTAGTGAGAGTAACATTTTAATCCTTCAAAACAGTATAATCTGTTTTTTGGCTTCCTTTTCATTTGCGTCAACAGTTGACTTTCAACGTCAAATATGAATGCAATTTTCACAGAAAACACCGTAACTTGTAAAGTTTTGCAAATATTATTGGCCTTTTGTTTTGTTTTTGTGTCTTCTTAGCTTTCACCCCTGGTCCTCGTGTAAAGGTTCACATACCTGTTTTCTTAATTCTCTCACAAGATCTGTGTCATTATGATGTGTTTTTATTGCGTCTGCTTTACCACTAGCAAGTTCCGATGCACTCTCGATCAAATCTGGTCGTAACGTACCCTGACCTAAATAAACCTCCTCCGGTCTCAAATTCAACTCTTCTATAACTTCATTTGCAACCTGAATATATATAACAGCAAATTCTATTTTAGCATTTCATTGTACAAAATTACTTACTACAAAGCTTACATCTAAAAAACCTATTATTTCAATCATAACAATTATGACTTTATCATGTTTTCCTCTTTTCATGCTTCTGTCATCAGAATAGTTCTATTTCCTGAAAAGCTGTAATAAAATCTCAGGAAAACAACTAGATCTTTTAAGAACAGAACATAGCAAACAGCTTTGAATCCTAGTTTTCAATTTCAAGGTACATTTGAAGTTATAGTACTAGTCATAAAGTCAATTCTATGTGTCAAAATAGAAAACTGAAGTGGATCACTGATGATGATATTATTAAAAATAAGTGTCTATTCTCTTGACAGGTTTGGCAGATATAGTAGAAAGATAATTTAATAAATAATGATTATTTACTTTTAAAGTCCTTAGAAAACTTTCAAGTAAGCAGTTATTTAATACGAAGAATGACCAAGTACTCCATCTCTGAAATCGATACTTATTGCAAACTCATATATAGAGTCTTCATTTTTATCGGTGCCAACAAAAACAACCCATTTGGCCAATGGTCAAGAAGGGTATCTTAATCTACAGGCTGAAAATACAACCAATTTTAACAGCATTATAACTGATGATATGAATCGCCAATCTGTTATTATGACAACCCTGCATATATTAACCATGGTAAGTTTTTAACAAACCTTCATAAAAGTATCGCCTATAATCTTCCTCTTCTCTTCAGGATCTACTGTAGTATTTAATGTGTTTGTTTTTCTCTTCTTACCATCACTACTCCCTGAGATAAACGTCTTACCACTGTAGAACTGATGAGCTGCTTTGATTACTGCAAGTAACAAGAGCATCACATGCCGTGTTAATGATCATCTATTAAAATAACCGACTTTGACAACAAATTCTATAAAATATAAAGCTGTTATGAAAGAAAAGCATTGCAACGCTTCACATTTTCAGATCATTTTACTCAATACCAAGAGCTGTCGGTAGGACAGCATGCTTAACTATTTTCAATGCTTGAAACAAGAGACTAGATAATGTAGAATTTTTTAAGTTCAAAAAGGGCCAAAATTCTGTTAAAAATCCATGTAAGAATTATGGACCCTCAGGGATCATTCTGGTCAGGATTTTTAGTGAGAGATTTTCTCTCACTTGAGAAATTTTAATGAGAGAAATTAGATTTTCTTGTGAGATTTAATTTTCATGATGGGCAAGGTTAAAAATATGGAAATTTCTTACTTTTTAAAATCACTGTACATATAAACATTGTTTATCTAATGAGGATATAGATGTAGCTCTGTTTATTACAGTGATTTTTGTTTTCACTTTTTTGATTCACCCTATGCCTTTCTTTTGTGAATTTTTAAACATAATAAAATTCTAATTGTGAAAAATAAATAACACACTTTCATTCTGAAATATAAAAGAATTATACATGGATATCTACTACAACTATTATTTGCAGCCAATGTTCCTAATGGACAACACTTTACTGTACAGAAGTGATTGTCGAGATTTGAAGAATATTTTTTATAACCTTACATTTTGTTTTCTTTATGATTCTCTTCACACACCTCCCTCCATTAAAAAATGTTCATTGAATATGTGACCTGAACACATAATGACAAATATCTCCATATCCACAAATATAAACAATACCTAAAGTAATTTTTATTCATAAACATCATTTTTAGTGTTATAAAACACCTTTGAATAACACTCAGCTTCCTTTTAGTATTTTTTTTAATCACGACATCGCGAAAATATGTGACAAATGAATATTTGTCTGTTTTCCGCTGAAACATTCACAATTCTAGCTGTTGCTGATTGCAATTATATAAAATTAAATACTTTTGTTCAATAAAAGAATATTTATTATCGGCTATTTCATCAGGAATCGTAAAACAAATTTTTTTAATTTGTTCTTTATGGCAAAATTTACGTGGTTGATGTGACATTTAGAAGACAAATTTTACCGATATTTGGTTTTGACATGTCCATTTTTATGTTAGTCTGTGTCTAACAATTTTTATTAAAATCAATTAAAAGTGTTATGTGTAAATTCTCGACTTACAGATAGATAAAGGTTACAATAGCCATCATACCGTATTTTGTATGGTGAATTTGCGGTCTCCGATCGGCAATTATTTTAGGCTAAATAATTTAAAGTGTTGGACTACTTTTTGGAGCTTTTTTTACACCGATTTCATTAATAAATAATTTGAAACTAAATTCTTGATGGGAATCGTAAATTTTTCATCATATTTTTGTCTGATTTTAGCATTCTTTAGATTGTGATTAGACATTTTCCGGCTCAAATTGCCGTGCGAGATTTTCTCTCATTTCACAAATTTCTCTGAGATTTTGGTGATTTTTTTGCGAGAAATCGCGGAAATCGCCCCCTAGAATAATCCCTGGACCCTGGTAAGTATCCTATTATGTTCTCAAATAAGTGTGTGAAATTTAAACCCATTCTTTTCAGAAGTTTTGGAGATACCAACTTTCACAAAAAAATTTAACCAAAGTGTGTCGCCAACACCTGGATGAATACAATAGTAAAATAGTCAATCTAAAAATGGTTATTCTGGAAAAATGAGTGAATAAGCTGATATTTTGCACAAACATAATTGGTCCAGAACTACAAGAAATGACTCAAAAATCTTGGAAATATATATAAATTTGGTCCCTTCACATCAAAAAACATCAGTGGGTCCCTGTAAATATGATGATAATGCAAATTCATTAAAGCCTGAATGAAAAAACAACAGCTTTTGGACAAAACTTTGACATGTCACAATGCAAACTGAAAGCGTTCCACAGAACTTCAACAAACTTGTCTATATAAAGCTTTCCAGATGATTGATGGTTCTAAGCAAATTCCAAAATACCTTCAACATCAACTAAAATCATTAAAACATAAACTATAATACCTTTAACATGAAGACCAATCTTATTAAGAGAAGTCTCGACATGTTCACTCTCGTGTTTTCTCATGAAACCATTGTCTATATGTACAGCTATCACCTGATCGTCTGGTAAAGCTTTATGTAACAGAGCCGCACATACTGTAGAGTCTACACCACCACTTAACAACATCTAAAATCATAAATCTTGGCTTTCTTTAAAGTGGCATCAACACAACATAGATCTGATCTTATCAAGCTTTACTGGTGTAGGAAGACCCAAGGTACCCCTCAATAAATTATGTATGTCACAAGTATCTAAGTAGACTGAGGTAGACTGAAGTAAGCTGCACAGCTTTCCTCATGCGAAGGAAATCCAAAGATCCTGGTGGGATTCAAACCCGGAAATGTGCGTGGCAACTGGCGCAGTCATGTTGAATATATGTGATTTAATATATCTATGTATGTAATTTAAATAAATTTGCAATTAAAAACTGTTTACTTTTAAAATAACCCCTTCAATGAGATATAACATATCATTTTTCCCCATAGAAATAGGGCAATCATATAAACATAATGCACAAAGAAATAAATGGAGAATATGTACCAGTATTTTATGATCTCCTGCAGTCTGTTTAATATATTCTATACACTCGGTTTCTCTAGAAGCCATTGTGAACGTAAAATGGCAACCTGCCAAAGTGAGGAAGTTTTTCAGAATCTGTAAACCATTTACTGATAAATCTACTTCTGGGTGAAACTGTACACCATACAATTTCTTTGCATCATTTGATATGCCTGCAAGTAATTAAGATAAAAAATGTATATAACCTTCCTTATTGACAAACTGTTTAAAATGTTTAATTATTTATTGATGCTTTTAACTTTCCTTTGAAGGGCAAACATTTCAATTCTTTAATTTGTTTTATGTAATATAAACATTGCAAAAATGGCATTCCAGTTTAAATTGCGGCTGTGCCACCTCTGCATTTTTTCAGGCAGAAGTGGGATCTTGAGTAGAACCACCAACTTTCTGTACGTTTGCTAGACTGCTTCCTCAGATTAAGATTCCATAGCCTATGGTAGGATTCAAACCCACAGCAGTGAAGAATTATGTGGTTCAAAAATCTGCAACCTTCACCACCCTGCTGAGAGCCCTCACTTAGTAACATAAAGTTTGTGCTGAGCTATGTCACACTAAGTTAAGGATGTTAACAACAGCAGTGACAGAGGACTTATCCCTGCTCTTTCACTAGCAGAAACGGTCACTATTTTGGTGTAAAAACGTTGCTAAAATAAGATATCAAATCAAGTATCTCTGTCTAATTTCCTTCTGTCTGAACTTCTATTAGAACAGTAAATTTCTTTCGATCTTTTAAGAAAAATAACATCTGAAATGCTCATACGCCGGTAGATCATACCTGCTATAATGTTGCCTGAGTGAGCGATTGCTTTAAAGTTAGGTGCCAGCTTGCCAATACTGTCTCCATGAGTTAACAATACTTCTTGAGATTTCTCTAAACCACTGAAATATCAATACATTTATTATGTAATAATACCAAAGTTGATTCATTTATATTTGTTTATCTGGGTTTTTGCTTATATTAATATTATATTTTTGGTCATATTTCTGCAAACTAATCCACTAAGCAGTCTCTACAGTAATAAACAATTTCTCCACTGGTGACTCACATGATTTCTGAATAATCAAGAGACAAATGACCATAAAACTCAATGTCCAAGATCAATTGTTACAATGGAACTTCCCCTTGCCCGAGGATTTAACCAGCCACACCTGGATTGCAAATCTGTTACTCTCCCTATTGAGTAATGAAGTTAGAACTTTCTAAATCTATGCTTTATAGCAAGTCAAATTTGTCATGATTCTTTCTGCACAGAATACTATTACAGCAGAACACTTTAAAACTGTTTTTCTAAATTTATGATATATCTTATCAAAGATAAGCAAGTTGGGTTTACCTGAAGATAGGGGAAGTTGTGTCTATATCTATGTGAAACTGACCATCTTCTCTTATATCCTTCTTTTCTACTGTCCCATCAAATGTGACATTTAACAACTGCAAATAAACAAAAGATTTTAATATAAGTAAAAAGTCAGACCTCTGCTTTCACTTCCTTAAATCACAAGTAAAAAAACTTTTTTAATAATTTCATTTATGATGACACTGCATTAAAAACATCCTGAAACATTTTACGCTTGTTTTCTTCATTTTGTTCTTTTATTTTTGGGGTATGATTTTAAGTGACATTTACTCAGTAAAGGTCACATGGAGACTTGCAAGCTTCTATTGGAAATTTTCATCTCCAAGACCCTGACTATATACAAGTACTCATTATCCACATGCTTGTGATAATTAAGGTTTCAATGGTTACGTTAAAACTTTATTACCATTTTTCTGTCGAATAAATAAAATGGTTTTGACAAGGCCTCAGTATCATTTTACTTTCATTTGGCACTAAATATTCAATAACAAGAATTTGTAACAGAGTTACCAACGTCCCCCGCATTTATATGAAGCATAAAATTGTGCTATTTCAAAAGATTGAGGTATGGATCTCAGGACATTCAGTCCAAAATTATGATCAATGCTAGATCTGCAAATGTAACAATAAATTTGTTAAAAAAATAAAATGAAACACGGAATTTAAAAATCTATCATGTTAAGCTTTGACCTCTAAGTGTGAACTTGACCTTGGAGGTAGGGGAGCAGGTGTTGTGCATGACATAACGTCTTATTATTGTGACTATTTGTGCCAAGTTATTTCAAAATCCCTTGAACTATGAAGAAGTTCAAGATTCAACACAAAATATACCCTATAACAGACTATGTTAATTTTTGACCTCTAAGTGTGACCTTGACCTTGGAGGTAGGGATGCAGGTGTTGCGCATGACACATCCTCTTATTATAGTGACTATTTGTGCGAAGTATTTTCACAATCCTTTGATCTATGAAAAAAATTATAGACCTGACACAAAAATATACCCTGTAAACAAACTATGTAAGTATTTGACCTTCAAGTGTGACCTTGACCTTGGAGGTAGGTGACCGGTTTTTGCGCATGACACATCATCTGATTATTGTTAACAATTATGGCAAGTATTTACAAAAGTCCTTCATAGATAAGAAAGTTATGGACTGGACACGACATATACCCTCAAATAGACAATGTTGACCTTGAATGAACAAGTACGACCTTGACCCTGAAGGTACGGGTCTGGTTGTTGCGCATGACACATCGTCTTATTATAACAAACATTTGTGCCAAGTTATCTCAAATTCCTTTGATAAATGACAAAGTTATGGACCGGACACGAAATATACCCTGTAACAGACTATGTTAATATTTGACCTCCAAGTGTGACCTTGACGTTGAAGTAGGCAAAACTGGTTTTTGCGCATGACACATCGTCTGATTATTATGAACAATTATGGCAAGTATTTACAAAATCCCTTCATAGATAAGAAAGTTATGGACCAGACACGAAATATACCCTGTAACAGACTATGTTAATATTTGACCTCCAAGTGTGACCTTGACCTTGAAGGTAGGTGACTGGTTTTTGCGCATGACACATCGTCTGATAATTGTGAACAATTATGGCAAGTATTTACAAAATCCCTTCATAGATAAGAAAGTTATGGACCGGACACGAAATATACCCTGTAACAGACTATGTAAGTATTTGACCTCCAAGTGTGACCTTAACCTTGAACGTAGGTGACTGGTTTTTGCGCATGACACATCGTCTGATTATTGTGAACAATAATGGCAAGTATTTACAAAATCCCTTCATAGATAAGAAAGTTATGGACCGGACACGAAATATACCCTGTAACAGACTATGTTAATATTTGACCTCTAAGTGTGACCTTGACCTTGGAGGTAGGTGACTGCTTTTCCCGCATGACACATCGTCTGATAATTGTGAACAATTATGGCAAGTATTTACAAAATCCCTTCATAGATAAGAAAGTTATGGACCGGACACGAAATATACCCTGTAACAGACTATGTTAATATTTGACCTCCAAGTGTGACCTTGACCTTAAAGGTAGGTGACTGGTTTTTGCGCATGACACATCGTCTGATCATTGTGAACAATTATGGCAAGTATTTACAAAATCCCTTCATAGATAAGAAAGTTATGGACCGGACACGACATATACCCTCAAATAGGCAATTTTGACCTGAATGAGCAAGTGTGACCTTGACCCTGGAGGTAGGGGTCTGGTTGTTGCGCATGACACATCGTCTTATTATAATAAACATTTGTGCCAAGTTATTTCAAATTCCTTTCATAAATGACAAAGTTATGGACCGGACACGAAAGTGTGACGGACGGACAGACGGACAGACGGACGGAGCCTATTTCTATATCCCCCTTTTTTCTTCGAAAAGGCGGGGGACAATTAGAATTTAGAACATAATAAATCAAAAATTGCCAGTCCACAAACAATTACACTTTCAAGTGAAAGAGAGAACAGGTAACTGTGTGTATAGGTGCCCATTCGTAACTTTGGCGAAATTGATTGGAGGTAAATTATCACCCCTTTATGGACATAAACTTCGACCAAGCAAATGCTAATGTGGATATAATCATATCACATTATATCACTAAATAAATAGGCTTTATTATGGACACTGAAAAGAATCTTCACAAACAGTGAAATCACACAACATGATAACAATACTAACCTGTAAGCCATAACAGATACCTAAGACAGGTATATCAATACTGAAGATATCTGGATCATATCTAGGAGCATTCACATCGTTTACTGAGTCAGGACCACCTGATATGATGATAGCCCTGTAAATATAATTATACATTTATGTCAAAACTGCCAACACTTTCAAACACAGTATTCTTAATTCTGGTGCAAGACTCAAGACAAAACCTTTACTTTTTTCCAATTTTATCAGCAAATTTGCTATAACAAAACTGTCTGCTCTCTCAACAAGTTCAGCAACAACATGATGTTCTAATTTAGATCAATGCCTACATACTCCAGGATAAATGTATGAAAAGACAGTATGGTAGACCTCTTTAAGGCTTTAAAAAGTTTAAGGTAGACAGCACTCTCACTAATGACTGTGACAATGTGGTACTTAAAAATAACATGTGACATTAATATAATTCTTCATAATTATGAACTTTGTTTGTTCTTCATTTCGCTTTTTTCCAAAAAATGACAAAAATATTGGGTCTTAATTTTCCTTAATGAAAGACTAAAGCTTCTTCCCAAATTCTCAAGAAAAAAACTCTTAAAAACTTCTCTTGCTACTTACTTGAATTTTTTCTCCTTCAAAAAGAATGCTGGTGTGTCTAAGGGTAATATGTCTGTTTCAACATTCAGCTCTCTCACACGGCGATCAATCACCTGAAAGTTTTATTGCATAACATGTTATCACATCACATATTAAATTTCCTGCAATTTGGTTTACACACCTTATATTTCCAATTATCCATATCAAATGAGCTGCGTCACGACAAAACCAACATAGTGCGTTTGCAACCAGCATGGATCCAGACCAGCCTGCGCATCCGCGCAGTCTGATCAGGATCCATGCTGTTGGCTTACCAACCCTATTAAAGTAGAGTAACTGATAGTGAACAGCATGGATCCTGATCAGACTGCGCGGATGCGCAGGCTGCTCTGGATCCATGCTGGTCGCAAACCCACTATGTTGGTTTTGTCGTGACGCGGCTCAAATGTGGAACTTGGCTTCCTTTTATTCATTTTTTTTTTAATCTATACACTTACTACACTTAATACATCTTAAATTGACTTGCCCATCATTCAGGCTGGACAAAATCATGCATCTTCTTAATTTCTAAAGATTTTTTTTTTAAAATATATATATACAGACTAAAAAGCCAACAGTGCAGATCATAATTAGATGACCAGATGTGCGACTGTTTTGGGCTGCACTGGTAAAAGGATAGTGCTGACCACCAGCAAGGTAGTATTTTAAAAATTCCCTTTTGCAGGGGTTACCCAAAAAAAAAAATATGTTAAACTATAATAAAACATAAGGCTAAAGCTTATAAAAACAGCTTGCAATCATGAAGCCAAGCCATGAAGAACTACAATTTAACAGTTTAGATTTTGTACCAGTTAAAATTTACATGAATATTCTAGAACAAAATAATTAAATAATTGAGACTAACCTTGCCATATTGAGCTCCAGCATCCAGAATAACAACTTTCTCATCATGATGCACTCCATTACCATTGACCTCAATCTTGTCAGCCCCACTCATTAGATCTCTGTAATACATACATGTATATATCAACAGTTAATATCATCAGCTTTAACAAGTACATTGTATTATATTTGTAAAACATTGTGTAAAACATTTGCAATCTGTTATCAAATCTGTTATAGTACCGCAACCTGCCAATTTTTTTAAACTGGATTATGGATATGCCAAATTTTGAGCAGTCTATTGCTCTATTGGAAGTTAAAGGGATTTGAATATCATTTTATAGCAACAAATAAAATACAGCCCCGCTGCCCTTGCTCTATACTTGTGACAAAGTTTATAATTTATTACCGTAATCACTTTCAGTTGCAGCAGGTTATGGATTAATACCGAAATACACTGGAATACAGTTATTATGCCATAATTCCCAGTAACTTAAAAGTATTGCAACACAGTCATGGATAAAATTTTAAAATATTTTTTTAAAACCTTTTAAAGCAATATCAAATCCAGCTATTCTTGAAATACTAACTGTATAAATCTTTTAGCATGTTTCATAATATGCAGTAAGGCAAAACAAAAAGTTTTATTTCTTGTCTTCCAAAAAAAGTCGAAAAAGGGGCATAATTCTGTCAAAATGCTTGATAGAGTTACCTCCTCCTGTCTACAGGTTGGGGTCATGATGGTGAACAAGTGTGCAAAGTTTCAAAGCCATATGTCAATGGACTTTGAAAATATTTGAACTATTACAAAAACTTTAACATAAGTGGGTACGCCGACGCCGACGCTCGGGTGACTGCAATAGCTCTACTTATTCTTATCGAATAGTCGAGCTAAAAAGTGGGCAGGTGTGCAACTGTTTCATAAATATATTTTCTATATATAATACTTTTTAATTAATAAAGAAGAAATTTTTCATTTTTAAAAAAAAGAGTAAGGCAAATAAAAAAGCATTAGGGTCAGAAGTGGATTGATGGGAAAGATCTGAAACAACTATTTCTCTCTTTTTTTTGGCCTAATGACAATAACAAAAGTGACTTGAGGCTCATGTGACTAGTGCATTCAGTGCAGAATTTATATAAAATTTAAAATTAATTGAGTACATATACATCAACCAAACCAGTATCAAACTAGAGGATGCTTTTGTAAAAAAGCGCATGTCTCCCCCACTGCTGAGAATAACTGTGAATGGAAACAGGAATGGAACTGGAGAAATCCGGAAATGAGAAAATGACCAATGGTCACTGTGACCTTAACCTTTGACCTACTGACCCATAAACAAGAGGGATCATCTGCTCAATAAGACCAATCATCCTATGAAGTTTGAGGGTTGTAGGTCTAAAGGAACTCTAGTTTATCATCCGGAAAGGAGAAATTAACCAACGGTCGCTGTGACCTTGACACTTTGACCTACTGACCATTAAAACAATAGGGATCATTTGATTAATAAGACCAATCATCCTATGAAGTTTGAGGGTTGTAGGTCAAAAGGAACTCTAGTTATCATCCGGAAATGAGAAATTGACCAACGGTCACTGTGACCTTGACCTTTGACCTACTGACCCCAAAAAACAAATAGGGATCATCCTTGCTCTATAAGACCAATCATCCTATGAAGTTTGAGGGCTGTAGGTCAAAAGGAACTCTAGTTATCATCCGGAAACGGAGAAATTTGACCAACGGTCACTGTGACCTTGACCTTTGAACTACTGACCCAAAACAATAGGGATCATCTGCTCAATAAGACCAATCATCCTATGAAGTTTGAGGTCTGTAGGTCTAAAGGAACTCTAGTTATCATCCGGAAACGAGAAATTGACCAACGGTCAGTGTGACCTTGACCTTTGACCTACTGACCCCAAAAACAATAGGGATCATCAGCTCTATAAGACCAATCATCCTATGAAGTTTGAGGGCTGTAGGTCAAAAGGAACTCTAGTTATCGTCCGGAAACGAAGAATGGACGGACTGACGGACGGACGGACTGACGGACTGACGGACGGACAGGGCAAAAACAATATGTCTCCCCCCCGAGGTGGGGGAGACATAATGATTCAAGAAATAATGTTCACGCACGTGTAGCAAGTTAATTGTCCTGACTGAACACAACTGAGTGAACACATATAAATGATTACAATGCACTTATTAAAAATTTTAGTAGTAAATTCTACATGTCATACGCTATGAATGTAAAATTTGATTGCATATTGTAATTAAATGGTCTGTTTGTTATGCAAGATTCACCCAACTTACTAATATGCGTAAAAGTCCAAGCAGAGCTTGTGGCCTCGCAAGGGCTGTAATACTTTTAGACCAGGTTTTTTTTTGCCTTATTTTATAGCAGATATTCGGTCATATTCCCAATGGAAAATAGTATATTATTTTCCCAATCCATAGGAATAAAAATTCCAAAGGAAAGTTACAAAATAAAAATATTGAATAACAAATTCTAAAATTTTTGAAAATAGGGCTTCACTGTTATTGTGCTTAAATGTTAGAAGACAGTGATTTTTTACAATCATTTAATCACTGCAAAATTTAAGTCATGCATTTTCCCCCAAGTTTTAACAAAATGTCACTAAAATTCCAAATTTCATGAGTATGGGTCATTTTCCCAAAATCCTGGAAAAAAAACTCTGTAGACTCTGACTTCCAAATTTTGAAACCTAATGGAAGCCCTGCATTGGTTCGATAGATAAATTATTCAACTACATACTGCATAATTCCTTTTTATTTATGCTGTATCGTATAAAAAACTGTGAGGCAAAAACCCTGCAGACATTTTCACAAAAAATCTTACGACAATTTTTTGTCGTAAGAGAAATCTTACGATAAATCTCCTTTTCACAAAAAATCTTAAGAAAATCTTAAGTGCAAAATCTGTCGTAACTTTACGATAGGTCATCCCCGTTCGTAAGTGTAATTTTTTCTCTCTTAAGGGTAAAATATCATGTATCTCTTACCTAAAACTAAATAAAAACAAACAAAAATTTGGAGGACAACTAAATATTAAGCAAATATGCTTTAAATAACACAAATTGAGGTATAATAATTTTTCAACATATACATTTGTGACGTCATGACTTGATGACGTCACGATGGAGAGGGTTATGAATAGTTTAAAATAATGTGAGCTATACTGTAGACTAGTATTATTGAAAACTTATAATTTGTACAATTGGTGAGTTCGATTTCATTGCCAGCATGTGCTAGCGGTACCTTTTTATTTATTAATAACATAGTAGACCTTTTTTCTGAATCTTTTAGATATATATAATTATCTTCAATCAAGATATGAATTATATCAGTTTGAATCATTGTTTTGTTCTTATTGAAATTTGATTGTGTTCAATAGATATTTCAAACTCTTGATTACTTGATTTTAAAACCGGAATCAAATATAGAGCATGCACATTACTATCATATGAACGTTGCTAGGGATGTTTTTGTCGTAAGTGAATTTTTTATCTTAAGATAAAATTTTAACTTACGAGTGGCTTTGTGAAAATGACTTAAGATTTAACTTACGATTATCGTAAGTGAAAAACTTAAGATAAATCGTAAGATTTTTTTGTGAAAATGTCTGCTGATTGGGCATAGACACCTTCGTATGGGAGTTGTTACCCTTGTCTATATATTAGTATAAAGTGTAATGGGAATGGACTTTGAATTCATTAGCTAAAAAGACTACAGCGAACAGGTTTTATAGTACTGCTAGACCTGTTCGCTGAAGCCAATCTGGTATCAAAAGTCAACCAGAGATGTGACATATTTATGTCATGCTGTAATTCAATCAAATTGCGTTATCTAGACAAAAGCTATTTAAATACAGGTAGTTAGATATATTTTGTACACTATTGTCTATTTTTTTTAACAAACAAGAGGGCCATGATGGCCCTAGATCGCTCACCTGACCCATCGAACTCATCCGAACAATTACCTAGACAAGCATTCTGACCAAGTTTCATGACAGGTGAGTCAAAAATGTGACCACTAGAGTGTTAACAAGGATTATCCATATTTGAGCAGTGTGACCTAGTTTTTTACCCAGGTGACCTATATTCGAACTTGACCTAGAAATCATCTAAACAAACTTTCAGACCAATTTCCAGGATACTTGGATCAAAACAGTAGCCGATAGAGTGTTAACAAGATTTTTCTATTTTTAGCTCCAGTGACCTAGTTTTTCATGCGATATAACCCATGTTCGAACTCATCCGAGCAATTACCTAGAAAAGCATCCTGACCAAGTAGAAAAGCATCCTGACCAAGTTTGATGATAATTGTGTCAAAAATGTGACCACGAGAGTGTTAACAAGGTTTTTCCATATTTGGGCAGTGTGACCTAGTTTTTCATCCGAGATGACCCATGTTCGAACTTGACCTAGAAATCATCAAAACAAACTTTCAGACCAATTTACAGGATATTTGGATCAAAACAGTAGCCACTAGAGTGTGAAGATTTTACTATTTTTAGCTCCTGTGACCTAGTTTTTCATCCGAGATGACCCATGTTAAAAAACATCCGAGCAATGACCTTAACAAGCATCCTGTGACCACTAGAATGTTGACCAAGTTTTTCCATATTTGAGTAGTGTGACCTAGTTTTTAACACCAGGTGAGCCAACTTGACATAGAAATCATCAAAACAAATTTTCAGACCAATTTACAGGATATTTGGATCAAAACAGTAGCCACTAGAGTGTTAACAAGATTTTTTTATTTTTAGCTCCTGTGACCTAGTTTTTCATCGGAGATGACCCATGTTGGAACTCATCTGAGCAATTACCTAGACAAGCATCCTGACCAAGTCTGATGACACTTGAGTCAAAAATGTGACCACTAGAGTGTTACCAAGGTTTTTCTATTTTTAGCTCCTGTGACCTAGTTTTTCATCCGAGATGACCCATGTTCAAACTCATTCAAGCTATCACCTAGACAAGCATCCTGACCAAGTTTGATGATGATTGAGGCAAAAATGTGACCGCTAGGGTGTTAACAAGGTTTTTCTATTTTTAGCTCCGGTAACCTACTTTTTCATCCGGGATGACCCATGTTCGAACTTATCCAAGCTATCACCTAGATAAGAATCCTGACCAAGTTTGATGATGATTGAGGTAAAAATGTGACTGCTAGATTGTTAACATTGTTTTTCTATTTTTAGTGTCGGTGACCTAGTTTTTCATCCGGGATGACCCATGTTCAAACTCATCAAAGCTATCACCTAGAAAAGCATCCTGACCAAGTTCGATGATGATTGAGGCAAAAATGTGACCGCTAGAGTGTTAACGAACAAGTGTGGATGGACGACGAACATTCAACGATCCTAAAAGCTCACCATGAGCAAGCTTAGGTGAGCAAAAAAGGATAGATTGATGAAATAATGCCTCAAAGTTTATCAGTGTGTTTACATTTCATAAAATTTGCCGCCATTGCTGTCTAATCATCACATGACTCGCGAGAATTTAGGTTCGGATACCTTTGCATGACCTGTGACCAATATGCTATTTTTAATTGAAAACATGGCTTTGCAATAATGAATAACGGTGTTTTTATTCAATAATAGATGTTGTACCAAAAACATTTTGGATTCATATTGTTTTGAGTGATGATTCATGAATTGTTCCTTTTGTATTTATTTAGAATTGTACAGAACTAAAAATAGTGTATGGTCCGATACTAAAAATAGATGCTAGAATTCCCAAAACTTGAAGTCCAGCCAGATTTCATTTAAAAGGCAAGCAGACTCCATATCTGCAGTCTGTACGAAAAACTTTTTATGGTCAAAGACATTTGGGCTTTGTCAAACAAAATATCATATAGTCCTAACCAATTTTAACTAGCCCGAAAATTCTAACAAAAGTTGTGGCCAGGTTTTTTAAATTTACTTAAATCTGCAGAAAATAATGCAAAGTGATATCACTTGATTACCATTTATTTCTGATATTCTTAGACTGGGTTAAACAGAAACTCAAGGGTCAAATGATTTCATTTAGCTTATGGCATCATAGCTTACTCGAAAAAAATTCAAAATGCATATCCCTCCTGGTCATTATAAATACAATTTAATAAGTAATTGGTAAACAATCTGTACATATTTCCCTAACAAATAGTTGGGTACACCATGTCATTTAAGTTTCATTTAAAGAAAAAACATGAATTGATTAAAAATTGATTTGTCTATCAAATGGTATTTTTATTTGATTCAAATTTGATTAATAAGTGTGATTTTAATCTATTGGTTTTTATGTACTGCAAACAAACTGCCAAAATTCTGGTAGCCTTTGCAAATAGGGACTTAGGGTTGATCCACAACTTTACAGTAGCACAACGTCAAAATAAAAGCGACATATAAAGTTATGGAAGCCAGAACAAAGAATTAATTTCTGACTCAGAGATTTGCCAAGAATTTGAAAGTACTGGGCCCTGGGCCCACTTGGTCTGAAAATGATGGGCCATTTTTACCAAAGTATGGGCCTTGGGAAAATAAGTAAACGTTGACCAAAATAACTGATAAAAAGTTTGTAGATAATTGAATTTCCCTTGTAATAAAACTTAAATCATATTTTATGACAAGTGGTTCACATATAATTCAGTACTTAACCAATAATTAAAAATTATGCCTGCATGGTAACTTTTTAACTAATATCAATTGCAGGCAAAATATTTTTTAAATGGCTGCTCAAAAATTTGATATGCAAATTTATTCACATAATTGCTGGTTCTTACTTGTAATGTGTTATATTGTGCATTATCCATTTAACAGTTCCTACTTTGCACCAAATGTCCTTTACCACTGTATATTGACGAATTTTATTTCCCCTTGTATGCCTCTGTGTAGACAGCATACATCAAAGACATTTGCCGACAGACCTTTTGATCATGAAAAAAGTCATGCACAATGTTTCTCTGATTGGTTAATCACCCTGTCAAATATTCTGATGACGAAACATACATCTTTTTTTTTACACTTCATCAGCCAAAACTTGCGTGAACTTGAGTGACCTTAGGGGTGATCAAGTTGAACACCTGTCAGATTATACTGTAACTTACAGCATTTCTTAAAATAGCAACACTTTTTTTTCAGTTACCGATAATCATTTTAAATATTAAGTAGTTGTATAATTTGTTTGTTTTATTGGATTAAATTTACGGTAGTAGAAATGAGTATCTGTATGGGAAAGGGATTATGAGAAGAAATGCGGTAAGTAGATAACATGGACAAAAGCTATAGGGGAATGGATAAACTCAAGAATATGCGTAATTACAGGAGCATGGGTAACATGTTGCTGTTGGTACCAGTTTTGACTGGATGACTAAATAACTTTATAAGTCTGGCACAGATTTTAGATGCGCCCATGGCCCTTTGCTGCCGATTTTCCTGCGCCATTCTCATTTTTTTAGCGCCAATGGCGCAAAATCGCGTCCTCGGCGGATCTCTGCTGACTTAGTATAAATGTTTTCTACCATCAAAAACATATTTTGTGAACATTCAATGAGCCGTACCTCTTTGCCTCCATCCTGGCCCAGATATCTCAATACTTCATATCACAATACTTCAATTACGTAGATCATAGCGAGCTAGACGAGCTGGCCTGAAGGGCCTGCTGGCAAAGCGAGCTATACGGTAACACGAGTACCTGCTAAATGATGGTTTTGAAAACTTTCGTCCGAAGTACCGAATTGGACACATCGCATCTTTTCGAATTACAAGATAACGATAAAAGCCGATGTACTCTGATTGAAAATGGAAGCGTAGACTGGTGTCCTGTGCACTTATACGGGGAAGTCAAAGCCCGGGCCCGCAAAGCGGGTCCGGGCTTTGGCTTGCCCGGCTATAGACTACACGTGTATATTTAAAAGAAAATCAAATAAAAAAACAATTAAAAAATATATAGAATTCTATACCTATCAATGAAATTTTCAGTGTCAATTCTCAGGTCGGGCGCCGCCATTTACAATGTAACTCAATGATAATAGGCGGGATATTCCGATAACGGAACAAATCTCAACTTCTCGGATTAATAATACTCGTCGAGTGTTCCGAGTGAAAATGGAAGCAGTGCATGTAATACCGAATGACACCTTTAAAACGGAAAGAATGAAAGGAAATTTTTAACGACTTCCCCGTTCATAGGCTTTGCCTAATTTCATATTATAGGAACCATAATAGAAAGGGGGAACCAGAATAAACCGAAGCAGTGTATAAAATACCGAATGACAATTTTAAAATGGAAAATGTTAAAATAAAAATGAAACGATTCATTTTTTAAACTATGCTTACGGTAAAGGAAAATCGAGCTCGCTTTTTGAGGCTTTGCCTTTTTTCTATTATTAGATTATCCAAAAATGGGTAGTAGATTAAAACCCCAAATCTTAAAAAGAGGACTCATTTTCATAATGCATAGGTTTCTTTTAAATCAAATTTAAATGGCCCTTTTTTTAATTTTTGTACCCCACCCACTCACGTGAACATGGAAATTGCAGAAAAAATATTTTTCAAAATACGATTGAAGGCAATCATTAGGCGAAAAAAAAATTTGTAACAGGGAGGGAAACTAATGAAGCACGATATCTGTAGATTCAAAAAATGGTCACAATTCAAACACTTACGAGATTTAGTATAACTCAAATTTTTTCCGAAATAATCAGATTTTTGCGGGAACCTTCAAAAAACCAGGAAGTTCATTAATTTCCGACTGTTAAAATCATTCTGCAGCGAATGTAAATTTCTAAATCAATATTGAATATTTTATATTAAAACTAAAATGCTATCCATACAATATATAGATTATTTATTTTGATAAGTTTGGTCCTAAATCCATGATATTTAGTCGTTAATTTTAAGATTTTTATCTGTTGCTAAGGGGGCATTTTAATAGTTTTAGTAACAAGAGGTTTGGGTTTCCGGTTTCTCTTGGAAAGAATAAACAACAAAGGTAAAGTTTTTAACGTTACTTAAAACCGATCAATTTCATTTAACAACTGAGAAATATGTCTTTGTTACTTAAATAGATGATAAACTATTTCTTAATAATGTTTACTTGTAGCCAAACCATCTTATCATTAAATTCGTTACAGTACAGTACAGTAAAGCCAATGCTAATTAGTGAAGTTTGATCACTTAACTGAAACGTGTTTAAACCATGGTTATAGATCTACATAGTGTAACGACCAATATTTTTCGTTTCCTGAACTTACAATGTATCTCGCTGAAATAAAGATTGATTTTTAAAATAGTTATGAGCTTTATTCCTAGATAGGCCTACATAATAATTGAAGATTTCAGTTTTACTGAAATATCCCTACAGTACTGTAGAATTAAGTGTTACAATCAGTGTACCATCGGGTGAGATGCCTATTAAATTTGTCGAAGGACTAAGATTAATTAAATTCCTCAAACTGAAGTCTCGACTTGTAGAAAGTTAGCTGTGTCAGGTGTCATATACATGTAGATCTATATGCAAAAGTCTTTGCAGATGGCATAATTATGAAGATCTAAACCATGCTTGTCTACACACACTTGGAAGTCAAATTGTACACATAACTTTACTGTATGCTATAAGTCAAATTGCACCCACGATTATATCACAATTCAAAATATATCCGTGACAACTAAGTCAATCAAATGGTATCAATAATTCAGAAGAAGAAAAAAACGTACACATAATGTAGAAAATCTACATGTTCTCATTGCTTTACATCTTAAGTTGAGATGTTACATTGTTACAGTGATTTTCTTGTTAGTCTTTAAGTTGAAACGGACCATTTTACGATTTCATCAGCATATACAGTAAACAGCGAAGTTATTGTTAAAGAATACGATTTATCACTGTAGAAAATATCCACTTCATGTAAGTATTAGCATAGAAAGCTTCATGCTAAGACTATGCATAAGTCATAATTCTTGTTTCTAAGTATCCTTTGATTATATATTAGTTTTATTCAGTACAAACTTTGATTAATTTCAATAAACCGTTACGGGGTTTTATTTCAATGAAGCTTCTCCAAGGTTAGGGTCATGCATGACCTCGTTTGAACCAGGGTGTCACGATTGTGTACACTATATATTGAGTAAACAACACGACTTTGTGTAAGGCTATAACAAATAAATTGATGTAATAGATATGAGACCTGCAAAAAGCCGCATGCCTCAAGATGAGACAAAAAAATCAAGAAAATCAGCCTTGATAAAAATGTGCTACTATTTTAAGAAAAGTAAACATATTCACAATCCAGTAAATGATTTATATATGTTATATGCAATGAATGACTGACTTTTGCAGTATTTATTTCTACTGCATGACTAACGCATTAAGGGCCTATTTTGCATATTCTGACCCATATTTTGGTATTTTGGGTAAATTCCATGTGTTCATTCTAAATTTCTTTCTTTGTTCAATTGACAATATTTAATTTTTGATACGTTTTATTTTTTAAAAAGGTCATAAAAATTAACGTGAATCTGGAAGCATGCTGCTTTAAACAAAAATCGTAAAACATACATTATATAAATTCGTATTTAAAAACAATGCAACATTTCCAAGTCCCTTTAAATATACATGTTTGAATATGCTGACACTTTACGAAGTTAGTCAATTTTGATCATTTTAATACGTTTTGACTTTTACCTTTGAGTTAAGCTCCGACTTACCTATGAGGTCATTTTTGGTTTAGGTAGTATAACATGCACTCCACGAGGTTTTGACCATTAGAAGCTTACATGGTTCTTTTTGTATACTTATTTTATATAAAACTCGTAGTTTCGCAAATATAATTGAGCCGTGTCACGAGAAAACCAACATAATGGGTTTGCGACCAGCATGGATCCAGACCAGCCCTGCGCTTTTGGCCATGCTTTTCGCAAAAAAACCCCTTTTTAAAAAAAATGTTGGTTTTGTCGGGGGGGCCGGTTTCAATTTAACCCTTTTGGGGGAATAATTTCCGGGATTTCAGATGACGTCACGACCAGACCTTGGTATGGATATGATAACAAAAAAGCCAAGGACTCCACGGGATCCTTACACAACTCTTACAGAAATACAGAAGAAAAATATTCCCAAGGTTTGTAAGGTTTTAGAACATGATGATAGATCATACATTTCTTTAATGAACCTAATTTTGTGGTTAGTACTCAGACACAATTTTTATGAAGTTTGTAAAATTTTCCCAAGTTTGAAGAGCAGTTTAGCCCATGGAAACATAAAAACACGCTAATTTGTTTCATGTACTAGAATTTAAAAGAATTGTGTACGACCGGGGAACTCTTTTGGAGTCACTTGTTGTGATTGCACTCCGTCTTCTTACAGACCACGAATTAAATTTGCATTTAATCTTACACTTACAACTGTATTATCATGTAAGCAAGATGGCGAATATTTTCCATTGACATTGTATTATAAAACTTGGTATTATAACTCAGTATTATTTCAATTAGTCGGAAAAAAATCATTGATTATGGAATGTTTTAGACACCATTGGATGCAAGATAATTTACAAACACGAAAGATATGTTTAAAATATTAAACGGTTGAATTTAATTTGAAATAATTACCCCTCATTCAAGGATCCTGGAGCATTTTTCATGACAAGTCGGCCAGAGAGATCTTACCCAGACAAGGGCTGGTACCGTGATCGCTATGCCACCAATACAAACCAGCATCTACTGCGAGGACCACCCACCACTCACCCATTCTGCTGGATAGATACACAATGGCAACGTGACCCACCTCAGGAATACAACACAGCGAGATTAGGTGGTGCTGAGAGATGGGGACCTGACAAAGTCGGTATGTAGTGTACACGTGACTGTTGATAAGTTGTACACTGGTCACATATCAAATTGAGGAAAATTAATGCATTGACTTGAGAAAATTACCGGCGACTAATTATAAATAGTATTTTAAGCCTCTGCTGAAACGCGGGACCTTAAATTTGTGGTTGCAAATACCCTGTCCATGCACAAAGTGTACTATATGTATGATGTGTACAAATCTTTAAGTCCATCGTCAAAAAACATTTAAAATAAATCATAATTTACTTACAGGAATCGTAAGACATCTTAATCAGCAGAAAGCCCCTCCAATTCTAGTATTCAAATGCCTACAAATATCGCCTCTCGCATTCCGAAAGATGACATTTAAATAGCATTATTTGGAAAGTGGCGTATGATAGAATATTTGTGAATAAAGCTTTACGAGTCTTTTATAATCTACGTTCATACACAGTATTTGCTAGAAAGGAGAAAGAAAGAATAGAATATTAATGTACGAAAGCTGTACAGCAGCAAACAGCGATGTTATATATACCGGGTCATGTAGCCTTATGTTATTTGAAAATAAACTTCTAGCATTGTTTAAGTAAGTTTAGGAATTGTAATTAAAATTATTACTTTTGAACCCGTTTATTGTATGCAGGATCAAGAACTGTTCAACATTTCAACAAAGCAGAAGACTCAAAGAGATTCACGAAACCGGAAGTGTACCGAAGACATCCGACCAACCTACCCGGAGATGTTTGGATGGATTACGGAAGACCTACAGAAGGCTATTATGCCCAACGGAATCCAAGTGAGGCACTGCTTATTTTTGTATCAGTTGTTAAAGAAATTTAAAAAAAAAGAGTTGAAATACAACTTATACCGGTTAATTAGAGTTTTCACATAAAATGAATACGAAAATGAAAGTGTTGGTCTTTCAAAAATATTATTCTAGTGTGTCAGTATTGCACTTGTTTTGATACTCATTTGTGAACTGATCAGTATGTATTCCGTATATATTTTTTTGTTGTACATTTCATTTCTTTATCAATATTCAAGTCCGTTTCGACGTGTTTTTTTTTTAAACATTTTTTTATCATTGATAAAGATGCTATTGAAATATCTCTAAGCTTATAATTCCTGTTGAATATTTTACCCACAACCTGTTGAACATCTTAAATGAACTTGTCAAGCTTCAAGTTTTGGAATTATCCATTATAAATCTAAGGAATATCAGGATGAAATATTCAGTTAGTCAGCCAACAGTATAGAGCCTGGTTAGGCGGCATGGATGTACAGGATGACTTGGCTCTATACGGTGTTGGCAAAGGTTAACCACTTTTAGTTCCAGCAGGGTAAGGCTATGGTTGAGTACCTAAATCAAATCAGAAACATAGTGACATACATGTACATGCAAATTTCGTTTCAGATTCACAGACATGGTTCGGATCTAGTGTTCCACTTAACAGAACAACGGTTTTGCAAGACATACGTCCAAAAACACGTGCCGAGTATGAACAACAGCGCGAAGCACGTGCTGCGGAAATGTTAAAACGGCAAACTCAGTGGCCGGCTTATAGCGAATATACCGACAGAACTCTCCTCAGAACCAGGGTTGATCCACTCATAAACACGTAAGTTTTATAACCATTGCATTGCACCCCATAAAAAGCATAAGATGTCTCTTGAAAATCCTGATTGATTGGGTATGTTGTCCTTACTCTGGACTCCGCTAGTATGCTTCAGGAACTATATGAATAACCTGAAGTTTTACAGATTTTTGGCGCTGTCAACTAAGGACCATATGGATGAACACAATCATGACGATTGACTACAAGTTAATCTGGTCTCTTTGACAGAAATTGCAAACTGATATTAAAGGGACTCCGATGAGGTTGTTTTTTTTAATTGATAGTACTGGAAATATTTATTCCAATTGATCTATATTTGGACCAGTTATCTGTGTGCACATTTTTAGCTCATTCCCTCTCTCCGTTTTTCCAGAATGATCATTTTATATATAGTGAAAATTGATCCAAAAATGAAAAGTGTTGTTGCTTAAAACCAGCTAAGAATTGTACACACAGTCGATTTCCAGTAGATTTTTCCAGTTTAAGTATGTTAGATTTTGAATTCTATATTTTTAGGCGTTAGGACCTCAGTGGAGCTCCTTTAAGAATAATTGGGCTGAATCCACAATGTCTCCCATTTTCTTAAAAAATGGAGGAAAAAACACCGAAGACTGTTTTAAATTTATTAAGAAGCACCGCTAATACAACGTATATGTATACTGTATACTATTTTATTCGGTATATTCATTGACCTCTACTGTTACATACATGTATCATATTTAATAGCAACTGTTTCTTTGAATTTTTAACATGGCAGCCACGGAGATATGGTCATGTGTAAGTAATGTTGTTGCTAAAAGAAAGATTTTTAGATTCATTCACATTTTTACATTCGTTAGTAAATGAATATTTTTAGTTTTTGCATACGATGGATATTCTGGTGATAAAATTATAACTTAAGGGGCAAATGATAAAGAATTTCGGTCTATGCAATGTATTTATTTATTTATTTTTTTTTTTTGAAATTCATATTTTTTATTTTTTCCATAATGTTGATTCTAAAATATTTTGTTTAATTCCGGTTTCACAGAATATCCATCAAATTTCACTATCATGATTGAGTTGATACGCATGTATCCAAATCGTTAATAATCCGAAATTTAATTCCCTTTGAATTTTTAAACTTGTTTAAAAATATTTTACTAGATATCAACCTCTACAGAGCAAACTGCTTTTGGGAGACAAAGAGTTGGGTTGTAAATGAGAGGTGTGGCTATAGAGGGGTTATATTCAATGTAAATTCTTACGCTGTTGTTGTTGTTGTAGAGAGGTTATTTTTGTTCAGAGGACCTCTTTACAGAAGTTGCACTGTAATTCTATTCCAGTCTTAGATTGAATATTCAGATTGCAATATAAAGAACACTAAAATAATTTATACTTTATTAAAACTATTGAAGCGGTTTTATTCAAATATTTTCTCCGGTTCAAAAGTAAGTGATTTACATTTGAAAGCAAATAAAAAATCTTATATTTAAAAAAGGCTCCCTTTTTACCTGGGCGAAGGAATTTGATGAACACAAGTTAAATCAGCTTCAGAAAGTCTAAATGCTCATGTTACTGCGTGAAACATTTTAAAGTTTCAATTTTAGAATTTATATAATTTTACATAAATTAAGTTGACAAAAGAGAAGATTAGACTGAAAATTCCATGTTTTTATGAAATCTCTTGAACAATACTTACATTATTATTATTTTCTTATTTCGAGTATTTATAGTTCTTAATTATACTTAGAAAATGTTTGAAAACTATCCGCGGAAAGCTGCAATTTACATTGACATAAATATGGATACATGCGATCTTCGTTGATTTAGTAAATATCACACGAGTTTTTATTTTCTTGTTTATGTTTATTTGTCACGTATTGCTATTCGTTTTATTTTGTTACGTCACGCTCGCTTTATGACGGATGTTATGATATCATTTTGCATTCAGAATTATCTTATTATCACACTTGTCACGCTAGCTTTGGTCATCTTGTCACATATTTTGACGTAGTTAGCTTACAGTGATTTTATATATGCTTGTTGTCACGTTCACGTCATGTAGTTATTTTTATCAGTCACACCGTGGGTCATATAATTGAGCCGCGTCATGACAAAACAAACATAGTGGGTTTATGACCAGCATGGATCCAGACATGCCTGCGCATCCACACAGTCTGATCAGGATCCATGCTGTTCGCTATCATTGTCTCTACTTGTTATACGGTTTGTAAGCGAACAGCATGGATCCTCATCAGACTGCGCGGATGCGCAGGCTGGTCTGGATCCATGCTGGTCGCAAACCCACTATGTTGGTTTTGTCATGACGCGGCTCAATTATATTTCGATGTAAGTGTTTCTAGCTATGGCTCATCTCAATTGTACGAAACGTCACGGAACAACATGGTGGCTAAATCAATCTCCTTTATTTGAATAGGCATGTAGAAACAATGCTCTGGTTTTAACGAGACTGCAAAATTTATCCCTTTAATTATCCCCTCACCGTTGTATGCTCGAATCCCGGAGGAAGCTATCAAGCTAGTTTTCGGAACGTCGGTGGTTCTACTCAGGGGTCGGCACATGCCTGAATAATGCTCAGAGGGGCGTGTGAGGTCTTCTCAGTATATGAGCATTACAGTGTTAGTGCAACTTAAAACCCAACAACGTTTGCAAGAGTTATGCTAGAGATTTAAATATTTCAAGAGTGTAGAGTGTTTTGTGTTGTTTATATGGCTAGCAAAGTTGCATTAGTGTCATATATATGTAATATTATGATATTCTTTGCTACCATTTCAAAAAATAGTGCTGTTTTCATGTACAATTTTTCAAAGAAAATATTTTCGAACTTTGGATACTAAACAACCGAATGTGTCTATTATATATTGACAATATAGAGCCTTTTTTAAATAGTACATATGGTTTGTAAGCTCAATCTCATTTCTTTTGCAGGTTAACAACAAGGAAAAAGTACTTAGAAGAGGCAGCTCTCTTTGCTTAAATTTCCCGTCAATGTTCGCACCATTTTACCGATTCAGCATTACCTGATGACGTCACAAGTGTTATGTCATAAAAAATTCTCTCACGGAAATTTCGTGCAGATTCTACATTATTTCAAAACTTCAGTGTTATGTTTTAAAACTGTTGAAAAAGTACAATTTGTAGTGAGGCAAATTATCTCCCTTTAACAAATAGCGATACTCACTGAATCTTTTAAAAGTAAATGATATTATTAATAATTAATTAGAGACATGTATATTGTTGTCACGTGATGCTGACCTCACATGCGGATAAATTCTTGATTTTTTAAACTAACCGGTGTAATAATTAGTTAGTTGTAGAATAATTCATTATTTAAAGAAGTAAATACATGTACAAATGTACATTATTATTATCATCAAAGAATTACAAAATAATTAATCATTACATTATTCAGAATAAATTCTTAACTTAAATTCGTAACCATAACAAAATAGCTCGTACATAGATCAATATATATATATCAATTACATATCTTATATGATTTACATACTCTTATACAAAATAAATATACATAATCTAAAATACATAAAATATAAAAAAATTATTATATGTATAACGTTAGAGTATTGCGATATTTATTTCTTTATTAGCCAAAATATGTGCATCATAAAGTATGATGGTACTCAGAAATAACCAGCATTAAATGAAAAATTAAATCAAAAGTTTGAAAACGAAGTTTTTGTGGTGTATTATAATTGCTATTTGTACATTTTGTTTTTTGAATACAGTCTTTTATAATGTTTTGAACGTTTTGTACTCTTTAAATCCCAGTCCTCCCAATGTTTCAATATATATAATTATATAGTTAATCAAATTCATATTTTGTCACAGTCAACCGAAACGGATTCTATATAAATGCTATTGTTGGGGGTGTTCCTGATATGTAAGGGAAGGTAATGTTTTATGATTGTGTTTTTTTTAAACTGGCCAAGATATCTCAAAATTCTGCATTTCCTGTAGGCCTATTGTTACTTTACATAGACAATGTTTCAAATACTCCATTGTTGTTCTGATTTTCCAAATTGAACTTTATGATTTTCCGAATTGAACTGGTAAAATTTCAAAACTGAGAGAATAAAATTAAGCTTGCAAGTGTTAATCAAATGAACAAGCATCCAAAGATCAAGTGAACAAGAAACAAAAGTTTTATAGCAATATAATTATGAAGGTAACATTCAAGATCAACATTTGGCAGCGGGCGCTGGTGGAAGCTCGTTGATTGAAGAATAGTAGGACAAACCTGAAAATAAAAAAGGGTAAAATTTATATCAAAATACTTTGTGGTAAACGGTTTCTCCGGTTCTCTGATAAAATACCGGCAGATGGGACGAGCTGCATGCACGGGTATGACACTCGAGCTTGCGAGTTCCAGAGGTCCAGTTCAGTGACGAATGTTTGCTTTTATAAATCTGGTCGAAGATACATGTATTACTATTTATTGAAATTTGAAATTCACCATTATCAGAGGTAGTTGAGTTGTCATGTTCTTGTAGAAAATAGTCAAAACTAAGTACATATGTACATAATTCCATGACATTTGATAAAAGAGGGGCTGTCCACGGAAATGTGTGTACATGTGTATAGTACTTCTTGGAAAAATGACTCATTTTATACAAGAACAGAACAAAACAGAAAATTTACTTCAGATTTAAGCATTATTAATAAATGGACACATATTAATAAATATACGTAATTCATGCAAAGTAAATTTCATACATAAGAAAATGAGTTGAATTTTTTCTCATATAAACGATATACATGTACGTCTATGTCAATTAAAAATGCAACCTTCTTTTTTAATGTTTACAGTAAGAATTCAATAAACTCTAATTCCTACCGGCAAACGGTTTTGTATAAAATATAATATAGAATGTACCTGCTAGAGCTGACTGGAAACCAGCATTGTAATCACATGCTACCTCATTTTTCACAAAGTCGTTTCTGTCGTCATTGTAGTTATCTCCTTGGTCTGGCCCGCCCACAAGACCGCCCAATAGGACGTTCGGGTTGTCCGCCCCGCCTTTAGCACACCAACCATTTGTTGCGCATGAGCTGCAATAGTTAAAATCATTTAATATACGCATACACAAAGACAATGTACAATGGCTGGCCTTCGGAGTTGCAAAATAAAGAAATACATTGTAATATAATTTATGGTGTGTTTTTTTTTGATACACATAGAAAAAAATAGTGGACATGTTTATACATGTTTATATGTAGGGTAAAATAGACACAAATTCATAAATGATGTGTACGAGTATAATTTTCTTTTTTCCTAATTGTGCACATGTAGGCTTGAACTATTCAATAATAGATGAATCTTCAAATGCAAACTTAACATACGTTATTTGTCGAAATAAACCACAGGACACATAATTATGTCATTTTATTAAATAAATGGTATTTTTGTGGTAAAATGCTTTGAAGTTATTGTGTTCAGTTCCAAATCCAAAGAATTAAAGGGGCTGCCCAGTACATAAATTTGAATTGGTTACGATTAAAATGATTGTTTTAAGTTTTAACAATAATAATTAAAATGTAACAATGCAATTAAATGTGCAATACAAACTGTGTAGGGCAACACTCTTTTCAAACAAAGGTTTGAACTTCTGTTAAGAGCTGTAGTGAGGCTTGCTTTATTGCGAAGGTTTATTTTGAAAATAACCGATACTACTGTTGTAAAGAGGTCATTGCTACACAGAGGGTCGGTCTTTAAAGGTTGTGATAATCGTAAGAAACGGGACCATACCTTCCTCTGTGATGCGGACGTTTTGGGTAATAACTTCCGAAACCTATCTCATAACTGATATGTAATTTGTTATCACCGAGGAGATAGTTAATTTGAGACATGGCCCATTTCTTGTACTCGTCTGAATTTATTCCGAACTTAGCCGCCATTGTTGCTATGAACGCCATGTTACCTAGGATACAATACAGACTGACTCCTTCTGATTTTATGTAACGTTAAGAAATATAATAAATGCAAAACTATAAGTTTTTAACTACTTGTTGCAAGAGTTTTATATAATGTTCTTGTATTCTTTTAATCCCCTAAGTAACGTTTTAGTGTACTTCAATGTGTTGTTATTGTTATCGTTATACACAGCGCATACAATGTATATATAGGACATTGAGTCCAATATATGGTCATTTGTCTCTAAACGTAGTCGATCACTTGGTAACAGCTAGTTAGTTATCCGGTAGACATGACCAAAATTGTGTAATAATCGGCGTTAAAACCAAACACACAGGCGAATAAACAAGTTACTATGATAAGATATATAAAATGATTACATATAAACATAAAAGGCAATAAGCTTAAAGAACTGATGCACAACATTAGTACACAGTTTTACTTTTGATTTTTCACTCTGGTATCATATTTTAGTGCTTGATTCATTTCCTTACATTTCCTGACATTTTTTTAACTCATTAATACTCAATGACCTACCAGCATGTCTGTTTGGTCCCCACTTGTCCCTCCAGGCGAGGCCACATGGTGTCTGAGCGACATCTCCTCCAGGCATGAACGAACGGACAAGAGCCTCTACGTCATTCTTGTATGTGTCATCTCCAGTGACTTGATAGAGCAATAACTGACCAAGCAATGTATATAATTTTAGAGCAGCCCGAAAAATGCACATTTTATAGTAACGTGTTATATAATTTTATACATTCTTGAAAAAATAGATATCTTTCGAAATATCATATTTTTAACTAATTTACTGAGTCTACTGACCCTTCAAAATGCGTTTTAGTATTTTTAATGAAAGTCAATATTTACGTAGTATTTCCTGAATGAAAAATGAACAGTGTTATTAAAGAGTTAGGTTTTTATGATCTTACCATTCAAAGCAGGACAGACATTAAAGGGCAGACCTTAATTCAGCCCCTATTTTGTATCAATGGAACTATTGAAAGACAATAATGGTGTATTAGTCAGCTATGATAAATCACACTGAATGATGTCTTTTCCAAGGGGAATTTTTATATTTTAAGGTTCAAGGCTTTTCTACATACTGCAGCCTCGACATTGGCATCATCCCAGTTAAACGTCCACGGTGTACCACCGTGGTAAAATCCTTTAGCATCATTGAGATAACCGGTGTCTGCTGTAGCCTTGTACATCCAGCTTGCAGCTACAGCCATATCATCCACCTCACTGTTAGACCTGGTGAATATTTAAACAGCTTGTGAGTGAAAATGTGGAATTACCCAAAACTTAATGCGTCCATCGGTCCTTCGAAATTTCTTGTCCGACTCAGATTTCTATTTCGTTATCACTTTGTTTTTCTTCTGGTGTTCAAATAACGCATTTCAAAACGAGGCTACGTTGTATTTTAATTTTCATAACCCACGCTATTTTAAAATCGAAAGCTCTATATTTAAATTTCCGCTTCCGTTTGCAAATATAGAGTTAGGCACTTGGAGAAGTATCATGCTGTAACCTAATATTGGGACGCAGTCCAAATTTAATGGATTGGTCAAAGAGTGATAATTTTCTTCATTTTAAACGTGACTAGCCATGCATGCCATCTATACTTACTTGCATGTAATTAAATGACGTCGATATGCGCGATCAAAATAAAAATGTTAAAGCTCTTTGAATTAACATTTGGTGTATAACATATATATTAATTTCATATATATCAAAATTCCTATCACAATTACCCTTGCTTAAAAGGTACAACAATTCTGTCCAAATGTGTTATGAACTAAAAATCAAAGTGTACCCATAAAAGTCTTTGGCAACCGTTACACAGTCTGAGTATTTTCCACGATTGGTCTTTGCGAAATTGTATAGACCTTTGGCCGCCTCCAAAAGTTTACCAGCATAACTGGTATCTGAAATGATAAATGTTGTAAAAATTGATGAGACATCAGTTTCATGCAGGTAGGCTACAGCGTTCAATAAAGCTGGTTTAAATTCATGGATGAAAAACATTTCTTCCAACTAATACCAATTCATGTATTTTGTAAACATAATATAGCTGATTTGAAGTTTAATCTAGTTTCAGGTCAAACATTACCTTGGCAAATATCTTTGAAAACCATGGAACCAGAAGCCATTGCGGCAACCATTTCACCAGCTACGTCACTTCCGTGACAACCGGAATCTGTTCTCCAACCTACACGCCATTGGCTCATCGTTTCTGGTCGGCCCCAGTAGGCGTGGTCCTGATGTCCATCTCCCACCTTAATAAAGTTAATGTCATACAAATGAATTGTACAGGCATTTGATTTCAATCAGATAATTAGGTGATCCTTTAAATAGTTAATATAAATGATGAAATAACTATGACAACCCCAGACTTTTGCCAATTTTCATCTAAAGAGTCAAACATAATACTAGTAACTATGATTAATACATGTATAAACCCAATAAAGGGTTTTTCCTTCTTTTTGGGGGAAGAGGCCTTAGTCTCTTGATTTTGGGAAAATTATCGCCAAAAAAAATCAATGGGAAGAGGCTTTTATATGCCCCTTTTACATACTGTAATTTAAAAAAAAAATTAATGTAAAAAAAGCTCTCAAATAGCCTATGGCAGCATCCTTTATTTTCAAAGACAAAGTCATTTTATGGTGTTTAGCCAAACAGACAACAGCCGTCAAAAACACAATGCTACGGCTTTATTAGTTTCAGTGACTTGCAAAGGCTGCTAAATAGCTATCTGTTTGTTTGTTTGTTTTTATCTTAACAATATTCATTGGGGCGGTTCGATAATTTTCAATCGAAGCGAAAATGTACGATGGAATAGAGGCAGATATTTCAGCTGTAAACATATATAGTTTTACATTTATAACAATTATTTTAGTAATACATGTATATTAGACCTGATTGCATTCAAAATGTATATTTCGTATTTTCCAGTCAAGACATTTAACTTTGGTAAAAAAAAAAGCAAAGTGTCGGACCGTTAACCATTTAAATCAAAATCTTTTGATCATTTTTACTATGTACAAATTAAGAAAAAAACTAGCAGCTTGCTTGATTGGTTTTATATTGAAACGCGAACCTGAACATAGTTTCTTTGCTGGTCGGGTATCCAACATTTCAGGAAATAATCTAAAGGTGTTCGGATCATGTCACATGCCATGTCCTTCTGTCCAGCCGAGGAGTAACCTTCTTTAAACTCCAACATACCCCATAGCAAAACTGTCGTAGACCAGGCCATTGGTAAATTAAATTTGACATGATCACCAGCTGAAAATTGATATATACTAATTATACATGTTTAATATTGAACTTGAAATTGAAAAAAACATAGGAACGTTCGATAAGTCCACAATTATATATACAATTACATTCATTTTTACATGTACATGTATTTACATAAGCTATAAATATGGTTGTTACTGGTCGCTGGTGTGTTTAAGTCACATATACAGGAATGCAATAAATTAAAACAACGGTCTAGAGAGACGACAAATAGTTCTTGTGCTTTTTTCTACGCACGATTTTCACGAGAGGAACAGTCTTCATATATAACAGAACAGACGGAATTTAGAAGAAAGCGTCAAGTGGTGAAAGGTTTGAAGCCAGCGAACGTTTCACCACTCTGCTACGTGAGCGAAGCAATAGAGCCAACGGTATTTCCGATGTTCAGTGGTTTCCAGATATGAAAGATGTACAGCCAAAGAAAGACATATAAACATACCGTCGTACCAGCCACCACTTAGATCGTGACCGTCGTCTGCGTCATGGACGTTCGAGTCTCCGCGCCAAGGTATCGGGTTATTTGCCGGAAGATATCCGGAACGCTGGGTGTCAAAGAAAAGGATTGACAACTTCAAAGCATCTTTATAATTGTATTTCATGGAAGACCCTGAAAATAATTGAAAAGAAAAGAAAACGTTACCAAATACAGAATTAAACACAAACAGAATATTTGCATCTTTCTAATTTTATTTTTAGTAAAATAATAGTTGCCAAGAAAAGTTACATTTTCTATAGTCTTCATATAGGCGGGTTCACAAAGCATGAAGTAGGAGAGGAATTTACGCTTGCCAAAAAATGTCATCAATTTAATTAGACCAGAAATATATTCACCACATCCGGAACATTGATGTGATTCGGTTACACCGCCGGATGATGGCGCTGATGTTGCACTTCCTCCTGAAGAAGTTCCACCGGAAGTAACAGTGTTACTAGATCCGCCTCCTGGAGCAGACGTACCGCTTGCTGGGGCAGACGTTGCGCTTCCTGGTGCAGACGTTGCGCTTCCTGGTGAACCTGTTCCGGCAGAGCCACCTGTTAAAGGTAACATTGAATTTTAATAATGCATGTACACTTTATCTGGAAGAACACTCCCGTCTCCCTCCCTAACCGTAACAATAGATACAATGCAGACTGTTTTCATTTTCATTTTCAAAGTCATTTTACACAGAGATAAGTTGACATCTACCGTCACTCTATTAAAATCTGCATCCGCCATATTTCCATCTCGTAGATGAAATTTTCCAAGATCAGTTTTCACGATTTGCATTTGAGTATCAAAGGGACTTACATTCTGAAAATTGTGGTTCCATGTAAATTATGTGTGACTAATACATGTTGCTGTAAAAATGTTCCAATTTATTTGGCGCACACATAGTAGTTACGACAAAGAATTATAAAATACAAATTGAAATAATTTCCATTAAACATATATTAAATGAAAGTCTGCAAGTCGGCATGAGGATCGTATATCTTTTTGTGAGAACACATTTTTTGAGTGTTTGTGCCGATTTAGTAACACTCTATTAAAAGCAGTATCAGAACGGAACCACGTACAAGTATATACAGATTTACTTATGTTTGAAGCATTTTAAAATTAATCGGAAATAAACTTATAAAATCCATTGAATTTGCTAACAATGTGAAATAAGATGTTATAAATAATTATAGTTAAATAAATTGAAAATAGGATGACTTAAATTTTCTACAGATGTCCCTCAAATCTAAATGGCTTTATTATAACGTAACGTCAACTTTAAATAAAACATCTTCGTGGCAAATCACACCGATTCATGATTATTTACAAGTTTACACCACAAATTTTATAATTTTTCATAAATTCTATGAAAATGATTTTGAAGACACCTACCAGTACATGTATAAGTACCATCGCAACCTTTGTCTCCACTCAACACACCATTATACTCTACAAGAAGATCTTTCCCTGCTTGTATAACTTTATCCCATGGCATGTTAGTGACAGTAAAGTCCGAGCCACTACCGGAGGATATCGTAGCTTTCCAAATCTGACCAGATATACATGAGTACAAATTTTACATAGGATTCCTATTGCGTATTTCTAATGCTGCACGTTTGTAACACCCCTTTTCATTGGATAATAGTGACGTTAATATAGTTTTATATACACGACTGCTGTCAATTTATGAAGAAATCTCACTATTTTCACTATTTTCTATAAAAATGATGCTTGCTGTATTATAAATTCATAATAAATATTTACGCCATGTACAAATATTTTCAATTAAGTCAAACCTGTGAACATAGGTCGTCTAAGGAAGAGGGTGAAAATGACCTTTAAAGACAAGTGATCTTTATTTGGCGGTTACTTTGTTCTATATAATCAAAGGAGGTTTGTTAACTAATGGTCTATATTCACGAAGGAGGTGGTCTTTAACACAGGTTTTACTGCATATGTTGATTTTACAATATATTATTTTATACACTTGTGCGAGTAGTGAATTTTCTTTATGTTTGTATTACAAATTAAAAGCGTTTGTAGTAGGGCTTTAATTTTTAAACTTCTGGAAATATGAGCAAAGAAAAATATGGAAACTGGTCTGATTGTATTGTCTTGGTTCTGTACTTAGGGTACAGACAAGTTAACCATTTCCGCCAACACAAGGATTTTCTTTAACCTTTTCCCTCATTTAAGCGTGTTTTGTCGGCTTTTTTGCCCCCCCCCTTTTTTTTGAGGCCTCAAACAGTGAAAACATGGTCTAATTAGGCCCCGGTTGAGAAATGTTGTTAAAAAAGTGACCACTTCTTCGTCGCCAGAAAGGGGGTGTGGAGGGTTTGAAGGGGGGCGGCCGTCCCCCTCATCGACAAGAAAAGTTGGACATGTGACAGGCTAAAAATGGCCTCAGATCGATCTTAGGGTAACTAGTAACCGATGCTGAAAAGCCTTTTACTCTATCTCAATTCGTTGAGAAGTTGAAGTTTTGATGAAGAAAAAAAGAATGCAAAATAGTGATTTTTTGGCAATTTTGAGACGTCCCACCGTTGCCATGGTAACAGGAAATTTACGATTGAGCATGCTGTTACAGAGGCTATGGTCTTGCTTTAAACATAGAATCTGTGAAAATAAGAAAGCACGGGATTGTTTTACCTTGATGGCGCACTTAAAAATGTAGCCTGGGACATTTACGTTATCGTATGAAAGATCACTTACATCTAATTTATCTACAGGCGTGGCAAAACTGAGTGTGCAAGTCCAGCCATCGACAGCGTTGTCCGCATGCACAGTGAAAGTTCCCGCACAACCTCCTGTCCAGGTTCGAACTACGGTCAGTGGGGACGAAGACTGTCCCGATACTGACCCGACTAAGGCCATCAGGATTAGAAGTAAAGAACCCATGTTGGAACAAGCTGAATGGACAAAACTGGTTAAATTACTGATTCCGTGATATACATTTATAACGATAGTACTCATCGGCAACTCGATTCAGGTCACTGTAAGTAATTATATTAGGGAAGAATAGTGTGTTTGATACAGAAATTACTCTAACATTACTTTAAAGCAGCATGCCTCCAGATTTATGCTAGTTTTAGAAGAAAATTTCGAAAATTTATTTAAAAGTGAAATATTGTGAAATGAACAAAGGAAGTAATTTACTTATTGCAAACAGCGGTTAAAATCACAGTCAGTTACAAAAAAAGGTCAAAATATGCAAAAATAGCCCTTTCTGCGTGAGTTACGCAATTGAAATATTGATCGCACATAACACGAAAATTATCACTTCGATATTTATTCTTAGTAGGCTCATCTGGAGATACGGAGCTTTAAAGCAGGTGAGCCAAACTAACGCAGTAAAGGCATATTTTCCTCATATTTTGACCTCCTTTTTGTAATTTACGTAGATTGCAAATGCAAATGTGTAAATAATTTTTTCCCTTCACAATAGTTTACTTTAAAATATAAAATGACAGGGTATTTTTTATAAAATTGTCATAAATATAAGCAGGAATCTGGAGGCATGCTTCTTTAATGTCTCATCTGATTTGAGTTGGAGAAGCGGCGGTCGATTTAGCGATATCTGGATTTTAAGTCCACTAGCACTATGCCACCATGGACCATTGCGTCCGCTCTAGTGATTATGTATTATTATTTTCATTTATTTATTTATTTTGTTTCCTTTTTACTTTATGAGCACTGTGCACGTGGTTTCAATAGAACACATGGATATAATCAATCCGTATCATTCACAGAGGGAAAAAATGACATTTACAATTTGCGTCCCATATCAAAATATGAAATAAAAATTTCACGTGCATTCGTTATCAATAAATAAGATCAAGTATGATAAATGATGTTTCCAAAAAAATAAAGATTTTTTTTAATGAAGTAACCTTATTTAAAGTAGTGAGCTTTATTAGAATTTCATATAAAATAGCTTCTACACACCCGTACACGTTCTTGACGGTCATCAGTGTGCCCATGCCACGTGATTTTGACGTCAGTTTTGGTAATCAGCAGACAGAAATAATAACTGAACAACTCGATCTCACGTGAACATCTTATCAAATATGACTAAATAAAGCAGGGCTAAGGGAAAAGTTCTAAAGCATAAGTTCATAGCACTGCTCATTTTTATCTGAAAACGGGAAATCTATATTTTCCCAGTATTTTCTTACGCTAGGTGAACATATAATTTTACCCGTTTTCGGGCCAATCAAAAAAATCATTACCATTATTTGGTAATATTCGATAAAGAAATAAATAAAAACTTATGTGAGTTTAAAGGTTTCAATCGAGCAATTTGTCTACTATTCCATCTTGACGTTCTACCAAATAATGACGTCAAAGTCATGTGGTATGGGCACACTGGGTCATATGGTATACATGTGTTATATTGCGCCGACGAAATGACGTCATTTCATAGTAACGGCATTTACATACGTCTTTTTTGCTAAACAAGTCACGTAAATGAACATTTAGCTTTAGGCAAGCAAAACATAAATCTAGCTTATCCATATAAAAAGAAAAATCAAAGGAAATGAAGCCAAATAAATACCTACGTTAAGTACTGACGTGCAAGCTAGTTCTGTTTAGAAACTCCTCTAAACGCTCTTTTTATGATAAAATTAACTAGAGCACTACTTTGTACTAGTTATTCAACTAACTTCATATATATAAATAGGAATGAACTCGCTTATTAATAACCTTTCACAGAGATATACAAGAAGGCACTTCCTTGTGTGTATTACGGTAATTGCGTCCATCAAGAATCGGATAAATCCGCCAAAATTCGTCACTTTCCGAAATTTATATTGATTGTCGGAAATGTACGTGCTCATGGTTTATGTAAATGCCTTAAAGGTGTTTTTTTATGAAAGGACATGTATACATTTTAAAGAAATTTGTGTCCCATTTGATGTAGGGCTTGATCAATAAAGTGTGTGAAAATTTTCAGTTCATTCGCTTATGCCGTTTTCCTGAATAATCCTTCAAATTGTGCAAAATAGCCCAAAATGAAAAAAGCGTTACGACGCTTAAATAAACTCAAATCAGGATAAGAATGGCGCAAAAAGTATAGTGACTTCTATAGCATATTTTTCCGTTTTATGGGACCTAGGTATAAATTTCATATTTTATGTTTTAGGCTTTTGCACCTAAAGCGCAGTGCTCTCCTTTAGTCAAAGCTTTAATTGACGTCATCATGTATTGCACTAAATGAACATTTTGATTGCGAATTAGACAGCAAAAAGACGATATCTGCACTATATTTTTGTACCTGTAACACGGAAGTTAACGTATTAATTAGAACTGTGACCCCTTGTCTGAAATTTAGCATCCACTTTAAAAGTGGGTGCAAAGTGTAATGGGGATAGTTCGGTCGTCCGAACTTCATTCGTACGTATAGGTCCGTCTTGTCCATCACATCTGCCTTATCTGATAAATAACTTGAAAAGAAATAAGTTGTGGTTTTGTACGCTTTGAACCACAGTCTGTAGATGTGGTGTAGAGGTTGAATGACCCATATTGACCTTGACCTTGAGGTCAATATGTGAAAAGCTTATTCGACCAGTAACTATAGAAACCTTTGACCTAAAGTCTTACTTATTTAGTGTTGATGTTAGTCGTTACTAGTAGACGGCACCTATTAAGTTTGAGGTCAAAATGTTATAAAGATCAATTAAGGTTCACATGGCCTTGAAAACTTACATAATGTCCGGCCTGTAAGTAGAGGACGTTTTGTTAATGACTGCATGTCTAGCAGATGTCCCATGATTATTTTACGCTTATTGTAATTTAGTCAAAAGTTAAGGTCACAGTCATACTATCGCTTGAGAAGGACTAATGCTAAGTTATTTAAACTTGGCTAATAGATTTTGAACCTATTCGGCCAAAGGTTACAGTAACACTGTGTAATTTTGCCATTGTGATGTCCAGTAAAAAAAAAGTTCTAACAATTGGACATGTCCCGCATATTTAATCAAACTAATACTAGCCTAAATTTGAAAATATTCAGTTAGATATGTTCCCTTTGATAACGCGGAATTAGAACTATTTCGGAAGATACTTTGCGGAATTGATTTGAAGCCGTGGTCTTTTCAAGTACGAAGTTGTATTGAAATTCATAATGAATTAACTTGTACATATATTTGCGACATTCTATGCCTTTTCCTCGATCCGCAATTTTCATCTTGTGATCTATATTATAATAAATGACTTTTAGTAGGCCTACAATGTACACGACAGCTTATCACCGTAGATCTATCTCATGAGAATCGAGCAGACGTGTTTTTGATAAGACTAAAGTAGCTCACATTTTAGCACTTCCTCTTGATGATACTGGATTTTCTTCAAAGAATGTGTAAAAAAATAAGATTTTTTTTTAAAGTAAGAAAAAAATCTCTTTCTATAGTCTGCAAAATGTTGAGACGATAACAATAGCGTTGAATTGTATTTGGAATAGTTTTAGTTTTCGAACAAACAACAACAACAACAACAACAAGTAATAAAATAAAACACTGTAGTGTAGATCTTTAACACTAAATCTTTCATGGAATAGAGTTGTAAATTCACAACATAATTTTCATAAATAATAACGGATGATTGAAGTGCCAACAAACATGGTAAAATTCTTTAAATCAGCAACAGCAAAATGTGTCGAGAATTGAAACTGACCCCCCCCCTCATCATTGAAACTGAACCCCCCCCCCCTCTCATCTCACTCGACTAATTTATTAAGGCCTATTTTTTTGGTAGGATGCACCTTGACAAGTAACTTGATTTAACATATTAACGTTCAGGGCTTCTATTAAGGGAAGTTTGGGAGTCATTTAATCCTTGATTTTGGCTTGTGACTTCCAGAATCTAATACTTTTCCTTCTTTGCCTATATAACGTGACTTCCAATATCAGAGATTTTACAGTGTCTGACTTCCCAATTTTGGAACTTAGTGGAAGCTGCCCTGAACGTTTAACAAACTTGCAAAAAAATCTTGGGACAATGGGGTGGGTGATTAGGGGACAGAATGAGCTGTATCAAAAGTTGATCGTAGGTTGAAGGACAGACCATAGTTTGAGATGTGGACCGTGGGTTCTGTAGTCCTAACAATTTCCTCCTCTGACGTTTTCTCCCTGATTGTCATCCCCTATTTTGAAATGTATAAATCTTGTACACACTAAGCAGGGATTCTTTTTTGGCTTATTTTATAGCAGAAATTCGGTCATATTCCCAATTGAAAATAGTATTATATTATTTTCCCAATCCAAAGGAAAAAATTCCTGATTGAAATTAACAAAATGTACAAAATAAAAATATTGAATAACAAAATGTAAAATCTTTGAAAATAAGGGCTTCTTCACTGTTATGGTGCTTAAGTGTATGAAGATGTCATCCTGGACAGTGATTCTTTGCATTCATTTAATCTCTGCAAAATTTAAATCATGCATTTTTTCCCAATTTCTGAAAATCCAAATTTCATGGATATGGGTCATGTTCCAAAAAAAAAATGGCCACAATCCTGGAAAAAAATCCTGCTAAGGGATAATTTAACCATTTTATAGTGAATTAATGTGAGTTACCCTCCATATCAAATTATAACAACTATTATTTAATTACAAAACGAAAAATCCATACATGTAGATTAAATTACAAATTGATAAATATGCATAGATAACATATTTATTAACTACGCATAAAGTGAACACAACTTACACATGGTGCATATCCATATCGGTATTCTTTTTGCTAAATCTACTTTGCAAATGCACAGGTCATTTTGTGCAGAAAACAGATCTAGGCAACATGCACAAATCTAGTAATTGTTCATTCTACTGATCAAATGTTTTAACTATGTCTTTCTAAGGAATTTGTCTATTTTTCAATTACTGCAACTCTGCAATAAGTTACACAAAATTGTGATGTTTCGCCACACCCACCCCCTCGGCATGTTCTATGGGCCAAAATGAACCAACGATTTGATTATGTACATATCATACATGTACTTTTTTTCTATTATCTTTGGACAAATATAAATAAATAGTCAAAAAATGCATTTTAAATTCATAAAACAACATAATATCCTTTTACCTTTCCGACCAATAACTGGACAACAACATGAGCCCTTGGCCCTCAGATTGGCAATAGATCACCTCTTTTGAATTTGGGATGCAGGCTAAAAGATCAAGGTCACATTGACCTTGTATGCCAAACCAGTTTCCAACCAATAACTCGACAACCCATGGGGCCCCTGTCTTTCAAACTCCATAGGTGCATTTGTCTTTTGCTGTAAATGACTGCTATTGTTGTTTAGGTTGAGAGTCAAAGTTCAAGGTAGCTATGACCTTGTATGCCAAAACAGTTTCCTTTCTGACAGTTCTTTTTATATTCTTTGTTCAGTTCATGCTTATAAACACACCATTGTTATGCCCCCTTAAACCACCATCTGTATGCCCCGCTACAAAGAAGAGGGGGCATATTGTTTTGCAGCATGATGTTGGTTGGTCTCACTCTGTCAGTGGACTGTCCCTACAATCAAAAAGGGATAGGGGGCTAAACAGAACAAAACAGAACAATTAAGTTCATTTCCTAACAATATAATAAGGGGCCAATGGTCTTCTATTAAACAAAAGAAAATAACAAAAGAAATAGCACCTTATCCCATTTTGGTCACATTTCCATCTGTCTCATATTGTTTCCTGTCAATAACTTTAGAACACATATTAGGCCCATTACCCTAACTCTTCATAGGTGCATTTGTCTTGGGAAGATGACCCTTTTTGATTTTAGGGTCAAGGTTAAGCCGTTAAGGTCACACTAATAACTCAAGAATCATTTGGCCCTCAAACTTAAAAGGTACTTTGGTCTTGGCCAATTGATGGCCCTTATTGATTTTGGGGTCAAGAGATCAGAGGTCACATTGACTTTGAATGTCAAAAACAGTTTCTGACCAATACATGTAACTAGACAACCCATGGGGCCCTCAGCCTCCTAACTTTAAAGGAGCATTGGTCTTGGCCAGTGGATGACCACTACAAAATATATTATGAAGGTTTTCCACTGATTGTGTTTATATAATTTGGCATGCATGTATGTTATGTCAAAACACAGGTTAAAATTTCTTTTCTCTGCATCAGTTAATAATTAACAAAGTTATATCCCTTTATATGTAAACAAGTAAGTTCTTTATCTTCTATTGCTATTATCTCAAAAAAATATTAGACTGTTTATTTTTCTTTCACATTTGACAAAAAAAAATTATTTTCAATTAACAACAATAAATTTGCTCTATCTATCTTGAAAGTATATTTCTGTCACTCAGTTATTCCTTCTTTTAAATTTTCCATAGGGTGTATGTTGCCCCGCCTCATCGAAGCTCTTATTGCTATATGTCACTGTGTACAGGGAGAAACTGTATTATAGGAACTTTAAAGTGGATTATTATACATTAAAGTACATTCATTTGATTTTGAAACCAACCATAGCATTAAACTTAACAAGATATTATCATGTTTATACAGTAACTGTATTTTAGTCATAAAGTACAGTGTATGTCATAAATTTTTTTAGTCCCCTCCGGTTTACCCTCCGTCCGTCTGTCCGTCTGTCTGTCTGTCCGTCTGTCTGTCAGTCTGTCAGTCCGTCCGTCCACAAAACTGGATCCCGCGATAACGCAAAAAGTACTGAAAATATTTTTATGAAACTTGATATATGGATAGATGGCAGTATGGAGATTATGCACGTCTTTTTTTTTTCTTCCTATGTTGAAAATTCTGGTTGCTATGGCAACAAATAGTCTGAAAATATGGCAAATTTAACACATAAACTGGATCCCGTGATAACTCAAAAAGTACTGAAAATATTTTTATGAAACTTGAAATATGGGTAGATGGCAGTCTGGAGATTATGCACATCTTTTTCTTTTCTTCCTATGTTGAAAATTCTGGTTGCTATGGCAACAAATAGCCTGAATTTCAAGATTTCTGATTTAAATTTTTCAGCTTTTTCACTATATGTTCTTTATTTCTTAAGGTGTTTACTTCAAACTTTAAATATAAGTTTCTGGTCATCAACCACATCATATGTGACAAGGTTTATAACTCTAGCACAAAAAATATCAGTATTACCTCCCTTGAACTTAGATTTTTTAGGGGAAAAAATGTTGTCTTTTTTAAATAACTTCTTTTTCACTATATGTTCTTTATTTCTTAAGGTGTTTACTTCAAACTTTAAATATAAGTTTCTGGTCATCAACCACATCATATGTGACAAGGTTTATAACTCTAGCACAAAAAATATCAGTATTACCTCCCTTGAACTTAGATTTTTTAGGGGAAAAAATGTTGTCTTTTTTAAATAACTTCTTTATTTCCTAATGTATCTACTTCAAACTTCATATATATGTTTCTTATTATCACTCGACTTTTTTGAGAAGGTTAAATACTCTAGCAAGACTATTTCCAGAATTATGTCCCCTTTGAACTTAGATTTTTTTAGAGAAACTGGTATTTACACTCCAACTTCTTCATTCCTTATAGGATTTACTTTAAAATACCACATCGTAATAATATGACAAGGTTGTATAAACATAATTTCCTTACTAAGCATGGAAACTTAACACATTACTGTGATATAGACAAACTTATTAGTCCCCTACCGGTTTACCGGAGGGGACTTTAGGTTTACCCTCCGTCCGTCTGTCTGTCCGTCAGTCCGTCCGTCAGTCCGTCCGTCCACAAAACTGGATCCCGCGATTACGCAAAAAGTACTGAAAATATTTTAGTGAAACTTGATATATGGATAGATGGCAGTATGGAGATTATGCACGTCTTTTTCTTTTCTTCTTATGTTGAAAATTCTGGTTGCTATGGCAACAAATAGACTGAAAATATGGCAAATTTTACACATAACCTGGATCCCGTGATAACGCAAAAAGTACTGAAAATATTTTTATGAAACTTGATATATGGATAGATGGCAGTATGGAGATTATGCACGTCTTTTTCCTTTCTTCCTATGTTGAAAATTCTGGTTGCTATGGCAACAAATAGACTGAAAATATGGCAAATTTTACACATAACCTGGATCCAGTGATAACGCAAAAAGTACTGAAAATATTTTTATGAAACTTGACATATGGGTAGATGGCAGTATGGAAATTATGCACATCCTTTTCTTAACTTCCTATGTTGAAAATTCTGGTTGCTATGGCAACAAATAGACTGAATTTCAAGATTTCTGATTCTAGTTTTTAAGTTTTTTCACTATAAATACTTTATTTCTTAAGGTATTTTCTTCAAACTTTAAATATAAGTTGCTTGTCATCAACCACATCATATGTGACAAGGTTTACAACTCTAGCACAAAATTTATCAGAATTACCTCCCTTGAACATAAAATTTTTATGAAAAAAACATTGTTTTTTTTAATAACTTCTTTTTCTGAATGTATCTACTTCAAACTTCATATAAATGTTTCTTATTATCACTCAACATTTGTGAGTGTTCAATACTGCCAGAAGTATGCCCCTTTTGAACTTAGACTTTTTTTTGAGAAATTGGTAATTTTTACTCCAACTTCTTCAATCATGATAGGATTTTAAAAATGTTATATTTTGATAACAGGGATGTTTAAAAAATAACTTTAGAGTGTCCTTCAGTCCGTCTGTCTGTCTGTACATAAGAACTGTTTCCTGTGATCACTTTTAAAGAACTTTTTCAACAAATTTATTTAAATAGGAACATAAGTGAATGGCCAATGGCCCTTCAGAATGTTGCTTGGGCTCTTACCGGTAGGGGACTTATGGATTGCTTGCAATACTATGGTAATTGCTTGTTTATTTTATTTTGCATATTTCAACATGGAAGGCCTGTAGGTGAAGTAAAATATGTAAAGTAGTGTTTTACAATATATATTTTGAATAGATAACACAGATTTTAAGTGGTTTTAGTCAGTGAATTGAATCTCCAGCTACAGATCTGAAGTGATGCAATTGTATCTCCACTTATAAATTTAAAGTTATGCAAAATTTAAAACACTATACATGTAGTGTTTGGTTAGACATCCTAAAAGATAAGGGATGTGAAAAATCATGTACTATATTTTTGATTAATATTGTCTACTTTCAGAGTTAACCTTTTCCCTTATATAAGCGTGTTTCGACGGCTTTTTGCCCCCCCCCCCCTTTTTGAGGCCTCAAACAGTGAAAAAATGCCCTATTTAGGCCCCAAACACTGTCTTTTGTTTGAGAAATGTTGTTAAAAAAAGTGACCATTTTTTCGGCGCCGTCCCCCATCCAAATATTACATCAGGGGGTTGCCAGAAGGGGGATGTGCCCCCTTCTGTTTGGGGGGTTTGAAGGGGGGCGGAGTCCCCCTCATCGCCAAGAAAATTTTGGACTTGTGAGAGGCATAAAATGACCCCAGGTTGATCATAAGGTAACGTGTAACCAACGCTGAAAAGCCTTTGACTCTATCTCAATCCCTTGAGAAGTTGCAGCGCTTTGAAATAAATTTTGATGGAAAAAATGGAGGCAAAAAAGTGATTTTTGCCAATTTTGAGATGTCCCCTCGTTGCCATGGTAACAGGAAATTTAAGACTGAGCATGTCGTTACAAAGGCAATGGTCCAGTCAACATTTGTGCCAAGTTTGATTAGTATTGAAGCATTTTTCATAGTCTCATAGCAGTTTGAACATGTAACAGGAGGCTTTTCAGTGAAAATGGCCATTTTTCACAATATGCTCATGGGGGAAAGGGTTAACTAAAAAAATTATAAATGTTACAAAACAACAATTTTTCACCAAAATTAGGTAAAAGACCACATGTTAACATGGAAAATCTAGATTTTGGGTGATTCCAAGGTTTTTCATCATTTTTTGTTAACCTTTTCCCTTATATAAGCGTGTTTCGACGGCTTTTTGCCCCCCCCCCCTTTTTGAGGCCTCAAACAGTGAAAAAATGCCCTATTTAGGCCCCAAACACTGTCTTTTGTTTGAGAAATGTTGTTAAAAAAAGTGACCATTTTTTCGGCGCCGTCCCCCATCCAAATATTACATCAGGGGGTTGCCAGAAGGGGGATGTGCCCCCTTCTGTTTGGGGGGTTTGAAGGGGGGCGGAGTCCCCCTCATCGCCAAGAAAATTTTGGACTTGTGAGAGGCTTAAAATGACCCCAGGTTGATCATAAGGTAACGTGTAACCAACGCTGAAAAGCCTTTGACTCTATCTCAATCCCTTGAGAAGTTGCAGCGCTTTGAAATAAATTTTGATGGAAAAAATGGAGGCAAAAAAGTGATTTTTGCCAATTTTGAGATGTCCCCTCGTTGCCATGGTAACAGGAAATTTAAGACTGAGCATGTCGTTACAAAGGCAATGGTCCAGTCAACATTTGTGCCAAGTTTGATTAGTATTGAAGCATTTTTCATAGTTTCATAGCAGTTTGAACTTGTAACAGGAGGCTTTTCAGTGAAAATGGCCATTTTTCACAATATGCTCATGGGGGAAAGGGTTAACTAAAAAAATTATAAATGTTACAAAACAACAATTTTTCACCAAAATTAGGTAAAAGACCACATGTTAACATGGAAAAACTAGATTTTGGGTGATTCCAAGGTTTTTCATCATTTTTTGTTAACCTTTTCCCTTATATAAGCGTGTTTCGACGGCTTTTTGCCCCCCCCCCTTTTTGAGGCCTCAAACAGTGAAAAAAATGCCCTATTAAGGCCCCAAACACTGTCTCTCGTTTGAGAAATGTTGTTAAAAAAAGTGACCATTTTTTCGGCGCCGTCCCCCATCCAAATATTACATCAGGGGGTTGCCAGAAGGGGGATGTGCCCCCTTCTGTTTGGGGGGTTTGAAGGGGGGCGGAGTCCCCCTCATCGCCAAGAAAATTTTGGACTTGTGAGAGGCTTAAAATGACCCCAGGTTGATCATAAGGTAACGTGTAACCAACGCTGAAAAGCCTTTGACTCTATCTCAATCCCTTGAGAAGTTGCATCACTTTGAAATAAATTTTGATGGAAAAAATCGAGGCAAAAAAGTGATTTTTGGCAATTTTGAGATGTCCCCTCGTTGCCATGGTAACAGGAAATTTAAGACTGAGCATGTCGTTACAAAGGCAATGGTCCAGTCAACATTTGTGCCAAGTTTGATTAGTATTGAAGCATTTTTCATAGTTTCATAGCAGTTTGAACTTGTAACAGGAGGCTTTTCAGTGAAAATGGCCATTTTTCACAATATGCTCATGGGGGAAAGGGTTAACTAAAAAAATTATAAATGTTACAAAACAACAATTTTTCACCAAAATTAGGTAAAAGACCACATGTTAACATGGAAAAACTAGATTTTGGGTGATTCCAAGGTTTTTCATCATTTTTTGTTAACCTTTTCCCTTATATAAGCGTGTTTCGACGGCTTTTTGCCCCCCCCCCTTTTTGAGGCCTCAAACAGTGAAAAAATGCCCTATTTAGGCCCCAAACACTGTCTTTCGTTTGAGAAATGTTGTTAAAAAAAGTGACCATTTTTTCGGCGCCGTCCCCCATCCAAATATTACATCAGGGGGTTGCCAGAAGGGGGATGTGCCCCCTTCTGTTTGGGGGGTTTGAAGGGGGGCGGAGTCCCCCTCATCGCCAAGAAAATTTTGGACTTGTGAGAGGCATAAAATGACCCCAGGTTGATCATAAGGTAACGTGTAACCAACGCTGAAAAGCCTTTGACTCTATCTCAATCCCTTGAGAAGTTGCAGCGCTTTGAAATAAATTTTGATGGAAAAAATGGAGGCAAAAAAGTGATTTTTGCCAATTTTGAGATGTCCCCTCGTTGCCATGGTAACAGGAAATTTAAGACTGAGCATGTCGTTACAAAGGCAATGGTCCAGTCAACATTTGTGCCAAGTTTGATTAGTATTGAAGCATTTTTCATAGTCTCATAGCAGTTTGAACATGTAACAGGAGGCTTTTCAGTGAAAATGGCCATTTTTCACAATATGCTCATGGGGGAAAGGGTTAAAGAATTCATGAAGTTTGAAAGTTTTTACATGAAACTGACTTTCTACATGAAGTAGCAATATTCTCCTGAAGTTGAAGTTTTACATGAAGCTGAAGTCATCGGATGAAGTAGAATTCTTATTTACATGAAACTGTCATTTTCATGAAGTTGAAGATTTTACATGAAGCTGATGTCATTTTCTGAAGTAGATTGCATTACATTAACCAGACTTTTTACTTAAGTTGAATTGTGTTCAAGCCATGGATACCGAAGCTTGCTCAACAAATATGGAAAGTTCAAGTGCCACTAAAAATGGTAGATTAGCACCAGGAGATAATGTTGTGAAGAAGAAATATTCATTTGAACATTGCCAGGATGACAGTAAAATGCCACTGTACGAGAGACAGAGTAGTGTACGGAAAAGTCAGTCAATGAGTAATGTAGGCAAGAATTTTCAGGTTAGTTAATGAATTATGTTGATAATGATTTACAGATGAATTGATTAAAATGTGTTTATGAATTTTTAGGTTGATTTGTGAAAAGTTGTGTATGAATTTAAAGGTATATTGATGAAAATGTTTATGTGAATTTATAGCTTAATTGATGAAAATATAATTTGTATGAATTTTTAAGTACATGTAAATTTATGAAATGTGTGTATGAATTTACTGGTAAATTGATGAATTGTTATGCCCCCACTTCGAAGAAGAGGGGGTATATTGCTTTGCACTTGTCGGTCCGTTGGTCTGTCGGTCCGTCTGTCCGTAGACCAAATGGTTTCCGAGTGATAACTAAAGAATGCTTTGGCCTAGGAACTTCAAACTTGGTATGGTGATTGGTCTTGACCAGTAGATGACCCCTATTGATTTTGGGGTCAATGAGTCAGAGGTCAATGTCACATTGACCTCTTAGGTAAAAACTGTTTCTGATCAATAAGTAAAGGACCCTTAGGCCTAGGAACTTCAAACTTGGTATGGTGATTGGTCATGACCAGGAGATGACCCATATTGATTTTGGGGTTAAGGGGTCAAAGGTCAAGGTCACATTGACCTTGTAGGTAAAAACGGTTTCCGATCAATAACTTAAGAACCCTTAGGCCTAGGAACTTCAAACTTGGTATGGTGATTGGTCATGACCAGCAGATGACCCCTTTTGATTTTGGGGTCAAGGGGTCAAAGGTCAAGGTCACATTAATCTTGTAGGTAAAAACGGTTTCCGATCAATTAACTAAAAACGCTTAGGCCTAGGAACTTCAAACTTTGTATGATGATTGGTCGTGACCAGCAGATGACCCCTATTGAATTTTGGGTCAAGGGGTCAAAGGTCAAGGTCATATTGACCTTGTCAGTAAAAAAGTTTCTGTTCAATTACTAAAGAACGCTTAGGCCTAGGAACTTCAAACTTGGTATGGTGATTGGTCATGACCAGCAGATGACCCCTATTGATTTTGGGATTAAAGGGTCAAAGGTCAAGGTCACATTGACCTTGTAAGTAAAAACGGTTTCTGATCAATAACTAAAGAACGCTTCGGCCTAGGAACTTCAAACTTGGTATGGTGATTGGTCATGACCAGCAGATGACCCCCTATTGATTTTCAGGTCAAGGGGTCAAAGGTCAAGGTCACATTGACCTTGTAGGTAAAAACAGTTTCCGATCAATAACTAAAGAACGCTTAGGCCTAGAAACTTTAAACTTGGTATGATGATTTGTCATGACCAGCAGATGACTCCTATTGATTTTTGGGTCAAAGTGTCAAAGGTCAAGGTCACATTGACCTTGTAGGTAAAAACGGTTTCCAATCAATAACTTAAGAACGCTTAGGCCTAGAAACTTCAAACTTGGTATGATGATTAGTCATGGCCAGCAGATGACCCCTATTGATTTTGGGGTCAAGGGGTCCAAGGTCAAGGTAACATTGACCTTGTTGGTAAAAATGGTTTCCGATCAATAACTAAAGAATGCTTAGGCCTAGGAACTTCAAACTTGGTATGATGATTGGTCATGACCAGTAGATGACCCCTATTGATTTTGGGGTCAATGTCATATTGACCTTGTACTTAATGACGGTTTCTGACCAATAACTCAACAACTCAAGTTGCCTTGGTTGATATTTTTATATTAAACTAAAAATGCTTTTGGTATACACATTTGAAGGTCTTATGTAATATAACAACTTGGCTGTCATTAATGAGGCCTACATGATTCATAAAATTTATGCATATATTATTTGGTAAGATTTATAATAACTTAAATTGCTTCACACAACCTATGGGGTCACAATTATTATTACCTTGAGACTAGTCATGGCCAGTAGATACTAGATAACTGAAAACCTTTATTAATTGTTTGTTCATTGGGTCAAAAGTCATGCATAATAACCTGATCACATGACTAATTGGCTGCCGATAGGGGGGCATACATGTTTTACAAACATATCTTATTTTTTATGAATTTATAAGTTAATTGATGAAAATGTGTTTATGAATTAATAGGTATATTGGTGAAAATGTGTTAATGAATTTATAAGTAAATCAATAAAAATGTGTTTATGAATTTATAGGTAAATTGGTGAAAATGTGTTTATGAATTTATTAATAAAATGATGAAAATGTTTTTTAGGAATTTATAGGTTAATTGATGATAACGCGTTTACGAATTTATAGGTAAATTGATGATAATGAGAGTATTAATGTATAGGTAAATTGATGAAAATGTGTTTACAGATTTATAGGCAAGGAGAAAAAGTAAAATATTGTCAAAATTTGCAAAAGTATAAGTGAAATGTCGACAAAAGTAAAGGGGATTACCCGGTATTTTATGAGTTATATTGGCAGAATCTATTATTGCAAAATGTCTGTTTGCTAAATAATGAGTACATGTATAACAGTATACATGTACATGGTTATTGACATATTTTGTTTATGACCAATGTCACCAGAATTATTATCTCCAGCCAATGTTAAATTTTATTTATAAGCAAATTAATGCAGTTTCTTATACCTATACAGTAGAAATACTTCTTCAGGCTACCCCAGAATTAAGACCGCCAAAATTTTAAGACTGATTTTTAAAGGAACAAAATTTTTAAAGAGTGTTGTTTGTGTATTTTTTTCACATCTTCAGAAATCTTGTGTACTCGTATATAGTAATTTCAGTACAATGAAAATATTTCCTGAACCTAGAAAACGTCTATGAGTATTTTAACATCCCATTTAAATTAGCATTTTCTGTAAAACATTCAAATCTATTTTAGGATTTGGCGCACAATGAGAACTTTCTGATTGGTCGCCGTGAATTCTCGTTATGTAACCTGCGCAGTAGGGAGCATTCACATGTTAGGATAACAGAAGTTGTTCCTGTGAATAGTGCCCTAGTTTCTGGTAAGTATATTTGTAATACTAGTTAACTTCTCATTAACAAATGTCTACACCTACATAGACTATAAGGACTGTTTGTTATATCTAGGGGTGTTACATTTAGCAAAAGTGATCAATCATAAACGTTAACCATAAACTGCGACCTAATAACTGTGTTAAACGTTTATCCGACCATAGTAATAAAATTCTTATATTTTCAACATTCACTTTGTTTTCTCATAACAAGATATGACATTTTGTTCGTATTTTGTTGTGCTCAACAATGATTACAATAGAAGTCAGGTTATAAAGTTAGGACAGTACTGTACACGATCAGATAGCATGCAATAAAAGAAAACAAGTGAAATACAACATGTACATATAGAATGTCATATCTTGTCATAGAAAGCTAAGGTACATTGTAATGTTTAGAGTATATTTTTTTTTAAATCAGCACTTTGTCTAATACTTACTGGTTATTCAGTTTCCTAACCAGTTTTTAGCTAAAAGCCGTTGCCGTCATGCAAAAACTTTAATTTACCCCTTTATTCAAACATTTTAAAGGTAATAACATAAAACTTGGGAATATTTCCTTTTAATGGCAAAATGAAGTTATTAGACAAGGGGCATAATTCTGAAAGCAATATTTTTTGAGATTTGCCCCTTTTTAACAGACAGACTTTAATACTGTATGCGGTGCTCTTGTATTTTTATATTTAAAATAAAACCTCTTTGCTCACACAGTCTATATCCAGGCTGAGGGCCCTGTGCTGTTGGCTGGCTAACTAAGTTCATCTTGATATCCCCAAAATTGGTAATGGACAGTACCAAAAATAGAAGCTGGACAAGTCCATTTAAAAATTTAGAAAGATAACAGGTAAAAATACATTTATTGTATGTATTGACTTTTACAGGTCACAATTCCGAGGACTCTGAGAATTGGAAGACACCAGTGAAAGTGTTTAGTGACAAAAGACGAGGAAAATCTAAGGCAGATAAGAAACTGTCAAGGAGGATAAGGTAATTCATATTGATTTAGGGTGTTAATTTAACATTATAGTTGATCAATTATGGTAAAGAACATTTTTTCTTGCATAGTTTTAAGTTTGCTACTCTAATTTGAGAATTTTTCAGCTTTTATTGGTTATGGTATTATAACTGAAGTTCCAACCTTCTGCAAACAAGATGTATAGCGTCTATGAATATATTTCAATGTTATGTTCTTGGTTAGATTTGTATTCATAGTTATGTGAGGCAATAACATGCAGTAGGAGCCGTTACTTCAACCACACTGCCATTGCTTAAAATGTTTTTGAAAGTCTATTAATAAAAATTTGTTTGTTTTGTCATATCAAATGTTCATATTCACAATGTGTGAATAATAATATGTGCAACTTCATTTATTTATCTCTTTTTTTTCCCCCTAAGTTTTCTATTACATTCTTTACAATTGCATTTCTTTATGCACTGTAAGCATTGTTTATCAGGCAATGTTTAATGTTAAAAACACATTAAATAATTTGTTATCATAGATGTTCAGGTTAAAATAAACCTAGTTTATTGAGGCACTTTATCTTTAGAAGTATGATATATTTGAAAAATACAAATACTAATTTGTAACTTTTAGTCACAAAACGCATATTTGGATCTTTCAATCAAAAAACATATTCAATTCGTTGAAGGGATTATATCAGAAATGCATGTTATATCAGACACAAACAATGCTAAGACATTGAATTTTTACTAAGTTTTAAGGACAAAGTTGTAATTTTAGATCATACTACAAGGAACAAGATCAGTTGATAAAGGCGTTTGAAGATATTCAGCTGGATCAGATGTGTGCAGAAGATGAAGAGGAACAAAATATACAGATGCAGAAAAGATCAAGCAATCTTGCTAAAGCTTCATTCGCTGTCAATCTGGTGAGAATGAAATACGTGCTTATATTTTGTATATTACTGTAAAGTTTGTTGTTACCAGTGTACTTGATCTTGATTTAAAATATCTGGGACAACATAACAGGACTTGGTAAACAGTCTTATGTTGTCATCCAATTAGCAATCAGTCAATTGCTAAGCATATATATTCATGTTGTTTTTATAAAAATATAAATTCATTGATTGATATTTATAACATTGTGAGGAGAACTATAGAATTGTTTAAATCCCACGCCGATTAGCTAAACTTTGTCTTATTTGCACTGTTTACCATAGTCAAAAAATACGCTTACACAGTGAGCAAGATGACAAAATGGCGGTGTGTGCGTCTGATTATACGAAAAGATAACCCAGAGCTAATCTCTAGTTGCTTGTCCCATTTAATTATGTCCCTAAAAATAGAGAGAGTAATGAAACCAATACAGACTCTGACACAAAATAAAATTTTATACAAATAGAGATCGATACAAGGCAAATAGAAACAGTTGACTGCCAATATCTAGAATTTCAAGGGACCTGACATTCTGTATTGAGATAAATGAAATTCAAGTCACCAGGAGCTGCTGCAATGACCTTGTCCGTGTAAATGTTTATACTTAATTGATGTATGAAGTTGTAGGTCTACTTGTATATGTCAGGGCTATTTTTCCTTCTATAACAGGGACAGGTATAAGGCCCCTTCACAATTCAAAATTGCACTTTTTTTTCACAAAGCGGCAGAAAAAATCACAACCTCAAAAGGGATTTTACAAAATATAGGGACTTTGTCTTTCAAATACATTGTTTACCTTCCGGTAAAACTTAATTTACGCCAATTGCAATAACACAGAAATAGTTTATTCAAGTTAAATGGTTTTTGGGCATGTTACTTGAAGCTTTACACAGATCAGAATTATAATCTTTCAAAATGTCGCAAAATGCCAAGTAATATGTCATTTTTTTCACAATTTTATGATTTATTACATGCTTTTCGGTGGTTTATAGAAATATATCAGTGATTTAAAACTGGTAATTTCACTGTTTGAAACAGTGAAATTACCACTTTGATAATTTCACTGTTTTGAATTTAAGCCCCTTACGTTGTTTCAGTGAAATACCAGCGTGCACAGAAATTGGTACCAACTTAATGACGTGAAAATGACGTCACGTTGAATTATTATTTGGCGCGCTTTTCATTCAGTATTAGGTTTAATGTCTTTTTAAAACGTTTCTTTGCATATAATAAAAAGAAAATTTGTTTAGTTTAGTGTAAGATCGAAATATATTTCACCTTGTGAACACCAAAAGTTCATATTTCACTCGTGGCTGCGCCACTCGTGAAATATACCTTTTGGTGCTCACTCGGTGAAATAGACAGGACTGATTTTAAGGAAATATGAATGCTAGAGGCATTTTATAGTACAAGTAATATATAGAGTGTTTTAACCTAATACGGGTATGCTGAAGACGATGAGGGTGGATACCAAGAAAATAAAATTGACCTTGACCTTCAAAAGGTCAATTCAAAATGGCCGCTTAAAAATACTAAAATAGGTCATTAAAACTAAGATACAATTTGATGCAATTAATTATTCTTGTCAAAATCAAATGATTATTCAATATTCGTTAAGTTTATACAATTATTAAGTTAATTAATTACAAATTTCTAGTAATATATAAGGTAAACGCGTAAAAAATCACCCCAAAACAAGGTCATAAAGGTCATATATATTTTTATTTCGCAAAGCATGATTATTATTATCATGTGAGGTAAAACTATATTTTATTATTAAACTAATATCATATTTAAGAATCTACTAAATGAATTTGATACTGAAGCTTTGAAAGAACTTTACTGTGTAATGTAATAAAGCTCTCAATATGGTTTCATATGTATATTTCAAATTATACTCATGAATTGAATGCCCTTTTGTTTATATGTACACATCACAGTCTGAAGCATTGGCTTTGATAAGTCGTTTAGTCTTTCAATATGTTGTTTTCTGATTTTTGTTTACTGCTCAAGAATGTGACAAAGGCTATGTCGGTCTTAAAAATAAAAACGATTAGCGGGCAGATTCAAATAAATTTAATTATTAGCATTTCCAAAAATGCTAGAAATCGCCGTTCAGCCAGGTTTTCGAAAAAACAAATCGTGAAAAAACCTCATTCCTGAACAAAAGAGCTAATGTTTGTTCTCTTAAGAGAAATATTCCATATATTGTTTACCCATTAGAAGTCCCCACACATTCAAGGTTTGCACATAAAGAAAGTAGTTTAATTCTATATAAAGCTAACACGACAAAAACATGGCGAATGGCGTGCACAGTAGGGGTCCCTTTTTGAGTTTTTTTGTCTTTTGATTTGTTATCATGTGGCATTTGATTATGCATTTTGAATGGCTTATGGCAGGTGTTGTTCAGGGAGAAATGGTTAAATCTTGTTAATATTATATGTCGCCATCCAGGAACAGCAACAATAACAAAACATCTAGGTAAGGTAATGTAAATCAGTGACTTGTAAGAAAATTAGGGTTGACTGAGTTAGAGATTCCTTAGGAGACATTCTGTTTGATTTTAGGGTTTTTATGGATTCCACTGCAAAACAATAAGGTTATGAGCGTATCATGCCATGATCTCATTTGACTTTGAACCTAGGTTGACCAAGGCTATCCTATCCGGTAATTTGGCAAACGCAACTGTAACGCTTTCATTTTCAAATCCCACAAGCATCAGCTGAAATGCAATTGAGAACCTGGTGAATGTTTAAAGTTTTTGGCAAATAGGTTATATGCTTAGGCTGAGAAAATTGTTAGCATTTAAAAGTGTGGCTTGTTTTAAAACAAGTCTATTAGGACAAGTGAACTATTACGGGTGGCTTAAAATTAACATTAGTGATCCCAACACTATCCATGAAGCCAACTCATCGGTCTGTAAATACCAAAAGGACTTTTTGTCCATATTTTTAAGGGTAACTGTAGCAAATGTATGGTGGTTAGGGACTAGTGGTGGAGTAGTGGTGGTAAGAACTGATAAGTATTCATACAGTCATACTTGTCTTCTGATAAGCCTCCTACAACTTTTATATGGGAAGCTCGCTCTCAGATTAAATAATGTTACCAATGATGCTGAGTGTCTTGGGGACTTACGTTTTGTGATAGTGGTGGTAATTGTAGTTATAGGAATGTCCCAGTGAGTAATGGTGGGGGAAGAGTAGTTTAAGAATGGCTCAGCCTCTGACCATTTAGTAATGTTCTCAGTCAGGATAACTGCAAGAAAATCATTACCTTTAGAAACAAATAACTCAAATTTTACACGCCTTAAAGGCTGTAGTAGCCATAATCAGACCTGGGGCAAATTACTTTAAAAGGTAAGTGATTAAGTCACAATTATTTCTTAATCTTTTACAACAATAAGAATGGTTAACTTTTTCTCCAGAGATTGACCGGATAACATTATTTTTACGTGCGCAATTATGATTACTTTCTATTGTTTCATTTTAAAATTGCAAAGACCTAGCTATTTTGTGTTTTATTAACAAATTTGGAAAATATTTGGATAACAAAACCTATGCAAATATGAAATATTTAGATGAGTAATCAAATACTTTTGTTTGTAATAAAATGAAGGTATCACATAAGTGTGATAATACAAAGCAAACTTATTTCATTTGAACTTTGCACACTTGTTCACCATTATGACCCTAACCTGTAGACTGGAAGAGGTAACTGTATCAAGCATTTTGACAGAATTATGCCCCTTTTTCGACTTAGAATTTACATTAGAGTTTTTGTAAAACCTCAATTTTTTTTCAAAGTCCATTGACAAATGGCTTTGAAACTTTGCACACTTGTTCACCATTATGACCCTAACCTGTAGACTGGAATAGGTAACTGTATCAAGCATTTTGACAGAATTATGCCCCTTTTTCGACTTAGAATTTACATTAGAGTTTTTGTAAAACCTCAATTTTTTTTCAAAGTCCATTGACAAATGGCTTTGAAACTTTGCACACTTGTTCACCATTATGACCCTAACCTGTAGACTGGAAGAGGTAGCTGTATCAAGCATTTTGACAGAATTATGCCCCTTTTTCGACTTAGAATTTACATTAGAGTTTTTGTAAAACCTCAATTTTTTTTCAAAGTCCATTGACAAATGGCTTTGAAACTTTGCACACTTGTTCACCTTTATGACCCTAACCTGTAGACAGGAGGAGGTAACTGTATCAGGCATTTTGACAGAATTATGCCCCTTTTTTGACTAAGAATTTACATTAAAGTTTTGTAATACCTCAAATATTTTCATAGTCCATTGACATATGGACTTGAAACTTTGCACACTTGTTCACCATTTTGACCCCAACCTGTAGACAGGAGGAGGTAACTCTATCAAGCGCTTTGACAGAATTATGCCCCTTTTTCGACATAGAATTTACGATAAAGTTTTACCTCAAATATTTTCAAAGATTTAAGTCCATTGACATAGGGCTTTGAAACAAATTTAAATTTTATACTCTTCCTTGAGAGCATAATAGGACGCTCTCCAAGGCCTATAACTGTAATATGGATTTAAAGAAAAAAAAATCCCTTTTGTTTACAAAGAAAATTTTACACTATCAAGGCTTTTTTACTATCAAGCACTAAGAATAGTTAAGCATTGCTGTCCTACCAACAGCTCTTGTTGTTTTTTTAAATGACTCATTGTTTTCCTGTTATGACACTTAAGTTTGGCTATATGACTCATTGTTTTGAAACATGTGAATCCAAAAACCCATTGTCATTGATTTCTAGATTAATCACTGTTCTCGTGAACACTTTTAAAGTTATGTTTCCTTTAACAATGAACAATTCTTACACCATCATACACCATCTGTTTTTGTTAATTTTGTACAATTGTTCTTATTTATTTTGCTTGTTTCAGATAACAAATATGACGTAACATTTATTATTACATTTCAAGAGGCTTTTCTATTTTTCCCAATGTCTGACCATGTCTGTTAAGTTTTGTTATTAAGCAGAAAAAAAATTGATTGCCTCAAAAAAGACAAATACAACTCTTTATTTGCCAATTGACATCATTTTCTAACACATCTACCCGTCCATTTCCTAAACTTAATATCTAAATAAAATAAGACAATAATCTTACTTATTTGCATGCAGTACCATTACTATTGCTGTCCAATAAATGAATGTGAAAACATTTTTCAGACAGATTATTGTCATTTTGATAACATGTGAATCTAATTTCAAATTTGGACAGAAATAATGTCGACTGATATTTCAACATGAGAAAGATTAGTTGAACCTCATCCGTCAAGTTAATATATGATTTTTATGCAGAAAACCTTGGACACTTGCTTTTTTACGTATCACATCCTTATGTATATGTCATTTAATCTTTTGACCTGTAATAACCTGTTGACTAACACGTCCATCATAACTAATTTCAATTTCAGGTTTTATTGATTATAAAAGCTATAGCAGTAGCTTTATCTGGGTCACTATCAATTATATCAAGTCTGGTAGATTCTGTCGTAGATCTTATGTCCGGTGTGATAATTTGGTGGACGTCACACGCCATGAAGAGTCGCAACATTTACCATTATCCTGAAGGTAACATTTGCGGGAACAAAACTTTTTTGCATCATTTCTACCTCCCTTTCCTTAGACTAGTTTATACAGTTTTTCAAGGGTAAATTTTTCCTGAAAATGAACATAATTAAATGTTTACAGATCCTACTCATAGCGAAAGCTGTCGCCGTCGGGTTATCCAGTTCAGTGTCAATAATTTCAAGTTTGGTGGATTCTGCCGTTGACCTGTTTTCTGGTATTATAATCTGGTGGACATCACGGGCCATGAAGAACAGAAATATATACCAGTATCCAGGGGGTAATACATGCATGGTGTTATAATATGTTTATTTCTCAGGCAAACTGCTTTTAGAAATTTTTGTTTTCCTGACTTTTATTAACAAGATAATTCAAGTTACTGGTTCTTGTTTATGATAAATTAGAATTACTGTTTCCTCTTTACAGTGAATTAAAATTACTGGATGCTGTTTATGATAATTTAAAATTACTGGTTCCTGTTTCATCATAAGCAAGAAATGTAGGCGTATTCATATGAAAAAATATTATACTGTCACATGATTATCTTATTAAAAGTACTTTTAAGAGAAATAAAGTACATATAGTAGGTTTTACCATTTCACAATCAACCCTGGTCAAACTGTATAAATTAACTAAGTCTCAATATTTCCACTAAGAGACCGGCTAATTTTACATAGTGATATTTCATAGATGCCTGTCTCTACAAACGGCGACCATCATAAGAAGTCCTGGTGCATAATTTGTTGGGCTAAGATTTGTCTAGGCAACTCATTGTGACCATGAGCATCTAAAAAATAGGAAATTAGGAACTTTAAAATAAGGAAGTTAGGAATATTAGCATCATAGTCTTTCTATTTTTATGCTCCCCGAAAAATTTCGGGGGAGCATATAGTCGTCTGGTTGTCCGTCCGTCTGTCCCAATTCGTGTCCGGCCCATAACTTAGTTATTTGAAGTCGGATTTTAAAACTATTTCACAGAAATGATCACCATATTGAGACGACGTGTCGCGCGCAACATTTGGGTCGCTACCTTGAAGGTCAAGGTCACAGCATGACCTTGCATCAAAATAGTGTCCGGTCCATAACTTCTTTATTTGAAGTCGGATTTTAAAACTATTTCACAGAAATGATCACAATATTGAGGTGATGTGTCGCGCGCAACATTTGGGTTGATGATCACCATATTGAGACGACGTGTTGCACCCAACATTTGGGTCGCTACCTTGAAGGTCAAGGTCACAGCATGACCTTGCAGCAAAATCCTGTCCAGCCCAAAACTTCATTATTTGAAGTCAGATTTTAAAACTATTTCACAGAAATAATCACCATATTAAGACTTCGTGTCGCACGCAACATTTGGGTCGCTACCTTGAAGGTCAAGGTCACAGCATGACCTTGCAGCAAAATCTTGTCCGGCCCATAACTTTGTTATTTGAAGTCAGATTTTAAAAATATTTTACAGAAATGATCACAATATTGAGATGATGTGTCGCGCGCAACATTTGGGTTGCTATCTTGAAGGTCAAGGTCACAGCATGACCTTGCAGCAAAATCGCGTTCGGCCAGTAACTTCGTTCCTTGAAGTCGGATTTAACAACTATTTCACAGGGATGATCACCATATTGAATCGACGTGTCACATGCAACATTTGGGGTGCTACCTTGAAGGTCAAGGTCACAGCATGACCTTGCAGCAAAATCGTGTCTAGCCCATAACTTCCTTATTTGAAGTCTGATTTTACAACTATTTCACAGAAATGATCACCATATTGAGACAATGTGTCGTGCACAACATTTGGGTTGTTTTTACACTTTGAACTTTGTCTGTGACATAACTCTGACACTACAAGAGGTATACCTTCCTTTGTCCAAAACCTATTCGGGGAGCATCACCCGGTTCAACCGGCTCTTGTTTAGTTAGGGAGTATCATAAAAGACTCTTGATTTCAGATGCATGTTAAAGAGCATGGAAACACAAGGCTATCTAATTTGTATGAGGGGGTGTAGCCCCTGAGTATAAATCAGATTGCCAAATGTTTTGATGATCTTTCTCTTTTGTATCCCAGGCAAAAATAAAAACACGTTCCCTGTTATCATATTGTGAAACCTAAATAAAAAGTAACCAATGAACAAGCATCTGAATAAGACTTTCTATTGTTATCCCTTTCCCTTGCGTAACAATAAGTAACCCCCAGAAAAAATGAGCCAAACAACGAGCATGCTCTTGAGTGCGAATAACTAATACCTGCTCTCCAGTTAACACACTGTGCATGTATGTGTATACGATTTAATTCTGACACATTTTCAAAAGAAAAGTCTCCAAACTATGATACGTGTTTGTTTTGTCTGTAAAGCAGTTTGCCTGATAATGTTCCTACCTAGACTATGTGTAACTGGGAGATAGCGCTAGTGGCCTGGGAACTATGTGTTGTTATCTTGTATAAAAACTAGAAAAGCTTTGGGCATTAATTAATGTGTCATTTGATAGTAAGCTTTTGGTATAAATATTATGGGATAGATATGTTTATGGAATTGCTTATGAGATGTTTGTTTCTGCCTTAATCATTTATGTAGCTTCAATTACATTTTATGGGATATGTAAACTTCCATAATACAGTTTTACCTATAATGAAAACTGTATTTGGTTAACTGATTAATATTGCATTAAGTTTCATGTCAATATTGTTCTTCTCATATTTAAGATATTGTTTTCTGTGTAGGTAATATCAATATTAAAAAAAAATCTTTAAGTTAAATCAATATTCAATAATAACAAATTTATGAATTTTTGAAAAACTTGCATGGATATTCTGTAAGAGTTATTTCCCTTTATTTAGTTATTTTTTGCTTTATCTATTAAGAGTTATTTCCTTTTACTTAGGTTTTTTTCTTTATTTGTTTCTCTTTCATTTTCAATTTTAATACATGTATATCTGTGTATGGATAATATTAATATTGCCTTTGTGTTTTGATTTCCTGTTTGATTGGAATGGGGCAAAGTTTTAAGGGCTTTATGTATAAACTATTAAACAAGTGTGCATTTATTCCTTCCTCAGCTGGTATTGTAGAATGTGTTGGAGATTAATTTACAAACCACATTTTCTGATATTAGGAAAGTTACTTAGGGGAATGGTTTAGGTTACTGACATTGAATTGCTTGATTCTGACTGCTGGGGGTAGGAATTCTGCCCGCTGGGGTTAGGAATTCTGACTGCTGGGGGTAGGAATTCTGATTGCTAGGGGTAGGAATTCTGCCCGGGACTCCCAACTTCTCTGATGCAAGGAAGTTATTTGGTCAGCTTACTAACTCTAATGAATATTTTAGTTTATATGTTTTGAATACAAAGTAAACAGGTTTTGTTTTCAATTATCACTGTTCCTTTAGCTACAGTCAGACAGATCAAATAACAGAACAAAGTTCTAGTATTTAATAATGCATAATTTTGCAGATTTATAAATTTTTTAAAAAAATACTTAAACACAAATGATATTATTAAAATATTGCTTTTAAAGCATGTGTTTCAAATAGATTTCTTATATTCTTGAATGTTTATTTAGATTATTAGAAGTTAAAGATTATTTTACCTTAGTGTTGTTTTTTTTTTCTACAGTGTGTACATGAAGTAGTGAATTTTTCACTTTCTAGTGACCGCTATAATTTTATAGTTTTGATATGTAGATATCTCATAACAAATGTCTTAAAGCAGCATGCCTCCAGATTCATGCTAACTTTCATGAAAACTTTGAAAATGTATTTAATTAAAAAGAAAAATATTGTGAAGTGAACAAAGAAAATAATTTTCACACACTGCAAACAGCATTAATTTTACAACCCATGTAAATTACCAAAAAAGGCATGCAGCTTGAAACCTTTACTTGCTGGAACTAAATGTGATTAGCCTTTGCCAACATTGAAGAGCCAGGCCATCTTACATACATTGTTTCTATGCAATCTGACTGGCTTCATATGGTTTGTTGGCAATTCAATCTTTGTATTTGGATATTGAAATCCCTTAATGTTTAAATAGACTGTTCCAAAGTCCAAGCAGGACAAATCTATTGCATAAATACAGCAGGTTCAAGGTTAAATGTCATAAGGTCAAAATCATAATGATAAAGTAACAGTTTTGTAAGTCTAGATGAAAAGTAAATTATTTCAATGACATCCATAGCAAACTAGTTTAGAATAAGTCAACCACAGTTTTATATTTCATTTAATTATTGTAAGTTTGTTAAATATTTAGAAACATTGATTGTAATTTATGACAGTGATAACCAAGAGAAAGATAAGTTTGAATTTCGTAAGTTTAAAAAAACCAAGAACTTCATCATTTTTCACATCGTAATGTGCTCTTTTTCAACTTTAAAATATTCTTTGAAAATTTTGTAGAGGTTGGCAGTTAAGCTGAGAATTATTAAAATTTTATAGCATTTGTGTTTTTATCTTTGTTTGGCAAAGGAGTGTGGCAGTAAATTCTACAGTAGTCAGCTATTTCACTTGCTGCCAGGGCTTTTGAGGTCACTGAGGTGTCCTGTATTGAGTACATGACTAATATTTATACGTATACATGTATATAATTTCAGGGAGATCAAGACTGGAACCTATCGCTATTGTTATACTGTCTGTCATCATGTCTCTGGCGTCATTTCAACTGATCGTTGAATCTGTACAGATTATTGTCGGGTATTCATCGGGGAAAGGAAATCTTCCGTCAGTACAGCTACCCGTTATTCTCATTGCAGTTAGTACTATTGGTAAGTACTATTGGTTTCGTAGCTATAATCTTTAAATTGCTAAAATTGTGAAATCAGTTTGTTCTGCTGTAACTTTGAAACTATTCACTGTGAAAGGTAAAATTTCAGTATCATACTTTAGTACTAAAAAGCTAAGATTAAGCATACACAGGTTCGAATATTAGCTAGCATAAGCACAAAATGTGTGTTAAATTTAAAAAAAAAATGCAATTTTATAAATACTCATTCAACAGAAATAGAGAGCACCTGTTATTTGGTGCATGCATTGTTATGATGTTGTTATATTTTAACGACTACATGCAAACTGTTACCAAAGTTTGCTGCTCACTGTTAAAATCTAATAAATCCCAAAGCTAAGATTAAGTAACCAGCAGTGTTGAAATGGTGTAGACTGTATTGGTGTGCAGTTTGGCTTAGCTTTTAACTGATAGTAGTGTACACCTTGTTTTCTTTAGTGCTTAAAAATAAATAAATAAACGTGACTAACAATAGCTACAAGAATATCTGTACCATAAGCTAGTAATCAAAGTAACTGCCAGCAGTACCAAGTCTTGTCAGACTGCCCTGAATTCTGAATAAGCAAATGTAATTTTCACAGATGTTCTGGTGACATACTAGAGGTCTTGTAATGAATGATAATAACTCACAGTATTAAACTGATATCCAACTAGGTTATGGAATATCGGTGGTTCTACTTATCACCTGCTCATGCCTGTAATAATCCAAAGAGAGGCAACCGCAGCCACTAGTAAAACTTAAAAGTCGCCATGTGATCTGTACAGTGTTGATGTCACTTTAAAACTCTATATATAAAAAATCATAACCTTTATGTATGTAACAATGTGCATATATATATTTTTTCTGTATTTCAGTGTCAAAGTTTATATTGTTTATGTTGTGTTATTGTTGGGGTAAACACAGTAGTTCAGTGCAGGCGCTGGCTCAAGACCACAGGAATGATGTCTTATCAAACATTGTAGCCATAGTCTGTGGTTACCTAGGTAACCATTTTATTTCATTTAACTTAAAATTTCATTAATTTTGTTATGCACCTTACTCTTTTATTGCTAATTGATTGAATTGTTAGTGAAACATTGTTGTGCTTCATGCTTGTGTAAAAAAGGAGGAGTTAACAGTTATTGAAGGAGGGGTCATAATTGTTAAAGAAGGTGTTACTATTGTTGCGGGAGGAGTCACAGTTCTTAAGAGAGATAATCTCAAATATTAATTATACTCACAATATAGTAATTAAAATCTGAAATATTATAATTATACGGAGTGTTTGAAATCTGTTGCTTTAACACAGTTCAACCAATTACAGATTAAGTTTAGAAACCTCAAATATTTAGAAGATTTAAAGAGACAATGGTATTTCAAAACATTTATGCTTGTATCATTTGTAAGGAATATGATTTCAAAGAAATAATTTTCAAGTTCCATTGTGATGCAAAAGTTAAAGTTGGCAAAAGGGAGATTATGCTGTCATTTTTAGTAGGAAACATTTATTGATTAATCTCCCTTTATCTGAACTGATATTTAAATTTAGAGAATTTATAACTGTTAGATCATACCTGAAATATATAAGATGTCTTGTCACTCTCAGTAAAGCGGAATTATGATCATGTGTCCTAGTTACGAGAGTGTGGAAATAATTTAAATTAATGAACATAATGCATAAAATTGGGGACTAAATATTACCCTTCAGTTTAGCTGTAAAGTCCGTATATGACTTGATTTATGGCCGAGCTTGCTTGCAGAAGGTCTTTGATTCTCCTCAGGTGCCTGTCTACAAATACCTGAAATAATAAGTACCTGAGAGTTTCCAGCACCGGATAATGAGAAAATCGTGTTGTTAAGCCTAAGTACCCAAACAATATTTGATAACACTTCTTGAAAGCATCCCTGTTAAACCTAACAAATATAAAAACACACACACTTCTGTTTCAAGGGGTTCTAAGCTTGAGTCCTATCAAGGACAATTTGCTATACATTGTTCACCAGCTTGTAGATATTTACTTCACCTAGATGTAAATGTTCACTTTACCTTGTTGTTTATATTATCTTCACATTGGTGTCAGTGTTCACTTCTGCTTACTTTACGTTGGTGTAATCTGGTACCTAATATAATTTGGCATCGAAAAAGACAGATTGATTTTAGTAACCCAATTGTTCAGCGTAAAAATCAAAAGTCGGTGGGCATGCCTTGTGCATAAAACTGTATATGTATAACTGTGTATAATATGCATGTACTTGACAAAATTTCCTTTCCTGTATAGTGTAAATAATAAGTCATTTTATTGTTTCAGGATCAAAAGAGTTTATCAGTGAAGTTGATACAGAAGATGTGAAGTACATTGATCCAATCGGTGCTATCCTAATTAGTGTATATATATTGGTCAACTGGTGGAGAACTGGTTATGGTAATAATTTATCTACATTATATAATGATTGAGGGAAGCATATTTATCACACACCCATGCCACTTTTGTGACCCTGTAAAAATGTTATTGCAGGGCCGTGCATATATTTTGATGTGACGTCATTCACGTGATGCAAACATAGTGTAAAGATGTGCTAAATGATAGCATTATACTGCGCATTAATGAAAAAAAGATTCTTTTTCACTTTAAACAGTCTTCATTTTGGTATGTGATATAGAATAAAGTATTCATGTAGGCTCACATAATATAGTTTTATTCTACTTGTTCAATAAATTCAGTATTGAACTTACACTCATTCAATATTTTCTATTTATTACTATATTGATTTTAGATTAAGATAATAATGTAATATGCATTCAATTGTGAAGAAATCTGGTTGCTATATTGAACCACACTTTAGTCTACTTCCTGGAACAAATTCGGACATTTACTGGTAAGAGATTAACCATGAAAAAAACATGGTAGTTCTTGCAGGAGGGTTCAAACCCACAGTCCCTAGGTTGGAGGTTGACACCTTTCCTTATTACTAGGCCTTAATTTCAGATTGAATGTTGAACATTCAAATTACCATGATATCCCCGAAATTGATATTGGACAGTTCCAAAAATGAAAGTTGGACAAGTCCATTTAAATAAATTAAGCAGGGTTTTACTACTGGGTTGTTCCAATTTGAGAAAGGACAAGTTTGTTACACAGATTCATTGGGGGAAGGGTTGATATTTAGTTTGTACAGAATTTATTTTAGTTTCATTTGTGTATAAAGCTATAAGCTTACAGGCCCACTCTTAAACCAGTCATTATTTAGCAATGAGAGTAAAGTTTCTTGCTAAAGGGAACAGCAGCTTGTTCATGATGGCATTTGAACCCAGACGGCCAGCAAGTTTATACTTGTATTTATTATCCTTGTTTTTGTTTACAGATCAGATCAAGCTTCTGACGGGTCACACGGCAGATCCGAATTTTCTTAGCATGATAACGTGGATTTGTTTAAATCATCATCATGAAATTATATACATAGACACAGTGAGAGCGTTCCATTTCGGTAACAACTTCCTTGTGGAGGTTGACATTGTTCTTCCAGAGGAGATGTCGTTGAAAGAAGCGCACAATATTGGTGAATCTCTGCAACAGAAGTTAGAAAAGTTCAAGTTAGTGGAACGGGCATTTGTCCACCTTGATTATGAAATAGAACATAATCCAACGGAGGAGCACAAAATGATTTGATAATTAGGGTCGAGTGTTGCTGAGGGCAAGTTTTGCGAGGGTCAGAAATCGAGGGTGAGGGAGAAGACTGAGAGTTGGATGGATATAATGGTTGACATTGGATTGTGGAAAGATGTTGATAAAAATGGAGGAGGAATTATATTTAATGTATTTTTACCATAGAAATATTCTTAAATATTTACCGGTATATGAACATTTTTATAGTATTTTCTATACATTTATAATATTTGTTTTTTGTTTTTACTACTGCTGCCAATTATATTTATTTAATAATGCTTGCAATCCTTTCCTTATTGTTTTTTTAGCTTGACTATACAAAGTATATGGAGCTGTCCTACTTGCCCCGGTGTCCGCGTCCACGTCCAGATTTAGGATTAAAGTTTTGGTGCAGTAAAATATTTTTCATTATAACTTTTTCATTTCTTAAGGTATCAACTTCAAACTTCAAATATATGTTCCATATCTTCAACCACATCTTATGTGACAAGGTTCATAACTCTAGCACCAATATTTTCAGATTTATCTCCTCTTGAACTTAAAAAATACAATTTTTTACTGTTACTTCTTTATTTCTTAAGGGATCAACTTCATACTTCAAATATATGTTCCTTATCATCAACCACATCTTATGTGACAAAGGTCATAACTCTAGCACCAATATTGCAAAAATTATCTCCCCATAAACTTAGATTTCTTTACTTGAAAAATGTTACTTTTTACTCGAACTTCTTTAGTTGTAAAGGTATCTACCTCAAAACTTCAAATACTTATTCCTTATCATCAATTACATTTTATGTGACAATGTTCATAACTCTTGAAGCAATATTTTCAAATTTATCTCTCATTGAACTTGGGATTTCCTTTAAGAAATAACTTTTTTACTTTTTGTGTCGCCTTGAAAAGGTGACATATAGGGGTTACTTTTGTCGGCGGCGTCAGTGTCGGCGGCGGCGTTGTCGGCGTCCCCTAAAGCTTGTCCGGAGCATAACTCAGTCACTATAAGTCTGATTGACTTCAAACTTGGTATGCATGCTTCTTTCAATAACCCGAAGTGCAGTGCACAAGGACAGTACTCTGCAGTTCTTATTTTTTGAGTTATTGCCCTTTGTTAACTTTCATACTTTAATTTTGTCCGGGCCTTTTCTCTTCAGCTAAAAAAGCTATGGACTTGAAACTTCATAGGATGATAGATCTCATTAAGAAGAAGTGCAGTGCATAAGAACCGGTACTCTGCACTTCCTAATTTTTGAGTTATTGCCCTTTGTTAATTTTCATACTTTATTTTTGTCCGGGCCATTTCTCCTAATGTATAAAAGCCATGGACTTGAAACTTCATAGGATGATAGGTCTCATTAAGAAGAAGTGCAGTGCACAAGAACAGGTACTCTGCATTTCTTATTTTTTGAGTTATTGCCCTTTGTTTATTTTCATACTTTAATTTTGTCTGGGCCATTTCTCCTTAAGTATAAAAGCTATGGACTTGAAACTTCATAGGATGATAGATCTTATTAAGAAGAAGTGCAGTGCACAAGAATCAGTACTCTGCATTTCTTATTTTTTGAGTTATGGCCCTTTGTTAATTTTCATACTTAATTTTTGTCCAGGCCATTTCTCCGAAAGTATAAAAGTTATGGACTTGAAACTTCATAGCATGATAGATCTCATTAAGAGAAAGTGCAGTGCATAAGAACTGATACTCTGCATTTCTTTTTTTTTTGAGTTATTGCCCTTTGTTGATTTTCTTACTATTTTTGTCCTGGTCATTTCTCCTCAAGTATGAAAGCTATGGACTTGAAACGTCATAGAATGATAGATCTTATTGATAAGAAGTGCAGTGCACAGAAACTGCTGCTCTGCACTTATTATTTTTTTAGTTATTGCCCTTTGTTCTTTTTCATATTTCATTTTTGTCCTGGCCATTTCTCCTAAACTACATTGTTCACAAGGCGACACATCCGACTTGCGGAGTTCTAGTTAAGGTATCAACTTCAAATATATATTTCTTGTTATTACACTCATGTTGTGTGATAAGGGGTTCATAACTCTAGTGTGACTATTTGCAGAATTATTCCCCCTTGAACTTGAAATTTATGTTAACAAATGTTATTTTTTTACTATAATTTAATACATAATCATACATAATTGATTTTTCTTTCATAGTTTTGTCTTCCTTACTGCGTCCAGTATTTTATTAGTCGAGCTTCCCTGTCTCCTGTGACAGCTCTTGTTATTATTATCAATATTATTTAAATATTGTATTTCTAATGTCAATTAAAGCTTAAGGTGAATGTTTTTTATACTGCTTATTTTCCTGTATTCATTAGATGTACATTCAAACTGTTTTTACCTATTAAATCTACTAAATATTCATTATTTAGTTTTTCAGCCTTAAATACTGCGAATTCACTTATATTTGTTTGGCATGAAATTTCGTGGTTTTATCAAAACAGGCCTTTTCGTGGGTTCTTAAATTCGTGGATTCTCGTTTTCCTGTTAAAAATAGAATAAAATTCAGTAACCTAATGCAATTAATATCAAAGACTATTTTTAAACTGACAATTTTTAATAGCGCTAATTATTGCATTGCCTGTGTTCCCATATTTACTCGATTATGTCAAGTATTCTTGTTAACACAATCAAGTCCTAGTAGATTATGTGTACAACGATCAAGTATGTATATGCGACATTTGTGACAGTAAATTGAGGACATATAATCGAGTTTTCTTTCAAGTTTCTTAAATATTGCAAACGGATTTAATTTGTCACTAACCTGATTATCTGTCTGTATTTACATCCATTTCACGAAATATCGGCCGGAAAAGATCCGACGCATATGTAATATACAGAACAGAGACAGGGTAAGAAGTATTTGTTGGGATAAATGTTCGTCGGATCTTAAATTCGTGGATTGACCTACCCACGAAAACCACGAAAATTCGTGCCCCACGAATAATAATGATTTTACAGTAGTCACATTGGCTCTTGTTTTGTGTGTGTTTGTTTGAAAAACATGTTGATTTTGTCAGCAAACATGTCAGCATAATTTTCAAAGCAATTAATTTTGACGCCTTAAACATCTGAGGCTTCTCATTCCTATTGTTAACATCTCAGTAATAATGTACTTTCATTGTGAAATACAAAATGTATATGAAAAACTTGATCAGTTTATGTGATTTTTTCTCTTCTAGTTTTTGTTGTTAAAGTATTGAAGATGACGTAAATTGAAATTTTTTGGGGAAAAAAATTTATTATTCTCGTAAATATGATCTCAGAGTGTTTATTTTTATTTGCTTCTTCATTATTTAAGTTTGTATGAAGAAAATAGAAAATTACTTTATAATGAAGAAGGGCATGGTGTTTCTTTTATATTTCTGTCATTTTTATGTGATAGATATCTGAATAAGTGTAGAAATAGTTATTTAATATATTGGGGTGAAGGGTAAATTAATGATTGTTGAATTTGACTTTGTTTTATATATATTTGATTTTAATTTTGTTGACAATTTAGAAAAAGAATTGATTAAATATTGAGAATTTATAGTATGTTATCAAAATGATGACATTTGTATGGATGAAATAAATGTACATGTATGTTAAAGTTTTAAATGTATGTTAAAGTGATGAATGAAATGTTAAAGTTTTAAATGAAATGTTAAAATTATAAATGAAATGTTACAGAGTTTCCGTTAATGACTCTAGTCATTGAATTTTTTGTAAAACTTTTATCTGTCTTCTGTTGCTATACAATAAGGTGAAATTGGAGTACTTGTTACTTGTTTTTGTAAAGAGAATTTTTTTCATTAGTATTCAAAATGCAATTCTGTATTGAGTAACAATGAAAATATAAAATTGTTAGCAGAATTAATGAGCAGAAACAAGTTTATTCATCAGTATCAACCCTTAGCCTGCTGATAATGGTCTGCACTGGTCACATGGGTAGAATCTGTCACCACCAGCCGTGAATTTTTTTAAAAAACATTGCACGATTTAAAAGAATCATTATTGAAACAAATTTTAAAAAAAACAACAACAATTTTTGGGTCACTATTCTAGTTATTTGAGTTGTCTGCCCCTGGGAGTAATATTGCCTACTTAAACTTTGTAAAAAATTGCAATATTCCCGTTAAGTTCCTTAAAGTCAGATTTAGACATATTGTGTTAATTGAATGCTTCAGGGTAGAACTTATATTACATATTATTCATTTCTGTTTTCTTTGTTTGTATTTTGTTGATGCTAGTAAATCTTTTCGCATCATGAATACTAAATACTGTATATATTTTCTAGATCTGATTTTAGTATGATATTACCTTATGACGTGTATATACATTTTATTTGAGTTCTGAAGATTGTGACTTTTTCTAAATCATGATATTTGTACTCCATATTTTTATATCTTGCCGTTTAATTTGCAATTTTTAGAAATTTGTTTATGTAAATAATGACAGAACCAAAGTTAGCTTTATTTGTAAACAAACAGCATTTCAGAAAGTGTTCATTTTTCTTTCAACTTGTCTTGTCCTTATTTTAGTGGGTAGTTTTAGTTTTGAGTCATCTATGATCTTTCTAATCTGCAGTCTGACTTGGAGAATTTAGACAGTTACTTCCCCTTAACTTTGTCACATTTTGTTCATATCACAGTGATTTTTCTTACTAAATTTGGAAGGGACCTGAGCCTAAAGTTTTTGGGAAGTTTTTTATGCTACAATTGCCTATTTGGGAAGTAAGAAAGCTGGTGTAAGTTCAGATTTTTGGGAAAACTGCATGTATTTAAAGAAAATTTTATTTTGGGAAGAGGATTTTTATAGACCTCTGTTATACAAAGTATAAAATCACTGTATCAGTATTTTATTTTGTGTTCAGCAATCTGTTAGTTATCATATTTACATAACTGATAAAAATGGCTCTAATTTAATCTGTAAATCATATCATTGATTGATAAACTGATCATTCCCTGACTTAATTACTTATCTGTTAAATTCTGTGATATTTTTTGTTACCATTTACCCTGCTAAATTTCCTTACATGGACTTGTCCACCTCCCATTATTTTAAACTGTTCATTATCAATTTGGGCATATCAAGATGAAAATGAACTAAGTCAGCAAACAGTATAGAGCCTGAGTTTGGTGGACATTGTGATGCAGCTCTATGCTTATCACAAATGTTAATCACTTCCAGTCCTAGCAGAGTAAGTGTTAACTTAATGTTTTTACTGGTGGTATATTGTGCAATGTGCTCTGGAATGCAGGTTTAAGTCTGACTGGGTTCACAGCTGTGACACCAGTATTGGTTACTTCCAGGAACCAAAGTCAAGGCTGGTTCAAATAAGTGGCCAAATTTTCATCTTAGTCAAGCTTGATTTAATACATTCCTGATTGTTACAACAAATATTGACACAAAAAATATTGACAACTTTGATCTTAAAATTAGGAGCTTTTTCATTGAGCAAGTGAAGCATAGTACAAACTACAAAGTATGATAAAGAAATAAACTCAGAATGAAATTGAAAAGAAATAGTTAGAATCGATACTCATGTGCAATTCTTAGCTTGATTTGAGTGAATAGGGATGTTTCTCATTTTTGTGTCATTTTGCACATTCAATAAAAATGATAATTCTGGAAATATAGGGTAAAGGAATGATCAGAAAATTGGATATATGTAAATGGTTTAGACATACATCAAATGATTCACAAATCTCAAAGAAAATAATTCCAGTCCTATCATGTTAAAAAACTCAAGAGAAGTCCCTTTAAACTTCGAGTGCGCTGGTCCTAATTCAAAGCTGAGCAAATTAATTACATAAATTTAGTGGGTTACAGGTTAAGTCTAGATTACTAGCGACAAAAAAGTCATGTTAAGCCATCACATAATTTTTTTTTTTGGCTTTTCTGGTATTTTATTTTTTAAATACTCCATGGTGTAACCAAATACTCATTTTTTCATAACAATGGCAGTGGTAGGAGCTGTAATGCATGATATGAGCCTTGGTTGCTGAATTGTTTAGAGTCGTTTTTAGCTCGACATTTTATTATATAAAAAAATTAATTGTATTGTTAAAGTCTAGCGTTGTGATGGCTCTTGTTTGATACTTTGTTGTCTTCATTTAGTTAAGTTTTGTCTAAAACATTTGCTGAATTTACCATAAATGTCTATATAGAATTCTTATGCTGTGATGATGACTGTGAAGTGCCCTAGTGAAAGAATTTGATTTCTGTCTGATTTATAGAGAGAAGTCTTATACAGTATTGTCTGTAAATTGTGTCTCCATTCAAAAGATTAAGAGTGCTTGTGTTCTGTTAGTTATATGATGAAATTATCTTTACAGTTCTAAATTTATATAATGGAATTGTCCTATTTTGAATTTGGAACTGTCAATTGTTCAGTGTGGGGGGATTTTCATATGAAACCTGACCCTACTATATTTTTTAATGGAATTGTCCTGCTTTAAATTTGGAACTGTCCATTGTTCAGTATGGGGGATTTTGATAAGAAAATGTTATCATTAACCTTGACCCTGCTATATTTTGTAATGGACTTTTCTGTTTTTTATTGTTAAACTATTAACTGTTTGATTATAAGATAATAACTACGGGTGTGTTGATCCTTTTAAAAGGGTATGATTGGTTTTTAGCTAAAAACCGATTAGAAAATTCAATAACTGCTAACT